GTATGTCTAGAGTAACAATGCATGTTAATTAACAGATAGCGTTAGGCATGCGCGTGTAGAACTAGGGTTGCTGCAGGCAGAAGGAAGATTGCTGGCTAGAAATTTAACACAGCCGCGCCTATGTTTGCGTTCAATCTCCTGTTACCTAACACAAATATTATCATTTCTTGTCCGGCAACTCTCAAAGTTTTTAAAGAATAGCATACGGAAAAGTGGCAAGGAGATAATGTATTTGGAGCATGAGTTATGGTTAAGTCGTTTCTGTGACTAACGACACGATGTTTGTTTACATCTGGTGTGTTGTCGATGTTTTGTCGATCAAAATCTGACACGCAAATTACTTCCCTTACAGGTGTACATCTGCTGGTTGGTGCTAAAAATAGACATTAGAAAATGACCAACCGGTGAACTCTATGAACCTGACAGGTTCATGTTAGGTTCGTGTTCATCACGTGGTAAACGTATCGACCGCTTGGGGGTTCATTTACACCTACCGTGTCAACATCAAACCAATCATGCAAAATGAGGGTCGAGGGCAAGGGGGGAGGGATTTAAAGGGGAGGGGATGTTAAATTAGACTTAATGTTATTACTAAAATTAGGTGGCCTTGATATCTGTGTAGGATGACTGCTAGGATTATAGAAAAAGTCCAATACATTAAACCTTTTGTATTTTTTTAAAACTAAACTGGCTAAACTGATCTTTAATTTTTTACAAAATTCAATCGTATTTTGTTAGGTTATGGAGAGTTCGTTGAATCAGGCTCCGCTATAAAATTAATTGAAAGGAAAAATGTCCGCATCCTGTGATAATTTTAGTAGAGGAGCTAATGAAAAACCAATAGCTCATCACGTGATAGGTAATTTGGTGAGCCAAGCTTGGTCTGGCGGATGTTTTGATTTGAAGGTACAGGTGTTGTGACATCAAGTTATTGGTACCTGGATGTTTCATGTGAAGGTACAGGTGTTGTGACATCAGGTTATTGGTACCTGGATGTTTCATGTGAAGGTACAGGTTTATATCTCAGGTGTTTTGACATCAGGTGTTTTGACATCAGGTTATTGGTACCTGTATTTCTCACGTGAAAATATAGGTTTATATCTCATGTGTTTTGACATCAGGTGTTTTGACATCAGGTTATTGGTACCTGTATTTCTCACGTGAAAATATAGGTTTATATCTCATGTGTTTTAACATCAGGTGTTTTGACATCAGGTTATTCAACTTTTGGCACCTGCATGTTTCACGAACAACAGGTGGCAGGTGCTTCAGTAAACGCGGGTTTTCATATTTCAATTTTTGGTTAACCAATTAATTTAGATAACACAAGACGCTCTTATTTGATTACGACTTTGATTAACGACTTTTTAAGTCTACGTGTACCCCCCTCCTATGGTTTCTCTTAATAAGCCAGACGCCCCCCCCCCCCCCCGAAAATTACGTTACGTTTTTCTTCTTTTCTCCCCCCCCCCCCCCGGAAAAAAAAATTAAGTAAGACAATCTTTCATTACTGACACATACACGCCATACGTGTGACGTCATTTATGGACGACCCTCAAACACAAATACCAAATACAACTGGAAAAATCTTGTCTATCAAAGCAGTGCTCAGCCCTTTGTTCTACTTGAAGACTAAATTCATTGAACTTAACCTCTAACCTTTCCGTGTACAACGGGGGCAATGACGTCAGAGGCTGCGCCTAGTTCGAGATAACCTTACCCCACAAATCGTGCGGTGACAGAACTAAGGGACAGAACTACGGGTGCTAACACTACAGTATCATCTCTGTGGCCTCGTTCTGAACTAGAACTAAAAGCCGTGTTGGGGCAGCTAGGTGCAACTGTACTGGCATGTTATTTTATATCAAACCCTGTTATACACAGCTAGTATATCATTTAACTTGATATCCAATCGTACATGCAATTAATCAAAACGTAATTTTAAGACTAGTCAATTGAGGCCAATTAATGAGATAAATATGTATCACCACCCTCTTATATAGATGGACGGGCGTGGTGTATTGAAAGGGGGGGGGGGGAGGGTACATACAAGGGAGAGAACAATAGTTCAAGACGTTTATTTTTCCTATTGAATTGAATTTTTTCTACATCCGTCCAAACTCTAGACTTCCGGGTTAATGATCGTGACACCCCCCCCCCCCCCCGACATGCATGATTAAAGGCATGGCTCAATTTGATAACAACAAGAAGAATGATCGCGTGGCCCTTATAACGGAAAAGAGCTACTTAACAAAACCAATTGTGGGAATGTCAGATAACAGAAAAAAGTGTAACAAAGCTGTTGTTGTTTGACGGCAGGAGCCGGGGTGATAAAGACCATCGGAAACCACCTGATGTTTACATATTCAAACTTGTTTATGACCAGGGCCTCAATGTCAGCACATCAGCACGTAGGCAGTCCACACTTGGCACACACTGAATGTAAACATCTGTGCGAGCAGTGGTGGGGGATGGGGGACTGTGGTAGGGGGGGGGGGGGGATTGGAAGTTTTGTTAAAAGAGACGTCAAAGCTGAAGTCACGCAATGTAAACTGTCATCTCCATTGCGTCTTCGATAAAAATACAGATCCCTTAAATAGATGTTGCGCTACAGTAACTAGACCGATGTTACAGTCACAAAGCCGATGATACAAAACACCACCCCCTCCCACCCCAGCCTTAAAAAACTATTACGAGCATTCTTACATATTTATTTTTCAGAAAAACAACTTGAATATTTCGTCGATTTTCAAACACCCTTCCCCCCCCCCCCCATCTGCGCCAATAAAAATCACATCACTCCTCGGAAACCCACATCCTCTAGGTGAATGACGTCATTTCTGGACGCCTTCAACACACAGCGAAACAATACAAAGAAAGTATAGACTATGTTTCTTTAAGCACACACAAACCGGCATTGATACTAAAATAAAATATATAATTTGTTTTTGGATAACACCAATGGTAATGTAGATATTTTAGTTATAAATATTTTAAAAATCCTATTAGAATGAAGATAATTGGTAGCAATAGAAGACAATTAGAATAATATTTCTGTCGGTTCATTTCTAAGGCAAAGTACAAAGCAGAATAACCGTTATGCAGAGGCGTAGCGACCCTTCCCGGCGCCCGGGGACAAACTTTCGATTTCCACACCCCCCCCCCCTCAAACTTTCGATTTGGACCCTTCTCAACCTTTCAATTTATTTTTTCGACCCATTTTGGCGCCCATTTTGGCGTCGTCGTGCCCCCCCCCCCCCCCCCCCCCCCCCGCTACTGTCCTGTCGTTATGAGGTTCTAATGAACAATAACCCTCAAACGTAAAAAATGTGCCACCTTCTCTCGAACTTAAGATTGTGGTGTTATCTCCCCTAGATAATTGCATTTTTTTTTTTTTACTGAATCTGTTATTCCCTACCTGCTACAACAGGTCAACCCCAAGGCATACATACAAGGCATACATACAAGGCATACATACAATGCATGTTTTGATTAGTTTTGGTTAAATCAATTCATGACATCAAATGAAATTACTGTTACAACAAACATGTTTGTAATACATTACACACATGAATAAAATACTGGAAGACTACTTCTTAGAATACATGTTTGCTTGAATACATTTCCCAACTGTGAGTTTGAGTCCGTAATGCCTTATTGTGTAGATCAAACCATTAATCACATTTTAACTAGGCAGGTTAAAGAAATAAATAAGCTGAAACGTCAGGGCTACTTTTGCCTCACCCACTATGTTTTAACTACTGCTGCATTTAACAGAAAATATAAGTCAAGTCATTCGACAGTCAATAATGCAGTTAAAGCAGAGTTTACTTGTTTTTCTGTCCTTAGAATATGAAATTGTAGTGTGGCAAACTTTACTTTCAATAACTTCATTAGGTTCCCCCCCCCCCCCAAATACACACAGGAGGGGTGGGATGTTCACTCCAGGTGATACCATTTAGAGGGTGATACCAAATAAAAATATGTAAAATGTTCTGTCAAACACTTTTAGTTTAAATAAAATAGTTGGGAAGAGAGTGCCACCAAACTGATAATTGTTGGAGAGGGCGAGGTGCAGTGACAACCTCACCAGGTGACGCTACTACCCATTAGAGTTGGATGGACGTGCATGTCCCTAATAAGTCCAGCCCAAGAATAAAACTGAAGATCATGGTGAATTGGTGTTTCCACATTATTAGGAAAAAAATCAAAATCTATATTTTAATTTAACTCACACTACGCTTATGTTTAGTGCAGTTATGCGAGGAATTAAACAGTTAAAAGTAATAGCAAATAATCCAACTTTTTAACCTATTCTAGACATTGACTAACATAAAGATGCTAGTAGATATAATCCAAGTTGAGGAGATAAGATACAATGGATGGTTATTAGTTAAAAATGTATGAAAATTATCCTAATGATTATGTTTAACCACAATCATGATTCAAAACAAATAAAAAACATAAAAACATGTTTAACATGTTGATAATTAATTGAACAGTAATTTTTTTTTTAAAAACCTAAAAACTTAAACATGGGAGGGTGGGGGGTGGTCTATGGAATAGTCCTACACACTACACTTTAGAATTAGATCTTGACTCCTTGGGTCAGATATCTAAATCTAGATCTAGGCTAATTATTCCAGACCTAAACATTAACATTTGTTTTCATTTCATAGTACCACATTCCTAAAATATAAAAATAGACAGGTCTTAAAAATATATCTCGATTATGATTAGATCTAAGTCTAACTAAATCTACTAGACTCTAGATCTAAACTAGATCTAGATTTTTATATCTAAATAAATATCTAATAGATCTATCTAGAGTCTAGATCTAGAATCTATCTCATTTTCAGCGCGCCAAATTTCTTGCTACTGCCCTGTTCCATTTCTCTGTCTCTGGTGGGCACTGGGTGATCTAACAACAAACGACGAACAATATTGATTGATCTTTTTTCTCGTTTATAACAATTTTAAAAATAAAGATTATAACTTACCATTTAGGTCGTCACCTCTGTCAGGCCTCTGTGTTGAAGCCATTTTTGTTTTGTGTAGTCAAATGGAAAGAGAGTTTGCCTAAACAGTTAAATCTGCTGTGCGTAATATTCAACTGCGTACGTACCACCACTCACGATGGTTTGTTGATATTATTTTTGTTCTGCTTTATTTACAAGTGACGTCGCTAAGTAGGTCATCGTGCTTCCAGCGCCCCTAGTAGTAATAGTAATGATAACAATGATTGCCTCCCCTGTTAAAGGGACATAATCTATGGAAAAAAAACAGACCAGTTTTACTTTATTATGAAACCTGATTACGAACATTAGACACCCGATGAACAGGGGCGGAACTACAGTGCCGCCAGACCCCGCAATGCGGGGGGGCCCACGCCATTTAGGGGGCCCACAGCCGACCATAATCAATTTTTTAATAATTAAAAAACGTAATTTTCTTTTTATTTTTGACTTGATGGTTGTTTTGTAACAAGAATACTATAGCTGCAGTTGGATTGTCTTTATTCTATAGACACCATTCCACGCTCTTGTATATTCTTTTTCCCCTTTGTTTTTAAATCATTGTGAAAGAATGGCAAACGGTTTCACCACTTCCATGACTTATTTCCCTTTTTTAAATAGTCAAGTAGGGGTGCTCATAAGCTCCTTTTAATAGATTATTGTACTAAACAAATTATAAAAGCAATTACTTCTCTTAATTATTATTTTTCAAAAAATACATACTAAAGAATAACATAGTATAAAAAGGAAATGTATTTAAAATTAATAATATAAATACAAAAAGACATTGAAATAAACATAACATGAGAAACCATTACACATACAAAGCTTTGATGTTTCATATTCTTTCGACCGTCTTGACAGTTTATAAGAATACGGCAAAAATTAAATAAAACAGTTTTTCAAAACAGACTAAGCCAGGGGTCGGCAACCTTTTGAAGCGGAAGAGCCAAAAGTTACAATTTTCAAAATTTCCCTGGTTTTAAAGAGCCACTAACAATTTTTTAATTTCAAATATTTTATTTTTTCATTAAGATTATTAGTATTTGTTCAAGGAGCTGGAGAGCCGCATCTTGATATCAAAAGAGCCGCATGCGGCTCGCGAGCCGCAGGTTGCCGACCCCTGGACTAAGCACTCACACACATGAGAAGTTGTTGTAATTTGATTTAATTGAAAAAAAAAGCATTTTTTTTCTTCAAAACCCAATCAGGCCAGAAATGAGTTTCCTATGTTCATATTTTTTGTTTGGTTGTGTATATATATATATATATATATATATATATATATATATATATATATATATATATATATATATATATATATATATATATATATATATATATATATATGGAAGGGCCCAAAATTTGTTTTTGCGGGGTGGCCCTTTTTTTCTAGTTCCGCCACTGCCGATGAATATTAAAGTTAAGAAATGCAGAAACAATTTTTTAATCCTTTTTTTTTCTCTATTTTTTAACTATTGTTTTTTTAACCAATGTTTGTAAAGATCAACTAAACAATTTCTAAAATTTCTTATATTTAAAAATGTTGCTCCTACAGTTTGTGCATCATGTATAATTTTATGAATTAAAAAATATTAATGACAAAAATGTTTTAAAAGGGTTCGCTCAAGTATGATGTCCACACAGGGCGAGAGTGAGTTTCCAAGCAGGTTTATGTGAACTGATGCTAGTGACTATGTAGGCATTCACATGTTTAATTTAACATCAAAATAATTACAAGTTAGGTCTATTTGGTTCCCAGAAATATGCGCAAATGAACAAATGGGACACTGAAAATTAAACAAATCGAAAAATGCTCAAATACACTTTAATTTTGTCATAGTTCATGGAAAAATGTTTTATTAAGTTACAGTGTACGTAGTCATTCCCTGCTAACTTATATAAATTATCAATTTAACGTAAATATATTTCTTCACTAGGTTATTTTACATGCATAAAAAATGTATAGCTTTAATCTTAAAACATCAGTGCTTGAAGAAATACTGGTATGAGTACAGAACGTAATGCTTTTTAAAAACTTTTCTTTCCATTCAAAATTTTTAAATATTCTGTCTTAATTTTGTCTCAAAACAATCATAACAAATTTATAAATTTTATTAAAAATAAATCAAGCCTTCATAACATTTGTACTTATAATTTTTTTTTCTAAACACATTTATAGATTCTCCTTTTATTATCAATATTTAATGAGAGACATACACTACAGATAAAAAATAAACCACCATCTCAACTATTAATATTGCAAAGTACACATAGGTAATACATGTAATTCAATTACAGTATTTGGAGCCAGCTTTGAGAACACCACTTACTTTAGTATGAGGGGTGGAGTGTGACGCCCATAGTGAATGCATGTATGGTAAGTGTTTAAAATTCCATTTTTTGTGGACATTGCAGATGGATAATTCGGGTCTTTTGGCTGATCTGATTCAATAGAGTTTACTTCTCATCTTCTAACTAACATTCAAAAGTTATAACAGAAAATAAACTCTACTTTAGCTACTGTAATTATATTTGAAAAAAAAATGCAAAACTGAATCCATTAGATTTGGATGGATGGAAGTCAAAACTTTGGTTATGGTTTATCAAAAGTAATGTGTATTGCTGGAATTTATGAGATAAAGTTTATGTGCTAGTTCAATATTTTGAAAAAACTTTAAAGACATTCAATTGAGGTTTAAAAAACACTATCCTACATGTAAGAGAGAAGAGTGGAAAACTGCAGGTTTTAGTTTTATAACATTAATTATATAATTCTGGCATTAAAACGAGGACTTTAAATTATACAAGTGACTTATTATCAAACTGAAACTCTAAAAATGAGCTATAAGGTTTTACATGATTATATTTCAATTCAACCATTATAATTGCACAGATATATTAACTTATTTGAAATCAGACAAAAGTGTAACAAATTGATTTGCAAATATTGCAAAAAAAACCATAGTATAATGTAATAAATATCTATTACTTTCACAAAGAGTGAAGAAAATTTAGCTTACGCTCAACACACAGATTAGTTGCAATCAGCTGTTTGTATGTTCACTTATTAAGTGCACAATATCTTCTTTCATTCAATAACTAAAATAACTTTTTAAACATTTTAACATGTTTCTAATATACAGCATATGACATAACTTACACACCCTGATAGTAAATGATAAATATTGACAAATTAATAATGACCAGAATCTTGTGATGCCAATAGTTTTTGCTGTCTTTCCTGTTCTTTGACCTGTTCTTGGGCTTCACGTTGCATTTTTTCCATCTTTTCAAGAGTGACAGATTTGAGGGGTAGAAGTTTGGGTTTACATAATGCAACTGTTGGGGAATCTTCTTGAAATACCATTCCCCTTTTTGGCAACCATTCAGTGAATGTTTCTTGAGACATCACTAGAAAGATGTATTTTAAAAACAGAATTATCACAACAATTACTTTATAACAGCATAGTCATTATAAGATAATTAAAATTGTAGCTAAGAACTTAGAAAATAATATATTGTTGACAGCCATTTTCATGCTTGTATATATTGCTGTTTACAAGGATTGTTAATGTATAACTTACTATAAAAACAATGGTATTTGATATTTTTTATGCATACATGTATATTATAATTAGTTAATGCTGTTTTTGAAGTTTAAATATAATTAACTTGAAATTTTGGAGTTGATAATCAGTAAAGAAATACCACAATACAGTTTATTAATAATAATTAATATCAGCAGTTTTTTTTCTGCCAATAGATAAGATTAAGAATGATATCAATAGGGTAGGATATTGGGTTAGGGCGGAGTTAGCCCATTAGGGTGGCAGAATAATTGGCGTTGATTAGCGTAGAGCACATTCATAAAATTATGTGCAATGCAACCGACTATGTTCTAGACTTGGGTAAAACCTTAGTTTAGCGTTGTAAATTCCAACGAAGCAAATAATGAAGTGTGGAGGTAACTAATAAATATTTCTTTTTCATTTGGCTATATTTATGACATATTTTACATAATATAACAGATAATTGCTATTAATATTAAAATATACGAAAATATAGGCCCTACCGCCCTACTCATAGTTAAAGACTTAAAGACATATTAACACATTCATTAATTCACTCTCCCCCACATTTACATTACTAGTTTTGGCAGAATTTACGACGCTAAACTAAGGTTTTACCTAGATCTAGACCTGTGGCTGTTAGTTGTTACATCTATACTTGTCGTCATTAATCATTTATTTATTAATATTAAATGATTAATGACCTAGTAGTTAGTAGTGCTAGTAGCCTAGAGTCTAAGTCTAACTATATCTATACTAACTAAAGCTAGTCTAGTCTCAGTCTGTCTGTAGTCACCAGTGTCATTTAAAAAATGCTAAAAATACGACGTTGAATTATAAATATTTCTGCTTACGAATTATAGATCTAGTTATGGATCTGTAGAGAAAAATAAGTGTTTCATAAAGTATTCTAAACTTAAGATAGTGCTAGAGTAACAGAATAGGTTGATAATAAATAAATTTGGTTGCAGTGATTGTGAATATCCTGTGGTTGATAGGAAAACAAACGCTTTTAATTTTCGCAGTAGGCTCCCTTGAAAATTCCGGTGTTTTGCATTTTATTTACCTAGGAAATGTTTCTATAAATGAAAATGCGTAGTCAGTAAAAATTAAAATTGAATAAATGAAGCCACACACTACTGAGAGGGGGCGGCTTTTTATGATGTAGGGGGAGGGGGGCTAAGAAAGTGTTATGACACACTTTTGCATTTTAAAAATGTATTTTTTTAATTAAAATTTAGTGGATCTAGATCTAGTGTTTTACTTTTTGTTTTAATTAGGCCTATGTTAATTGACTAATAAACCTAATATTTATGCAGGTTTGTTTGAATTTTAATTATTAAATAGTGAGTAACGATGTGTAAGCTTACATTAAAAAACCCAGTTTGTCTAACTAAGTTATTGAATTTTAGTCGCAAAGGGAAATAACTTCATTAATATTTTCTGCCAAATCAGGATAACTTGGTGTTTTCCCCTTACTGAAACGAAAATACAAAGTTATAACAAAACAAAAATATATTACAATATATATAACAGCTAGGCATGTCATTGTTACGTTTATAAATAATTTGCCATCACTAATTTAACTTCAAAACAACAAAATTTATGATACAGCAATGTAGTTTTAGTACAAGCAATTCATCCATTAGGCTCTATGTTCCATTGAGGGCTTTTGCCATCTTATTTCCATTTGTGCTTTTCTTCTTTTGACTTTCTAAATTATTGTTAAATGCAAAATTTTGCAAAGTTTAGTTCTCGTCAGTTATTCTTTAATTAGGTGTTTATTGTTCAACATGAATAGGTCACACTATGGTTAATGACTAAGGGTTATTGTCCAAGAGCCCTGTTTAGAAACATACATGATTTTTGATGATTTTAATGACAGGATTCATGCATCATCCTTATTTAATTTCTAAACATGAACACTCCTCTATTTAGCACAACAGCCGTACTTATCCTTACCTAACCATACCTCCCCATCAATGTTTTTGTCACCACTCCACACATAATAATGGTATATGTGTTAGCCATTGAAGAAGATTTTCAACAGCTTTAAGCAATGTTAAAATGTTAATTGTTTTAAAAGAGTTTGCAGGTTGTATGGTAAGCTAAAAAAAATTGTCCATAAATGACCTTATGCTATTTAACTGACTCAAACAAACCTACAAGTTTGTTTACAAAAATTCAGATCACATATTCTAAAATTACACTTATTACTATTTACTACTAAAAACAAGCAAATCTTGGTCATGTTTCGATACAAAAGACTAGCAATGTGTGTAAAGCCATTCAACAGTTCTACTTGTGTGTCAAAAAACTATCATGTGTGTATTTATTCCCTTGGTTACTTAAAAAACAAATATCAATACAAACACTTGGGATACACTGCAGTATAGTTATATGTAGGCTATACACTCACTGCATGAATTTACAATTGTAACATTCATTTAAAGAAAGTAAAAACAAAATTTGATAAAATATTCAGTTTTATTAATTACAAGAGATGTTAAAATTTGCCTTGCTGCCATTATATAAGTTAGTTACAACATGGTTTTACTATTTTACAAATATGTAAATGCCAGATGTTCATGTCATTAAAAACTTACATAAAAGGTTATTTCATAAAAATATGCACAAATAATATTTACGAAAACAAAAGCATCAAACTGTTCAAATTCATATTATGGACTAAACTTAAACACCACATTTGCATTTAAATAATAAAGGCACATTAGATATTCAAATACAGAAACATCCTTAGATTCATCCCTAGAAAAAAATAGTGTCTTCTTCTTCTTAAGTATTTTTAAAGTCTTTTTTTTGTTATACATAAAAAAAAACAATGAATAAAACAATTTTAAAGTGGCATAACTTAAAAGATGTAATTATAAACACTTGTTTCACTATGGTCATCTCGTCTTTAGATATCCAACCTAGTGAGACAAAGAATTTTTATTGAAACATTTCTGAGTTGAAATATTTATTACAAGATTTTACAAGACATGGAAAAAGCTAAAAATTGAATAACTATTTGTAAGGCTATCAAAAATGTAAATATTTTATTATCAAGTGCCTTATAAATCATAGCTATTTGGTGGACTTTAAGGAGTTAGGGATAAGATTTTGTATCAACAATTTTTTTAAATTGCCACACAAAAAATGAGCACTTACATGAAAACCATTCAAGTTCCGCTGGGAAAGGGTAAGTTGTTTAGTGCTGGATATCAATAGGCTGACCAATTGCTTACACAGTGGGTAAGGGAGAGAAATGCTGTGGACTGTATTGTCCTTCTGCCAAGCATTGAACACATCTGGGGTTAAACTTTTTCTGAAGACAAGAACATAAAATATTAATTATAAAAACAATTACGTATAAATTATTTACCCTATTAATGGAGCATTTACTAAACTAAATATTACAATTATAAATGTTAAATTGCTTATTAAAAAATCACATTAATTATTCAGATGAAAAAACGTACACAGGTTTTGAATCCTCTATTGGCAAGAATGTTGCTTTATATAATAGCTTCATGCTAGTACAAGGTAAAATATTTGGCACAGAATAATGATCCAGATGGTTATCTCCCTGCAATGAATCAGGTGAAGCTACTGGTGTTTTCTCAAGTGATGATGCTGAGAACACTGCTAGTTCTTGGTCCAATAACCATAGCTGTGAAATAAAAAGTCAAAAAAATACTAGATCATGCAAATTAAACACAACAGGCGTATACGACTACACAATAAAGCATAGCATTAGGAGCCAAATGCCACACCTTAACCACCACATACTGTTATGTAAAAACCACAAAAACACTATATTTAAACTTGGTCATGTGTTCTTGCTTGAATTCTCTTAACTTTTTAAGGTTTGTTTTACAGTTTTAACAAGCTATCAACAGACAGGTTAGACAAATTTTGAAAAACACCAGAGGTTTGCAATCTTACCAGTATCAAAATCATGTTTTTACCATCACCCTGTAACGTTGAGTCTATGATAAATCGGAAGCTGGTAAAAAGACGGCTTTGGTCCTTAAGAAGTGTTGAAATAAAATCTTCTATTGATAGTTCTCTTTCACTGGTGAGAAAATAAGCTCCACAATTTAAAAAAAAAAGATTTTACAGAGCAGCAAATAACAAAAAAAATAAAAACAAATAAATAAATTTTACTCTTTCTGGTTAACAACAGAATCTAATGGGGGAATAAATAATACAGAAATGTGTTTTAATGATTTGTTAAAGCTTTCACTGGAACAATTAGAGTACCTAATAATTTTTATTTACTTAACCAGTTAAAAGTGTTGACAAAAGATTTTAATGGCCTTTCAAAGCTCTATTAAGCCTTACTTATTGCCCAATTTAGAATCTAAGTCACGTGGCACTTGAATTTCACATACAGGGTTTTCAACTTTTGCATCTTGGAAGCTTATTGCATGAAAGTACATTTTGTACACACTATTCAAAGGATCATGAAAAAATGAATGAAGAGTTTGATCTTTGCTACTTGAATCTAAAAAAAAAAAAGTAAAGGAGTTTTATTAATAAAAAAAAAAGATAGTTTTGGAAAAGTATATTATAATAATACATAAAATTAAGTTAAAATATTACATAAATACCTACATGTTTTAATTTACAAATAAATTACCAAACACACCTCATACCTCCAAAATAAATAACTAAAGATTTTAAAATTTATTTTTCACTTACTCCCAAGCTTTACAAATCCCACAAAATTGCCACATCTTTTGCACACCAGTCTGTCTGCTGTACATATGAGTGCACCAGGCTTCACATGCCTGGCACTAACAAGCATGTACAAACTACTGACTAAGCAATCTTCTGGTCGAGGAGTTAGTCCTGTGACTTTAATTTGTTTATACTGTTCAGGCAGAGTGCTCTCCCCTGAGTGGTTATGACAGGAATGATTGGATTCTGTGCCATCTGTGTGATTATGACAAAACCAAATATCTGCAAAATCAGACCAGTTTTCGCTTGGCAGAGGAAGAACTCGCTTAAACTCACTGAAATACAAATGTATTAATTTGCTTTTTTTTTAAAATATTTGCTCTATTATAATGGGTCATCCATTATGTCCACTGAAAAATTAAACAATTCACATGCCACCCAATTACTATTTGCATTTATTAATTCTTTTTTTTTAAAAATAGATTATATGATTCTTTATACCATTTATATTTTTAAAATAAGCCTTGTGTTTAAATTAAGTAATTTTGTTTCCAAGAAATATTTAGCTTTTCTGATTATAAGGATATTGATGTTAAATTTGACAAGTGAATTTCCACATGAAGTCAGAACCTCCCTCCCCACTAATTCCTATATGTGAATGTCATAATGGTCATCCCTATTTGTAAAAAAATATATCCTTTAAACGTAAGGTTAAAATGTTTTGAAAATTACCAAGTAGATTTTAACAGATGAGCATCACAACCAGCGCAGTAACATCTTGATTGTGATGACTTGATCTTGCTGATGAGTCTGTCTTGATTGTAGGACTGAAACTCTTTCTTAGCAGCAAGTATGTTGTCTGCATCACCACTGTTCCCCTGGATGGTTGTCTGGTGTGAAAATGAAATGGTTGCCAGAAATACTATAACTTTTTATACAACTATTCTGATCAGTTATACATATCATATAGGTGACCATGATATATGAGAGAAAATAGATGCACATATCTACATTAGTAAAGAGATGTTGAAGATACTGGCGGAAGCAAGAACTAATACGTTTTAATTATTTTGTTTTCTTGTTGTTCTATCACTGGCGGTTCATTTTCTATTATTTAAAAAAAAACTGTTTAAAATTTAACGCAATATAATTAGCGGAAACAAAACTAATTAAAATACTACTGCCGTTGAATCAGGCTTTATTTATAATGAAACTAATATTGAAAAAGAAAGTAGCTCTTGTAACTATGTTGTACTTTTTCAGCATTTAAAATACATTTTTTATAGAAATAATGTCCCTGACTGTAAAGGGTAAAAAAATTAAGATTTTTTGAAGACCGTTATCTAATGTTTAAGAATAGTCATACAGGAATACGTCTAAATGTCTGAAAACCTTTTTAAACAACATACCCATGCAGCTTGTAAAGTGAGTTGAAGTTCACTTTCACTGTTCCATCTCAATCCTCTACATGATGATGGATTTATTGTTAAGTGAGATATTGGAAACTTCATGTGCCATTCAGTTGTTTCAACTGAAACACTGTGAACTTCTACTGTAACTCTTGGGAACAAGTCAACCACACAGCTTAAACAAATAAAGTGCAGGAATTAATATTGTAAGACTCAGATTTTTTAATCACAAAATGAGTTTATAGTTTCTATAGTACACTTTTAATAGACCAAATCAGTGTATTTTTAATCTTCATAAGACAAATTGGGGGATTGTATTAACTCTCTTCAATCTTTAATTGGAGTACGCTGCTAAAAATATCATTTCTTTAGATCTATTAGAGCCAAGCCAAATTTTGTAATTTAACTTTTTTTAAAATATTTTCATGAACGCCCTGCTGCGGGGCATGAGATGGGTCTACATGTCTGTTTAGTTTACGGTCTAAATAATGGACCCGAAACAAGAATAGTCTTAAATTTAAATTATTTAAAAGGCCCATTAAATATTTTAAAAATCATGTAGGAAGGTATTAAAATATGGTTAGGCCTATAAAAATCCGACTGTCTGATTGTGTTGGATGTAGGCCTATTGGATGTTTTTAGTATTTTTTGTAAATAAACACAACTTTTAAAAAGCCAAAAACAATTTGGTCGTTTACATATCACAGAAAATAATGGCAGAACTAAGTCATGTGGTTTAATAAAATAAGTTTATTTAAAATTTGTATCGAGGCTTTCAGAATATTGATCACAACCAATCAATGTTTGCCTTACAACAGTGAATCTTCAAGCAATAATAAATAGAAATTCAACCCTACAATAAAAAAATAATTTCAAGTTATCTCGATTTGGAAATCTTATAACATTGATTCTAAAAATATTAGGCTAAATTGGCTGAATTATTTTCAGGTCCAAGTTTAAAATTTTTTTTTTGTAAAATCTTAATTAGGCCTAATGAATAATGATAGAAGGATTCTTATCAACTCATTGATGTTCATTCCAACAAGGCAAGCTAAGACTGTTAATCTATCATTTTAGGTAACCATAAGTAAAACTGGCTGAGGCTAGTAATGTGAAAGAAAGGTGACTCATTAAATTTTAGAACTTATTTAACATTTTTAGAATGATTTATGTTTTAACAGTTACAAAAATGTTTCATGTAGGGCCTACCTGTTTTTGAACAATTTTATTTAAAGTTTTATTTATAGGCCTAATAAATAAAGATTAGCGATGTTTTCATCCGATGAAACCAAGCTCGTTTACTTTAGCAGCCATCTCGTTCAAGTTTTGTTTGGTTAAAATATAGTTAGAGACTCAGAGAAACCACTCTAATTTGCAGGTGGCCACTAATTATACTAATTATATAGCAAATCTTGTTCTCAAACACTACTATTTATTTACAAATTTACTGTTTACAGTTAATTTCTGGCCTAGGCCTAATGATTTATTTTGACATTGCTTTTGATTTCTTATTCGATTTTCTTGGCAGCGGCATTGGCTTTGCTAATATTGTCAATTATATTTGACACAAATATATCACAATATTAAAGCAATATTAATGAGTCACCTTTCTTTCACATTACTATTAGTTAGTAAAAACAGTACTATCAGTAGAACTACTGGTAGGCATTTTAATGAAAATCTCAAAATGATTTTTTTATTAAAAATGTATCAATAATAGCTAGCAAACTAGTAAACTAAGCCAATTTAGCATATTTTAACTTTTTGTGCAACATCATTATTACTGAAAAAAAATTCCTAGTCAGGTCAGCCTGTGGCATCCTCCACTGAACTTGACTGAAGGAAAAAATACTTGACCTGTGACCTTCATTAAAACAGAATTTACTTTTTTTTTTATTAGTACTAGTAGTAAAAATGTGCTTAATCTTACCCAAATAAGTAATAAAATTAGAAAATTAATTTCAATTACTGTTGTAAAGTGGGATAAACATCTTAATAAACACGTGCTTTTTGAGGGGGGTGTGACCCGGGTGTGGCACATCGCAATTGGAATTTTATATTTCTGTATTTTATTACTATATTTGTACACAATCAGCATTCTATGCTTTTAAAATTGATAAAGGGTAAGTATACCAAGTTACAAAACCTGCAATCTAACTAATAATTCCAGTTTAAAAAATAAAAAAAACGATCATGAATGAAAAAAGCATAAACATTCTATTTTTAGGTATGACATGACATAAAAAATGGTCATAAATCTAGCCAAATAATTGGATTCTAGCACAGCACAATTTTTTTTTTGTGCGCCTCGTTTTCACCAAACAAGATTATAATAAAATGGCATTGTTGAGGGGTGATCATTTCTCAAAAACACCCTAAATTAGGTCAAAAGTACATCTGACAATTCTTAAATAACAGACTTAAATAGAAATGGATAGATCTAGTTCCAATTTCTAAAATTAACGATGGCTACGTATTCATTAGTTTATCCCTCTACCGCATAGTGAAAGTGAAATTGGCCGCCATTTTAGTAAGCGCATGAGCCGTGAGATGGCACGAAAACAATAAACCGGGAGGATTTGAACTGATGGTCTGCTACTTCCCCAGCCTGCTACTGACTGGTCACTAGTGGTAGATTACCACTTGACCACTACTAGGACCTAAATTCAGTATTTTCAAAAGATTATGCAAGATCTAGACTAAATTTTTGTAGGCCTATGCAATAATAAAGAATATTACCTTGGAAGGTCTAGCAGAATGTTAACTACTGATAAAAGTGGTTTGAACTCAGCACGGATTGTTATCGGACCGCTCGACATGACCGACATAACTTTCCTATTTCCTCAACTTTCCTGTTAGAAAATTCCCTATTTAAAAGTTTCTGACATTGTTAGCATCATATCACAGATCTAGAATTTACATTTAAATAAATACATCAATTTTTTATAATAAATACTGACAGCATTGCAAAATTATTTATTAAATGTATCTTTAAAATGGTAACAATTTGGAGTATTGAGGAAAGTTCTGAAATTTGTACGAATGTCTGCTATTTGTTATTACAACAGTCCTAGCAGTAAAATATTGTTAAGGATTTAACTCGATAAAAGCTGTTTCGCAGTTTTATTTATTGAGTAAATTTGTGTTAAAATCCAATCATTTGCATTAGGTGCCTAGCTTTATAATAGATCGACATAAAGGTTAACTCTAGCCTACTTTTATACCCTTACATGTCCTCAGTTTTCAAATACAAATTTGTCGTTTAAAGTTCAACATTCAAACCGTGAATTCAAAAAATGCACCAAAAAAAAAAAAAATAAGAAGAAGAAGAAGAAGAGGATCTCGTTGTATGTTTTCTTTTCTTTTGTATCCTTTTCTGGATTATTCTTAGACCCAGTGGCGTCACCAGATCGGGTGTCACCCGGTGCGGCACTTCATATATATTTATACATATATATATATATATATATATATATATATATATATATATATATATATATATATATATACATATACATATATATATATATATATATATATATATATATATATATATATATATATATATATATATATATATATATAAATATATATATATATATATATATATATATATATATATATATATATATATATATATATATATATATATATATATATATATATATAAATTGTCGAAGTCCACAAATCTACTTTGTACTTTACTACATACCCCGCCCCCCCCCCCCCACCCCCCTTAGAAAATTTTAAGTGCTACCCCCCCCCCCCCCCCCCCCCCCCCCCACTCCCAGGAGTAAAAAGTCGGAAAAAAAAACACTACAAAATTCTTGTAGTGTTGGGCTCTCTGCAGTCCTCCCAAAGTGAGTTCCAAAGCGGAACTCACCTGTCTGAAGCTTGACTGTCTTTAGTTATAATTGTAAAATGTCTATGTTGTGTGATTATGTAACGATGCTTTTGTTTTTGAAAAATAAAAGGTTATAAATCTTATAGATTCCAGCCCAAAATTGTTATATATGAATCCTTTAGGAGAGGGTGAAAATATGAAAAGACAATTAATTAGATGTTTAATTTACGACTAAGACTGTATGTCTGCTAACATTAAGTATTTCAATTTAAAACGGCTACTGATGTATTTGTTTATCAACTTGCTAATGCTAAAAAAAAAAAAAACTACCAAACTATTTTGTTTATAACTTAATCTCTATATAATTTTTACAATACCAAATAATAACTTAACGTGCACATAAGGTGCAGGAATTTGAAATGAATGTAAAGTTAAGCAACGAATTATCTCCCATTGGAAAATACAAATAACAAAATTGTATTCAAGGGAAAGAGCTTTAACAAGAATTGCTAAATTAACCAAGTGTAACTAAGACATGTTGGGAAAACACAACAAAACGCTCTAAATTTCATTACGTAATAATTATAACATTTTTTATATTAACTATGTAATCTTGAAAAAAATAATATATTTTAACTGATGAATACTTAACTGTAGGTTTTAATTGAAAGTCTAAAAATAGTAGCTTTATTATAACATACTATTATTCAATTTTTATGGCATACATTTATATGTATCTTTCAACCTGTTAACAATACAAAATTTTGGATCCCCAAAATAATGGGACGTCTTTCAAAAAATTAAACACGGGTAACTGTTTTAGACATTGCTCAAATTATTGATTAAAAATTATAATTTAAAAAAAAAACATCAAAGTTTATGACTAGTTATAAATTACATCCTATTTAATATTATATATTAATACTTTAAAGAGTGGGAATATAGATTCCTAAAAAAACTAAAGATTTTTCAATTGGAGAACGCCTACATTTCTTTGTAGTGTGTTCCGTACTGAATTGAAATCATCCTTAATACCACAAGAATCAATACTCCCGAACTCCAGAACTACGATACTTCATCCCCTGCATTCTCATTTCTGTATTACCAATCAGATTCCACTAGACCTTCAACTACAAAATAGCTGAATAAAAAGTATGACATTTTAACACTTCAATACTTTATATCTACGAAACCATATCAGCAACAGCCCTCCGCCGTTACTCCCAAATCTAAACGATTCATCAAAATTTACCAAACAAGTACAATACTTTGAACACACCGTCATTACAAACTCTATACACCAGGACAGATTTCTAATTCAAAGTCAGAGAAAACGAGACGTACAAGACCTATTAAAATGTTCGAATTTTAAATTACGAACTTATGTAATCGTTTTCTACATCAAGTATGTGACACCAAATTAAAAATTAAAAAGGCAAAGTGACTGGTAAAAAGCGCCCCGAATTTTCCAAATTAGGGAGGTGGGGTTGAATTTTCACCAACGTGAACAAATATAGGCCTATATAGGCCTAATTTTGGGATGGGGGCGCAAAATTGATAGTTCGTTCTCGGTGCCGAAATAGATCGCTATTCCTTTATAAAAGTTATTAATTATTAGGTACTTTTTGATAATAGCGATTAAACCTTTTGCGCCCCCCCCCCCAGGAATGGCGTCCTAGGCGACCGCCTAGTTCGCCTTATGGGTAGCGCCGGCCCTGGTTCTTAGACCATTTTGTTTTCTCCATTTAATTACTATAAATGCAATTGTTGTTCATGTCTTTGATGCTGTGTAAAACCATCAAATAAAACCATCAAATAAACCATCGTATATATGAAACTTAGTCAATAAAACTACTGAAACGGTACTCAAATAATCGTGTTCAAAAAGCTTAAGTTGAAAACAAATAAAATGAATAATTTTATTATCTGCAACTCTGTCAAGCATTGTTTTAAAGGCAATAGCTGAGATTACGATAGCGACACAAAACATCACGTGACGTCCCCTGGCGAGAAACGGGTTCAAGTTTCCAATGCTCTATAAAGACCATGGCTCCGAAACAATATTTAAACAGGGATTACATCTGGTCCTGAAAGGCTTACGTCAAATTATTACAAGGCTTCCCTTTTTATTGAGACGTGATCAGGAAAATGCTTTTAATAGAGTGTCACATTTTTTTAAAATTGAACACAATACTATCTAGCAATGTAGGAGCCGACTTTTATACATGTATGGGGATCATTTACAAAATGCATTCAACCATTTTGTGATCATGAAAAACTACTAATGTCATTCTCAAAACGTAGCAAATAACAGATTACCGCTAGCCTCATATTCGTTGAATTGTCAAAGGTAATACACATGTGGACAGTAAATAATGTTCTTGGAATCTTTAGCCTTGTTGACAATAGGTGTGATCCGATACCCCCCCCCCCCCCCCCCCCCCCCGTGTTTGTAACGCTAAAAAGACTAGCAGTATGAAGTATTATGCATAGTTTAATTTTGAAACGTTTACTTGCAAGGGAAATAACTAAATCAAATAACTAACTCAAATACGAATCGAAAAAAAAAATACGCCATAGTTATAAGAGTTTCCAAAAATAAATGTATACAATTGTGCAATAATCCTAATAATGTGATCTAGTTCTAAATTGATAGAAAAAACAATATGTATTTTATTTTCACTTAAAATTAAACACCTTAACTTCTTTTTAATAATCCTTATTTTAGTATTGTTAAATTACACTTAACCAAATCTGATCCCATAATGAATTTTTAAAACTATTTCTGGATCCCTTACAAAAGGGATAAATGTAAATTAAAATATTGGGTGGTGAAGTTTAATTATAGTATGGATTAAGTAAAGAGCCGAAGTGTCAGGATCTCATTAAGTTACCATTATTTTACTAAAGCTAATGGGTCGCTGTCGTTCTGTCAGGGCCCTCTATCAAATCAGACATGTCGAATATGTTTGTGGTGTAGAACTGTCTCATTAGTTAATTATGTGTTTAATGTATAAAGTTCAATTTTTTTTCTTACTGCCCATTCGAGCCAGTGGTTTGCATAAAAATGCATAGAGAAAATAAAAAAGCATTTATACATTAGTACATTATCATATTCCTATTACTAGTATTATTCATATTATTTACTAATCGAACATTTGACAAGTGGGAGTTTTGAATATCTAAGCTTAAAAATGGGTTGATATGTTTTTTCCTGGTGGAAAACTAATGCAAATGGTATAAAAATGAAAGAAAGTTGATTTGTTAGGGCGAAACGTGAGCGTTCATCTTCTAGAGCTCCGCTGTAGAATATTTGTTATGCAGTCTTTGTGGGGTCCTTTGTTTATTCTGTAGTAAATTTCAGCATCGTATGGATACTTGTGCTTTATGTGCAGTTAAATTCATTTGAATTGTGGGCAGTAGCGTAGCCAGGATCGTCTCATGGGGGGGGGGGGGGCAAATTTTTTTCAGCATTATATATATATATATATATATATATATATATTTTTTTTTTTTTTTTTTTTTTTATTGAACACAAAGCCTTAAGATCATTCTCTGCTTGATGAAAAATCACGCGACATTTTTTTTTAAATCGATGCACACAGTACCTTTCTAATGGGTTCACCAAAAAATTTTTTACCTGGGACCATACCAGAATTTTTTACCCGAGACCTACAGAAATGTTTACCTAGGGACTAACCGGATTTTTCCCGGTAGACCGGCGGGCCAGTTCATCCCTGGTCTCTCTCCAGTCTTGTAGCTGGCAATAGCCTACACACATGCGGTAACAGAATGATCTGAACTGGAAAAAAACAATATAATAAAAAAACTATTTTTTTTTTTGTCTTGAGGTCTTATGGCCTGGTAAATAGATACTGGTATATTGGGAGTGGTATATTTGGAGTGGTATATTGGGAGTGTTATAACGAGAGTGGTAGGCCTATATTGGGAGTAGTATATTGAGAGTGGTACATTGGGAGTGGTATATTGAGAGTGGTATATTGGGAGTGGTATTTTGGTAGTGGTGTATTGAGAGTGTTATATTGTGAGTGTTATATTGAGAGTTGTATTGAGAATGTTATATTGGGAGTAATTTATTGGGAGTGTTATATTGAGAGTGTTATATTGAGAGTGTTATATGGAGAGTGTTATATTGAGAGTTATATTGAGAGTGTTATACTGGGAATGTTATATTGAGAGTGTTATATTAGGAGTGTTATATTGAAAGTGTTATATTGTGAGTGGTATATTGTGTTTAGACAATGTAATATCCGCTGATGAAGGTCCTGCATATTCTCGATTATAGCTCCACTTGGTGAGGTCTCCAATTTTGTCGGTCTCTTTTCCTTCATTTCTAGTACTTACACATGTGCCATAAATTATTTTCTCGTTTGTACTGAAAATCACAATGAATACATTTTCATCAATTTGCTCTGGTCGAAATGACTTTCGGAAGTTTCTGGTGTCAATTTGAACAAAGTATTTTTAATGTGAGTAGAACATTATCCAAAAACTTACTCTTAAAAGTATTTAATTTGTGAATTTGCTTTGATTGTTCCAGCTTATACACCTATTGATTGAAACAGGAATATCACAAGAATCAAGTGGTGGTGATGTTTTATTCTTCATAAGTTCTAAAACAAAGGCCGACAGCTCTAAAAACATTAACAAGTCATTCGTTATTCAAAAGTTTCTTTCAAGAGACTTGAAGTCATTTAGTTCTCACTTCAGCCTTTATCGACAATGAAATAGTCAAGTGTTTCAAGTATCCCAAATTACGTATGATATCCGTGGTATTAGGCAATATCAAATATCTTGGAACAGTTGTGAATGAAGGATCTTGTTATTAAGAGGGTTTCAATGTTTTCCTTTATAGGTCCTATATACATAGGTATATATATATATATATATATATATATATATATATATATATATATATATATATATATATATATATATATATATAGGCCTATTTTTACTATCATGTACAACAGCAGATAATTTGAGATACGCTATTAAAACCATTTAGGGATAAAAATGCCTACTTATTATTGACCACTTTTCCTTGTTTAGGGTCTAGTTTAAATAATTTAAAATTTAGAGACAATTTTGTAATCGATATGTAAAGACTTAAACTCTAATTAAGTACATTGAAAGTTGAAGAGCATGAGATGGTCTGCGTAAATTGGTTACATCTCGTAGACTAGCAAAATACTTAAATAGGCCTAGTAGATTTACGCCGATTAACGTTATAGATTTATCAGCAAAATGTAGACCAATTTTAGCTATGATTATACAGCGCAGATTGAAAGTATCCAAGCCTGAAGTTATTTACATACAATTGTAGAACTAGCTAAAAAAAATTCTCAATAGTACACAGAAGAAACTACTAAACTATAAATAATTATTTTGAAAATTATATCAAGTTACATTTTTATTTAGAAAACAAATCTATAACACTTATTTCTTGACAAACTGAGCTTCAATTAAATAATTACAAATAATGGGAACAGCAATTTCGCCATTGGTGACTTTACCACTTTCATGATGGCGCACATATTATATATCACGGTGTGCGTGGGGTTGTCTATTAATGTATAAAGTGTTATATTGTGTTTAACGGCGGCGTTGGTCAAGAGTTGTGTTATAAAAGAAAGTGTATTTTCATTAGCCAGTGTAGTCCAGTGTAGTCCAGTGTATGCCAGTTTAGCCCAGTATAATCCAGTATTTACAAATCTGATTGAAGTCAATAATTCCACACACCGCCTAATTGCCTCGCATTTAATAGCAACATCGGTTCATATACTCTGTCATTTTCTGTAGCTTGGTCTATTTCGAACTTTAAACAATACTGAATGTCTAATAGTGCTACTTCGATAGTTGGAGGCAACTTTTATTTTAAGATTTTTAAGAAAACAATTAATTAGATGTGGCAACACAGTTTTTAATATGATAAAAAGTAAAACACACAATAAAAACAAACAAAAGTGCTGGAGTTTTAAACATTCGGGAAGTTTATTAACTACAGTTTGACTTAAATTAAAAATCTAATAAAATTAGTTCTGGATAAACTTGATTAAATTTTGGAAACTTACTGTTTAAATATTTTAATTATAGCACTGGCAACACTGTACCACTATACAGTTGCAACATTTTTGCAAAGTTGTTGTTTAGTCAAAAGTGGTGTGTTATATCCCTTTAATCTACAATACTTTTCACAAGGGAAACAACACAATGTGTCATTAATTAATTCGTCTTGGTGCATTACCGGATACCTGCTCATTAATTCATTCACCGGCTCACCGTAAGACCACATTAAATAGTTGCATTTTGATTTCATTATACAACTGACTAAAAAATATTCGCTTTAACCTTTTATTTTTAATTATCTTTCCTTGTTTCGTCCTTAAAAGCCGTTCTCCATGTCATTCAATGCGCAGTCTGGCAACACGAATTTGTTCTGTAAACTTGTATCTGGCAGCAATTTGTATCAATCTTAGCTGCTTTATTCTCTTTCAAACAAACGACTTTTACATATCGTAAACAATTTAAGTAACAGAACACCTACATTACACGTTGTGTTACATAATGTGTTATGTATCAACCTACAGATGTGATCATATTTTTTATCTAAACAGTGCGGCTAATTAAAGCAACAATTCAACATATTTTGTATCGTTGCACGTTTTTCTTACAACTTTTAAGATCACAAACTGTCAACAAGGCAACAATCAGGGGTATGGCGGGATGGGTGGGGAGTGGGGGGATCAACCATCAGGATCTTTTTTGTTTAACAGATCTTTGAGGAAGGCGGCGAACTCCTCCAGCTGATAGTACTCGGCCTCCGTGAGCAGCTCTCTCCACATGGTCTCACTCACGGGCAGGGTCCCTTCCTTGATGCAGCCGTCACGCAGGTAGTTGAGCACGTACCGGAAGTACGTCCCGTCTCGGTCGATGAAGTAGCTGCCGTCTGCTTCTGTTTTCAGTTCGTGTCGGCCACTGCAAGAAAAATTTCAACTTTAAAAAAATTAATCACAAAGTAAAAACTAAAGAAATGAACGAAACTGGTTGCAACTGGATATAGCCAGACTGTACTATAAAATGGCTAAACTATCTTGTCGGTTTTTTTATCTGTATGGTATAATTGTTTTGATGAAAACTTCTTATAACAGTATCAAAGCATGTGTTTAAGTTTGAACTATATCCGATGTTTTCTTAGAGAAAAAACAATATCAGTCTAAGTTCGGTAACTCTGAAAGCCTGTTTGTTTTCTCGATTGACAAATCGTGTTTGATCGACCATGGGAGATAACTCGCCCAGGAGCGTCGAACGAAGCCATTGTTAACTTACTTGACGTATTGAACATTTAATTAACTCTAGGTATAATCAACGTTGACACTAATTACACGTGGACGCTTTAGGCAAGGCGACATGTAATTAAGTATTTAAATTTAATTAAAACTTTTTGGGGAGAAATGCAGTGTTGTTTCAAAATTTTAAAAATGAAAAATCAATAATAAAAACTTTAAATTTGGATTTTGATAATTGCTGTGTTTGTATAGCGTATATATAAAAAAAAGCGAATTCAAAATAAAAACCCAAAACAATTCCACTTTAGATAACCTTGGACAAGTGCTTGGAGTGTTTATTATCTTGTACTTTTACAAAAACCTTGAGAAAAAATCATTTTCAGAGCATCATATTTTATAGTCAATTTTAATCAGTCATGGACCGAGAAACGCTAACTTCGAGCATGTTTTTACTGAACAACTCAACAGTTCCCCCAAGTAACCTCACGAATTCTACAACCACAGAAGTGATGGCGTCTAAACCAGACGACAGTGATTTACATTTGTTTCTTGACGTGGTCAAAAGCGTGGCATCGTGCTACACAATGGTGCTCATCTGTGCGGGCTGCGTGTGCAACACACTCTCCATCAGCGTGTTCAGCCGCAGGTGTTTTAGAGAGAGCGCCATGTCGCTCTACCTGAGATTCTTATCTCTCATGGACCTGGGCGCCATCTTGACCGGCCTGACCCGTTTCTTCCAATCGTCCACGTTTAACTACGACGTACGAGAGGAGAGCCTCCTCTCCTGTCACGTGAACTACTGGTTCATGAACCTCTTCCTCTATTCCAGTAGCTGGACACTGGTCATCGTCACGACTGAACGAGTCTTCGCCATATTAAAACCCCACCCCGTCAACTCTACGCGAACCCGGACACGAACCAAACTTTTCATCCTCGCTATCTTCCTCACCGTCGCCGTCATCAACATCCCGGTCTTCTACATCTTCGGCAACTACCAGCTGGTGCTCCAGAAGAGCTCAGGTGATATCTTGGTCAACTCTAGTCTGACCAGGTACTGCACGGTCGCCATAGCCAGGGAACTATCCAGCCCAATTTTCTGGTGGCTAGATGGGATCATCTTCGCCTTCCTCCCTAGCGTCATACTTGCTGTCTGTAACGTCATCATCCTAACCAGCGTCATCAACAGCAGAAATCGTTTAAAGAAAATAGATAAACGTACCCACAGTCAAACTTCAGCTGAGGTTACTTCTCATATAGAAAATAATGTATTTAAAATTGAAAAGAAAAAGTCGAAACGAATTGCAGGATCAGGGAAAGAAACATCGCTGACAGTTTCGCTGTTTTTTATCAACATCGCGTTCGTGGTGTGCAACTTCCCAATATGTTTCTATGACTTGGGCCCGCATCATTTAACAGACAGGGGCCTGGAGCAGCGGGGTGATGCCATAGAGCAGCTTCTGCTGATGCTCATGTACACAAATAACGGTCTCAATTTCGTCCTCTACTGCCTGACCGGGTCCAGGTTCAGACAAGAGATTCGGGGATTGTTGAAAGAAATAGTTCAATGCCGTTTTAACGAAATATTTTGATATTCTTCTACTAAAACGACTGTAAGCTATGTTATTAGGAATGCTTAAATAATGGAAATATGATAATAGTTAACCCTTTGTTGGTCAGTCAATACATTACTAACATTTTTTTCCGCCAGGGACACCACTTTTGATTGTCTAAAATTATGGAAGTATCGAGATAGTTAAACTTTTATTGGCTAGTCAGTACATTACCTAAACATGGCCGCCAGCATAGAGTTGGGGTCTTTAGTTAACGTCAGAAGGGATGTGGTGAACTGGTTCCCGCCAATGTCCAGTTTGATACGGCTCTCCTGTACCTCTCTCAGGTCAGACATGCGCTGTTGAAGTGTATAGTTGTATATTACAGATATGCGTTGGTGGGTTTACAGTATTACATAATAGACACGTTAGAGTTTACAGTAATACATTACACACATGTTAGAGTTTACAATAATACCTTTCAGACATGTGATGTAGAGTTTTACAGTAATACATTACATACATGCGGTGTTTAAATTTACAACAATACATTAAATAAAGCATAACTGGATCTTGATGAACTATTAGCACTAGTTATTTGAGTGAGCTATCCGCAAATGTGTTTTAAAATTGTACTGTGGGTAATCATTCAGTGAATGAAATAGTTACAGTTAAAGAACGAATTTTAATGTACATTTTTGGTCTAATTAAAGTTGGAGTTGCTGCAATAAGCTGGCATTCTCCTCTGTCTTTACTAATTAGTCTAATTACTGTAAGCGGATACATTCTCGAAGCGTTTTTTTATAATTTTAATTGGAAGCCAGGAATCGAACTTTTTTCAAACGTTGTGTGCTGCCAAATTTTGTTACCACACCGCATGTACACCACATGTACACCACATGTACACCACATGTACACCACATGGACACCACAACAGTGGTGTAGCGAGGTCGGGTGTCACCCGGTGCGGCACTTAATGGTGTCACCCCCCAGAGGCGTTGCGACCCTTCCCGGGGACAAACTTTCATGTTTTCGATTTGCACCCCCCCCCCCCTCAAACTATCGATTTGCACCCCCCCCCCCTCAAGTTTTTGATTTGCACCCCCCCCCTCAAACTTTCGATTTGCACCCCCCCCTCAAGTTTTTCTCTATATATTTTGCTATTTTTTGCCTTGGTGTCACCCCCCTAAATGGTGTCACCCGGTGCGGTCCGCACCCCCACCCCCCCCTCGCTACGCCCCTGCACCACAAGGACACCACATGTACATCACATAACACCGAGTCGACGTGGGACAGTGACACATAGACACCGCCGACCGGTCACATAGAAACCACGCAACACAACATAGACATAAGAACACCATATACACACACCATCTAGTTAATTAAGTAGGCCTACTTTAATATTTATGAGAAGTTATATTTTTTTTTTACTTTAAGGATATGAGTAAGTTGTCTTGTCTGAACACCGTTGTAAGCTAATGTATGTATTGCCTCAGTTGGCGTAATGAAACCTATCAGATTCCATCCACAAAGACTGAATGAAATTTTAATGTAACCAATAAACGAATTATGTGATTGTACAGTACACATTTGTTTGATGCTCTCTATAACAGTACATGTACCGTATCTGTAGATACAAATAGATGTAAAATACCTTCAGCTCCTCTTGAAATTGTTCCTTCTCTGCCTGAAGTTCCTCCTGTTGAGTCTTCAGTTCCAGCTGTTTCTCTGCTATTTGTTTCTCTGCCTCTTCTTGCCTCTCTGTGAACTGGCGTTCTAGTTCTATCCGTCTGCTCTCGTATTCCTGTACACAGGTGACATTAAACTTACTCGTTGATCAAACAACGTTTAGATTACATCTTTTATCAACCTAGATTTTTAATAGAGATCTTTTATCAACCTAAATTTTTAATGGAGATCTTTTATCAGCCTAGATTTTTAATGGAGATCTTTTATCAACCTAGATTTTTAATGGAGATCTTTTATCAAACTAGATTTTTAATGGAGATCTTTTATCAACCTAGATTTTGAAGGAGATCTTTTATCAACATAAACTTTTAGATTGATCTAATATTAGCATACAATATTAAACCGTGTTGTTTTTACTTCAGGTTTCGGCACCAGTTCTTATACATTAAATTTGTATTAAAACAAGGCGGTGTGCGTGGTCGAGTCGGTAAAGCTGATGGTTACTAAACTAAAAAGTCTCGAGTTCGACGCCTCACTGGCACATAACCAGTCGACACGTATACGTAATTGTATTCGAGGGGATCAGAATGTAAATCCTAACTCATATGTAACTACTCACTTGCACCCAAAAAGGTATCAATAGAGTTAAGTTACGCTTAAACACACAAAGAATTATTAAGGGCTGTTAAAGAATTAGTTGTTTTTTTTACCGCCAATATAAGGTAGGAGAAAATTTACCTTGATTTTCTCCTGGCACCTGGCCAGTTCCTCGTTCAACCTGTGCTCCTTCAACTCTAGCCTCGTGCCCAAACGTTCCGTCACCGACTCACGCGCACACACTTGACGCTCCCTCTCCCTCAGCTGACACTCACGCGCCTCCATGTAATCTTTGGCTCTCTGGGTCGGGATCAACACAAGTTTGTTAGATGGGGTTCAATCTTGACATTTGTCCAAGTGTTAAAATCAATTTTGTTGTATTGCAGCGCACGCAGATTGTGTATTTTAATGATGTTAGTATAATGTCATAAAGTAGGTGTATGTTTGAAAGGTAAATGTTGTCTGTATGTTATAAGATTTTTATGGTGAATGATTGCTGTGTGTTATAATATTGGTGTATGCTTGTACGTGTATTGAGAGTAGGCCTACACATACTAAAACGTAAACGCTTTTTCCCCATGGATGATTTAAAAAATTGTGTTTGAGGGATTTTTTTTAATGTTACAATTAATACATGTTTAAATAATATTACTATGAGGTAACTTGTCCATCCAGCTTCATATTTGAATTGTTAAGAAATATTAATAGTAATAATAGTAAAGTACGTGTTTTTTTTTTTTTACAAGCTTTTATTTAACTCACTTCCTCTGTCGTCAGTCGTCAGTCTGTCTAGACGGAAACGCAGGAGTGAAAATTCGGACAGTTCTACTTGACCGATACGATTCACAGTTGGCACGTGGGTCAAGACATGAAGACAATGCAATCTGAAACTAAATTTGACTTAATTGGATGCCTAATTAATTTTTTATGAATTAATTAAAATTTGGACCGAATTAGTAGGCATGTCTAGCCAACCACACCACACGCGTCATCAATAGCTGCGCCATCACGACCACGTAATGGCTGCGTTCAAAAACCATTGCGCGCCTACTGAACGTGATATTCTACTGGCGCGCAATGGTTTTTAGTCATGTAACTCTATTGTAGATAAAACATGTAAAGTACTGAAAAAAAATTCATAAAAAACGTTTTAATAACAAGCTTTTATGTAATGATGCACTAAAAAGTAGAAAATAAATTATAGACTACTATTTAAATAACTATAAAGAAAAGCGTGGGTGTCTTCCTTAACATTAGTAAAGGTATCCAATAGATACTAAAGTGACCCACGCTTTTCTTTATAGTTATTTAAATAGTAGTCTATAATTTATTTTCTACTTTTTAGTGCATCATTACATAAAAGCTTGTTATTAAAACGTTTTTTATGAATTTTTTTTTTTTTTTTTTTTTTTTTTTTTTAATCAAATGAAAAAGCGAAAATCTAGCTGGTGATACTAAAGCTGGCTAATTAGGGGAACATATTCATTATATCATTAATTTAAAACGTGTGCCTGACATGCAGTAGAAAAAGAACTTGCAGAGAGAGAAGTTGTCAAACCTACCTGAACGAACACGTTGAAGTTCCCGTGAAGCTTCTCTAGAAACGTCTTCCCGACGTAGTCCAGCTGCTCATGAATGTCCAGCTCCCAGGGGGTCGTCACGTCCTCGAACATGCTGTGCTCTACCAGCTGCCCGTGGGTCTCAGCCTCCTCCGTCAGCTCCATGTTCTCGGGGGCTCCCGTCCACTTCCCTTCATCGTCCATCGTTTCCAAGGCAACCACCGGCCTTGTAAAATCAGAGTCCATATCCAGAACTACGCCGATGGATTTATCGCGGTAAAACAACGGCCTCCATTCGGTGTCTGCCTCTGGTTTTGCCCACATCCGGGACTTCTGATGTGCTGGAATGGAATACAACTGCCGAGCTTTGAACTCAATGTGACCCACCTTCTCCATCTTGCTGAAGCGAACAATGTGAAAGTCCTCTGGTGGTGAACTGCTAAGCATTATTTTAAACGAATTTATATTATGTTCAATTTCAGGTCCTCGTGCATATTTATACACTACAAGCTTCATAGCCTTGTGGCCTTCAGCAAGTCCGTACCACTGTACAAGCATTCGCCAGGCATCTTCATGTACCACATCAACAGTGTGGGCGTAGTCTCGTCTCGTCACTATAGGACCTGGTGGAGACGATGCTCTTTGGCCGTAGTACTTCCTCGAGCTATTGATACCAACGAACTTCTTCAGCTGCTCCAGCCACTCGGCTACGATGACATACCAGAAGTCCCCTTCAACCAAACTCCGATCAAAGAGATGTTCTAGAAGAACCTTCTGAGCCTGGAGGTCCGGCGAGAAGGGAGATCCCGATGGATGAGCGGTGCCGGAGGATGAAGCCGGAGCCGACGTTGGAGACGATGCTCGAACTCCGGCGACGGCTGCCACGGGGACCCCGCTGGAACCACAAGAGGTAGGCGAAGACATCCCGAATCGGCGCTCACTGTGTAACTGGCGATGAAATGACGTCACCGTCGAAGGAAGCATAGATTTTCTGGAGTAAACACATTATATATATACGTTAAAAACGACTCACTACGGACCCGTGTGCAAAACGAGGTTGCGTGCCAAATGCGCAGTGTTTACCTGGGGTCTCGTCTGCGCGCGTGCATGCGTCTGGCAAAGATATAACCACGGGCTCCTGGCATTTGACCTTTGTGGAATGACGTCTTAAAATAGATGAAGTAGACGTTCACGTGTTCTTGTTTGCAAACAAGGTGGTTTTAAACAAAGAGAAAATACTCTTAAGGAATCGAACTCTCAACAGTATAACCGAATTAGAACTTCGCAATTATGGTTCTTAGAGGCTGGTATATTGACTATAACTAATTAAACCTTTAGTTATTAACAATTATTCGATAATTTAAGTTAGGTTTAAAATCTTAACAACTAATCAGATTTAAAAATAATTTATTTAAAAAGATAATATTATAATAATTAAAATGTATATTATTACTAAGAAACACTAAAACAGTATTGGTTTTTATTGCAAACACCTACCTGTGTTTGATATCTGTTTAATATCGGAGCAGGTTCTCCGTTAGAAAAAAAATACGAATGAAAATTGTTAAAGAAAGTTCCTAAATGAAAAGTTTATATACTCGGATCTCCACGTGACGGCGAGACCAAATCGAGGCTGCTTGACAACAAGCCAACTCTTACGTCACGGTTCCAAAGTTCTCGAACTTCGCAGATTGCTACCCTGGTTATTTCCTTTGTTTTACCTGCCAAATCCAGGTGTGGTCTGGCTATTTATAGTTTTTCTCTTGACCAATAATAAAGTCCTGACCAAGGTCATTAATAAAAATAGATTATCCACAACAAAAACAAGCAATAGGAAATTTATTTCATTTTTTTAAACTTAATTCATATTAAAAAACAATAAATAAAAGAAAAACAAAACTTTTCCGTTATCTCCTGCAGACATAATTAATTAATATACTAATTATTTGTTTGCTACCGTGATTGTTTTCATCGCGTGTATTTATGAAAGCGTAAAAAAAATGTAAATATAGTACCAGGTAGGTCTACGGTATACGGGTCTTGTGCTGGAGTTCACCCTGAACTTGGGTTGTCTGGATTCGAGGTGAGCTGGGAGTGACGGCCCTTGTACGTGGCGAGTCACCGAGTTCCCCCTCAACTGCGGGTGTCTGGTGTGTGGTGGGGATGTACCGCCCTTTTTCTTAGGGTTAGGGTAGACATGTAGCTAACGATGTACATGGGTAATGAAGTGTTGATACGGCAATCACGGTTGTAAAAGCCAGAAGAAAAATGGGGGGGGGGGGCAGCCCCACTTTATAATACGTTACTAGGTTCAACCTATGCCGTAATGTAATTCGAGCGGAGGAAAGGGAGTAGGCGTGGGGGGGTGGGGGGGGGTTAGACACCAGTTTGTAATGGAGCTAAGGAGGCGAGGGGTGTTATCAAGAGTTCTGAACGTTACGATGATTTTTACTTTCTCGTATATACGAAGTATAGAGAAAGTATTGTAATCGTGCACAAAAATCACTTGAAATTTTAACAATTTTCACCGTATTACACCTCAGTCTTTCATCACATCCGAAGTATAGAGGACTTATTTTAATCGGGCAAAAATTATCAATCCAGATTTATCAAAAGTAAGAGGTTTTATGCGTAATCCAGTCTGAAAAACTGGGCTTTGCAATTCTGTCCGTATGTCTGTGTGTCTGTCTGTCCGTGTGTAAACACGATAACTTGAGTACCGTTACAGCTAGGTTGATGAAATTGCATATATAAGTATTTTATCAAAATCGTAGATCCTTATCAACTTTTGAGCGATTTCCGATAACCGGAAGTGGTACTTTTCCTACTTTGAATTTTTCAAAAGCCTATAACTTGAGTACTATTTCAGATAGATAAATGAAATTTCACATGTAAGTAAAAGATCTACATCTCTACCTTCTGTTAAATTTTGAGTAATTTCCGTTGACCGGAAGTAGTAATTTACGCTACTTCCGATTTTTTCAAAAAACTAATGTAAATTTTTAAAGTACTAATAATATTGCGCGCTATTGTGCACTTTTTTATTTGGCGTTCACTAGTTCACTTGGTGTGCAATTCTTTTGTCTACGAGATTTTATTCTATTTTTAAAACTTTAAGTATTTAAAATGGATTAAAAATCATGTCTATAGCCCGAGCTCCAATCCCCTGTTATTTTATATAAGAATATTCGAGAAAGTTTTGGGGAGATCACTCCCGGTTTATTTAAAAATCTATATTAGTTTACAGTATAAAGGCAGTGTGCATTTTGATACCTTTACTCTGATATATTTTATCCTTTTGTTGTTTTGTCTGATATATTTTGATATGATAACATGCGTAATGTAGACATACATACATACATATATTTATATAATATATATGTATGTATAATATACATATATATATATATATATATATATATATATATATATATATATATATATGCAGTGGCGTAGCCAGGTTGGTTTCATGGGGGGGGGGTAAATTTGTTCCATCATTAAATATATATATATATATATATATATATATATATATATATATATATATATATATATATATATATATGTATATATATATACTAGCTGTATGTCATTGCTTTGCTATGATGTAAAATAAATTGAAAGCAGTACTCTAAAGAAATAAGAAAAAACACACAATCAAGGCCAACAAAACAAAACAATTTATCACTTTAAACTTTAAACAAACAAAAACAAGCAATATATACACACAATACAACCAAAAAAAAGAAACTAATACAATTTTTACTGAATATATTAATAAGTATTTAAACTAGCGGCCCACGCTTTTATTTATAGTGATATAAATAGTAGTGCATTAATATATTTAAAGAAAGTAATTTTTTATATTTAAAGTAACCGCAGATTTATTATATTTTTAAAAATTATTTTATATTTAATAAAAATTGTATTATTTTCTTCTTTTAAGTGCATTTATAAAAGCTTGTAATTATAAACGTTTTGATGTTTATATTATTTAATTTTTTTTTAATTTAATTTTTTTTTTAAATATTTTTTTTAATTATTAAAAATATTGGATTAAAAGGCAATTTTCTTAATATACAAAAAAACAATCGTCCTGTTTTGTTTCTTTGATTATGACATAAAATCTGCGTTTTGGTATATCTGAAAATGAAAAAATTAGATTATGGTTTTAAAAAGCTGTAAAATTTGAGACATGCTTAATACATTTATATTTTATAATTCTAAAATTGACATTAAAGATAAGTGTATTTAAGTTATATTTATGCTAGTAAACATTTTTATTTTGTTACTGACTACGAACCAAATTTCTTCTTTACTTCCCTTGATTAATAACTTCGTGATAAATTTAAAGGGAAATAATTCTTAGCTTTTCACTAATGTATAACAACCGATTTATTAAGGATCATGCTCATGTCATATAGCACTCGGTGGCTAACTATCTTTTCTAAACAACTATTTTTGATAAATTATGTGCTGAATATATATATATATATATATATATATATATATATATATATATATATATATATATATATATATATATATATATATATATATATATATATATATTTATATATATATATATATATATATATAACAGTTCTACGTATTACTTCGTTCACAAAATAATACGCTTTCACAAGAAAAGAGTAAACTGTATTTTTGGGAAATTACTAACGATTACAGTTTCTTCTATCAAGCATGGCTTAGCAAAACAATGAAATGTGTTTAACAGACTAACTAAATATATATATATAGATATAGGCCTACATTGAATGTAAATTTATGCGACAAGGAAAGTCAAGAAGAAGGTTTACAACTCTGTTACTATATAACTAAAGTCAAACGTCAAAATTTAACACTTCTATAATTAATTAAATAAGAATGAAAGATTATTCAAACTGTGTAGACATGCGATCAACTGCAATCCCCCCCCCCCCCCTCTAAGTCTCCATATCTCTTCAATCCTCTAACAGCTCTACAGAGTTTCGTCTATCAATAGTTACATTACTTGATGCTTCTTGTAATGTTAGGAGACATACACAAGAATAGGTTTAGGAACTTATGCATAAAATAAACCGGCAGATAAAAGGTGTTAAATTTCTTTAAGAAACGATCTATGCAAATTTTGAAAACTGTTATTATGTGGTTAACTGTTAATGTAAGATGTTAACTGGACATTCAACAATATTCATATAAATCTTTGCTGCAATACGACAATGACTAATTACAATTTTACCTAGTAAAACTTTAAAATTAAAAAAGACCTATTAACTTTATCACGAATTATCCGAAACGAATCCAAAAAAAAAAAAAAAAAAAAAAAAAAAAAAAGAAAACAAATAGTCCTAACGAGAATGTTCTTAAACAAGTGCACAATCACATTTTTAATGTGTAACTGATGTCACTCATACGCTCACACCTACACACATGCGCGCACACACACACACACAAACTCCCACCCACACAGACACACACCTCCATATTTGAAAGCTGGGGTGTGTGCTTGATAATAAATTTAACATTGGTCAATCGGATAAATATGGAATATTAAATGATAATTTGGTATTATACATGGTGTGATACATCGTGTGTTTAATTTTCATCAGTAATACAAATGTTAATGTTTGTAATGTAACCAGACACCCCCCCACCTCCCACCCCCATTGTTTTGTCGGATGGTGCCAGAAAACTTGGGCACGAGATAAATATTTTAAACCCAGCCTGATAAAGCACAGTTTCCTTTGTAGAATGAGTAATAGTGTTTAGCGTCACGCATTCTTTCACCTCTCCACCATTGTTGCAGTTTTCCATTTGTGGTTAACTATCAAATTAACTCTCTCAGTTCTAATTCTCAAAGATTTTTTTTTTCATTTTTCTCGAACGAATGTCACATCAAACCTAGTTTAAAGGATGAAGTGTGTTTTTTTTTTAAATAATTAAAAGCTAGCTAGATAATTATTTAATAGGGGAGATAACAAGATTAAAAAATATTTTTTACTACTACCAGCTTAAACCTTAGCAAGGTTACGGTTACATCCAACAATTTTTTAGTGTAATTTTTATTTGTGATTTTTGTGATGTTTATGATTTTTATGTGTCAAGGGTGAATTTAATAGAAGAATTTTTCCGTTAAAAAAGATATTTTATGTGAGAATTATTTCAATTATTGCAACCTCATCCAATTAGCCTTCCTTTGTCTCATGACAACACAGGCTGACCATTATATATATATATATATATATATATATATATATATATATATATATATATATATCATTTAATTCTTGTAAATATTTGCCCATCCGCCTCCTGTATTTTGAATACATTGATAAATTAAGAATTTTGGCGACTGGGAGGAAATATAAGCCGATGAAATTACTAATTGGCGTTGTGATTAAAAGCTTCCATTAAGTTTTAAAAATAGTATTCAGGGGAAGTAATGTGGATTTATTCGACTTGTGTAACAGAAAAAAAAAATACGCATATGGAAAAACTATAATACCGTGAATTTTTTTTTATGAAAACGAGTCAAATTGTAAAGATTTTTAAAAATAAAAATTATTTTTTTTTACAGTACCTGAAAATAAAAAGCAATTATTTTCTTCCGTTATTATTATTAAATATCTTATTTGAAAACAAGTAAATTGAATTACTTTATCTCGTCATCTATATATAAATATATTGTTAATAATAATAAACTCCATTACAATGCAAACTACATACTTTACACTATGCTTAAAATGGTGATAGTAACATTAAAAGAGTTTTTAAAAAAGGATTTTAAGCTAAATTAAATGACATTTGCTTCAAATGTTTCTATTTAACAACGTAAAACTACATTCAGAGAACCTATGTCCGTAGTCTATATACACAATTGAGGTCACACAGCACACGTGATCTATTTTTAGATACGTATACAAGCCCAGGCCCTACCTTTGCGTTTATGCTCACACGAGCACGTCAATAGCGGGGGGGGGGGGAGAGGATGTGTGAGCCGTTAGAACAGGAAATAGGTGGAAGTGTTCTTGTAGCTTCTCTTCATGTCTGCACACTGATGTACCATTGCCGGTCTTTTACTGTGTAAGCATTCCTAAATATTGGTAATTAACTGGGTCTATAGTCTCATTAAGTCGTATTTATGTTGCATTAATTAGGAATCATGTCGAATTTAGTCTTTTTTAGATATATTCTCTTTTATAAAGTCTATTTCAAGTAACATTAAATAGATCTTACTCAGCTATATAGTATATTTATCTTGCATTCAATAATAATTTAATTGGACACATTGTTAGTTAAATGAACTACGACAAATTGGACAAATTGTTAGTTAACTACGACAAATTGGACAAATTGTGTTAAATACAAAAAAATTAATCTTGGCTTATAATAAAAGTTGTGTACTGGTGCCATTCTGCAGTCTGTGTTGGCTGTATTGTTACATATTTGTTGACTAGAGCAAGAACGTGTTTTGTTTTTCTTGAAATTTCCTTTGTTCTAATAACAAATACGTCAATGTATGATAAAAACGGCGGTCAGTTTTTGGTTATTTAAAACTACTTCATTAAGTTACCGCTGCTTAACTACGTAACTAGGCCATATCAAAGGTCAAATTTAGTAAACATTGTGGTGAGTAGACAATCAGCATGTAACGTTTTATACGCCTGTCGTGCAGATATTATAATAATAGAGTTTGGTTATCACAGCGTTGACTTGGGGTGTATATACCACAATGTTATTATTTTTTTTTTAAATTCTAAATTTAGCAAATTTCTAATTTAAAGATTTTGAGTGGATTAACGGATACCTCTGGCTTGTACAATCTTTTGTATACAGTATAAAACTTATTGATCTAATTCACATTTCTTATAGTACCTAATAGCCTTGTTTAAGGGATAGGATTCCGAGAAATGAGCATTGGTGATCAATGAAAATAGTGTAGCTTAAAAGTTCTTAATGGATAAAGTGTCCCATTTTAAAATTTTATAATATCTGTTCGCTAACGTCAATAATAAAGCTAACACTTATCTGAAATGTAATTTCCAGATGTACTGGTTTTATTTTTAAATTTACGTTTTGTTTACATTTCTTTATTTGTGTTTACTTTCTATAAAATAGTGTCAGAAGTCGAACTACTACAATGAAACAATACCACTAACTACTGGTTAAGCTTGTTGTATGATCTATATCTGAGATTGTGAATCAAGATCACACACGTTACCATGGCAAATGAGTATGACATCATCAGACTGTATAACCCTCCACATACGTGTGGGGACGGCAGGTGCGATAACTCGTTCATGGAATTTATTTACTGCGTTGCTGTTCCTGCGGCTGTTGTGTTGCTGTTGCTGATGGTTCTGGCGATAGTCATGTGCTGTAACTCGAAATCATGGTGAGTTGTCGTTCTTGATGGTGTTTCTTTGGTACTAAGGTGTATCAACTCAGACTCCTTGAGTCCACTCAGCTGTGAGGGTTTTCTGATTTGAGTCAGGGATAGGGAGTCCATTTAGGGGTCATCCACTGAGGCAGTGTTTCTTCCACACTTTTTTATCGAGGAGGGGGGGGGGGCACTTGATATTTTCGGGAGAGCAGTCAACATTTGTCGGGTGGGTAGGGGGCGGACACTAGTAAAATTGTATATTTACTGTATAAAATTCATCTCGTTCGGGGATGGGGGGTGGTAGACTATCTGCCCCCCCCCCCTTCCCTGCACTGAGGGGTCATACACTTGTTATGTCCACCAAAAAATGGAATTTTAAACATCGCTTCCTGTGCATAAGTGTTCACTTTGGAATATGACTAACATGTAGCCTATTTTGGCTATGGAATAGTGATCTATTTTCGATAATTTCTGTTAATTAATACGAGCTGACCCGCGACGTAGCATACGCCGCTATCTAGTTGTTTTATTTTCTACTTATCAACAATTCATAATTTGTGAATTCGACATTACCCCCCCCCCCCCCCCCCAACCCTACCCCACCCCACCCAGCCCAGTGAAAGCACCCGTTTACATACGACAATGAAAATATCAAGCGGAACTTATTATCTCCCCTTAGTTTCAAATCGTTTAAAAACTAAATTATCTGCCCCTAATTGCAGTCACCTAAGCTGCGTGGTGTTTTCTATGGTCTCCATGAAGAGAATTATATATGTATGAGCTGACCCGCGACGTAGTATACGCCGCTATCTAGTTGTTTTTTTTTCTTCTTATTAGTAATTCATAATTTGTGAATTCAACACCACCCCCCCCCCCATCTCCCGCCCAGTGAAAGCAGCAGTTTACAAAGAAAAGATCAATCATAAATTGTTACCTCCCCTTCGTTGTAAATCGTTTGATACTAAAGTATCTGCCCCTAATAGCCGTCACTAACCCGGCTCTACTATTGTAAACATTCGGAGTGAACAAGAGCTCACCTGACAGGTGGGGATGAGGGTAGTGGCTAAGCTGCGTGGTGTTTTCTACGGTCTCCATGAAGAGAATTATATATATAGAAGATGAGATAGGTTAAAATTAGACAAAAAAATTAAAATGTATAAAAACAAGAGAGAGTTACACATATGTGTATGATTCATATATTTTTTCATATCAACCAACAGTATTCACATAAAGTTCACTAATTTTTAATGGTGACAAGTGAAGTATAGTTCACTGTTTCTGTGAGCTCGGTGAACTGACTTAAACGCGGATTCGAACTCGAGACTTTCGGGATAGTAGTCCAGTGTTGATATTGTAAACTTTTTCATTGGGTATTTTGGTAAATCATTTTTCCTTCTCTCCGCTCCTTATCCTGAAGACCATCACAAAAGTCAGAGTACCTCAATCATTTATATCAGTGACGTCATTTATAGACACCCCCCTCCCCACTTAAAAAATGAAGAACGTCCGACATTTATCGATAACACTATAGCAACAAGGCAATGTAGATTCTAAAATTTAATTCGAAATTAAAACCATTGTTTAAAACTACTAACTTTAAAATTATACTGCTGTTTTTTTCTCTTCCAATGACAGCAAGTGTAAAACTACGAACTTTAAAATTATACTGTTCTGTTTTTCTCTTCCAATGACAGCAAGTGTAAAAAGAAACAACAGGTCGACGATGGCAAGTGAGTAGCTATTGTGGACGTGGATAGTTTAGAAACGAAATCTCTTCTTAGTACATATCTTATAGTAGCAATATTACTTAGATGTATTTACTATATTTTCTTAATTAAAATAGTCTCTTCTAGGAAATGAAATTTTTTTTAATACTTTTATTTTCCGTTTTAAAATAATAACATAAACATTATTTAAATTTTTACATTGAACGTTTATAATTGTAGCCCGTCTATTGTAAAGAAATGTTTCCAAACCGACAAGTATTGATAGGTTCAAGATCTTTTTACTGTGACTGCACCAATGGTTGTTTCTCTTTGTCTACTCTAACAATGGTAGTCTACCTTAGCCTGCCGTAATAGTGATTACCTTCCTTTGTCTGTTGTAGAAATTACTGTTTTATGCTATTGTCTGCTGTCTCGATGGCTATTTCCTGTTGTTAAAGTGATGCTTTTCCCGCTTTGTCTTTTGTATTTATAGTTGTTTCCCTTTGCCTGCTGTAACCATAGTTGTTTCCCTTTGTCTGCTGTAACGATGGTTGTTTCCCTTACCCTCACACAGTGACATACAGCTGGAGAACTACAACTCTATCCGGCGGGCGTCGGTCAGCCTGCGGTACATGTCACAGCACCGCGAGACGCCCCTGATGGGGAGCAGGGCGTGTTCCATGACCTTGGACAGGTCAAACAGGCGAAACAACAGGGCGCGAGATTCGTGCTACTCGGCGCCAGGAACTTTACAGAGGTAAATGTCTGGTCACGTGACGGTATTTACAGAGGTAACGGGTCACGTGATGGTATTTACAGAGGTAACCGTCTGGTCACGTGAAGGTATTTACAGAGGTAACTGGTCACGTGATGGTATTTACAGAGGTATCGGTCTGGTCACGTGATGGTATTTACAGAGGTAACGGTCTGGTCACGTGATGGTATTTACAGAGGTAACTGGTCACGTGATGGTATTTACAGAGGTAACCGTCTGGTCACGTGAAGGTATTTACAGAGGTAACTGGTTACGTGATGGTATTTACAGAGGTAACGGTCTGGTCACGTGATGGTATTTACAGAGGTAACGGTCTGGTCACGTGATGGTATTTACAGAGGTAACTGGTCACGTGATGGTATTTACAGAGGTAACCGTCTGGTCAATGATGGTATTTACAGAGGTAACTGGTTACGTGATGGTATTTACAGAGGTAACCATCTGGTCATTGACGGTATTTACAGAGGTAACGGTTTGGTCACGTGATGGTATTTACAGAGGTAACGGTTACAATTTTCAATACAGTGGTGACTCCTTCCGGATATAAATTAAAATAAAACTTTTAAGTTCATGCTGTAGTTAAAAAAAAAAGAATAATATAATTTTCTTAAAATACATTTCATTTATTGTTTACTCTATTTTCTGAAAATTATTTGCAATATATCAATTTTTGACGGGAACCTCAGATGCTAGAATTAATATGCAAAAGCTAATGCTAATCAACAACTCATCAACTCAGGAGTGGAGATCAGAAGAAAAAAAAACTCCTGGATTAGCCCAACATTTAGCAATATCAAAAAAGTACCAATAACGTTAAACGCCGACAGCAAATTTTAATGTAAATAACAAAACAGGCAACTGTTTGTTTGTTAAATGCTGTTTTTAATTTATTTTCTTGCTAAAACAACTGAAGGACTTATTTGTGAATCGTAAATCGAATTGTTTATTTTTTATAACTATTTTTTGCTTTTTTTTTATAACTATTCTAAAATCAAATGATAAATAATTCAGTATCCTTCACATATATGCCTATATAACACACAAAATATGCAATCCACTACTCTATGGACATTTTACACAAGAATAAGAAAAATCAATGGACATTGCTTGTTATACAACATAACAAACATTTAGCTTCATCCTTACACGTTATAAAACATACACGATGTCCCTTAAAATAAAATAAAATAAAATAAATTCACCACTCTATGAACATTTTACACAAGAATAGGGTGAAATCAATAGACATTGCTTGCTATACAACATAACAAACATTTAGCCTCATCCTTACACGTTATAAAACATACACGATGTCCCTTAAAATCAAATAAAACTATCTTCTATTTTGTTAATATTCGTTTTATTTTCTACAGACAAGTCCGAAACCGGCCAGTTGACCAATCAGGACTGTCTGGCAGCGATGACCGAAACCGGCCAGTTGACCAATCAGGACTGTCTGGCAGCGATGAAATGGACAACAGGGCTATCACATTACAGTAAGAAACATCACAATTGAGCCAACTATTCATAGTGATAAAAACTTGTATTGTGATATGTGGACCATTGTCATTGTTTAACAGGCATTGACAGTGTAGTTGAATCATGATATAGACGCGTGTATGTATGCAGGGAAGGGAGTATAGCGTAGCCTTCCATTTTAGTGCTTTCGTTATTTTAAACAACGATATTTTCGTTATTTTCATTTTTCTTTCTTTAAAACGTGTTGCTATTTAATTAATATTTTTAGAATGTGCTTTATTTAACTTTGTTGCCCAATTAATTAGTCAAAATTTTTGTTTTCAGTTTTAAGTTATTGTTTGTTTTTTATTTTTAAATTAAAACTTAGCCACCAGAGACGGAGCCAGCTCGCTGATACACCCAACACACCACCTCCCCCCGCCTACAGTACACATTCAGATTTTCCTTTTCTAGGGTAAACGGTTCTTTCTATGTGTGTACATGCTAACAAATAACAAGAGGTGTACTGAAACAATATGCTAATTAAAAAAAATGTGTACAGACAACTTGCTAACAAATAAAATGTGTACAGACAACTTGCTAGCAATTAACAAAATTGTACTAACACAACAGGCTAATAAATTTAAAAAATGTGTACAAACACAACATGCTAACAAATAAAATGTGTACTGACACAACGTACTAACAAATAACATAAAATCTGTACAGACACAGAGTTTCTTCCAGGCAACTCTTCGGGGAGGGGGGGGGGAGAGAGGCTTCGGCCCCCGAAGAAAGTCTACCGCCCCCACCCCCCCCCACCCCGAACGGAATGGAATTTATATAGAAAATATATACTTTTAACAGTGACCGCCCCCCCCCCCCTCCGAAAATTTCAAGTGCCCCCCCCCCCCCCGCCCCAGAGAAAAAAGTCTGGAAGAAACACTGGACACAATATACTGTTTCTTCCTAAATGTCCAACTGTATCTCTTCCTTAATGCCCTATTGAATATCTTCCTGAATGCCCTTCCGAATCTCTTCCTTAATGCCCTATTGAATATCTTCCTGAATGCCCTTCCGAATCTCTTCCTTAATGCCCTATTGAATATCTTCCTGAATGCCCTTCCGAATCTCTTCCTTAATGCCCTATTGAATATCTTCCTGAATGCCCTTCCGAATCTCTTCCTTAATGCCCTATTGAATATCTTCCTGAATGCCCTTCCGAATCTCTTCCTAAATGTCCAACTGTATCTCTTCCTGAATGCCCTTCCGAATCTCTTCCTTAATGCCCTATTGAATTTCTTCCTGAATGCCCTTCCGAATCTCTTCCTTAATGCCCTATTGAATATCTTCCTGAATGCCCTTCCGAATCTCTTCCTTAATGCCCTATTGAATATCTTCCTGAATGCCCTTCCGAATCTCTTCCTTAATGCCCTATTGAATATCTTCCTGATTGCCCTTCCGAATCTCTTCCTTAATGCCCTATTGAATATCTTCCTGAATGCCCTTCCGAATCTCTTCCTTAATGCCCTATTGAATATCTTCCTGAATGCCCTTCCGAATCTCTTCCTTAATGCCCTATTGAATATCTTCCTGATTGCCCTTCCGAATCTCTTCCTTAATGCCCTATTGAATATCTTCCTGAATGCCCTTCCGAATCTCTTCCTTAATGCCCTATTGAATATCTTCCTGAATGCCCTTCCGAATCTCTTCCTTAATGCCCTATTGAATATCTTCCTGAATGCCCTTCCGAATCTCTTCCTTAATGCCCTATTGAATATCTTCCTGATTGCCCTTCCGAATCTCTTCCTTAATGCCCTATTGAATATCTTCCTGAATGCCCTTCCGAATCTCTTCCTTAATGCCCTATTGAATATCTTCCTGAATGCCCTTCCGAATCTCTTCCTTAATGCCCTATTGAATATCTTCCTGATTGCCCTTCCGAATCTCTTCCTTAATGCCCTATTGAATATCTTCCTGAATGCCCTTCCGAATCTCTTCCTTAATGCCCTATTGAATATCTTCCTGAATGCCCTTCCGAATCTCTTCCTTAATGCCCTATTGAATATCTTCCTGAATGCCCTTCCGAATCTCTTCCTTAATGCCCTATTGAATATCTTCCTGATTGCCCTTCCGAATCTCTTCCTTAATGCCCTATTGAATATCTTCCTGAATGCCCTTCCGAATCTCTTCCTTAATGCCCTATTGAATATCTTCCTGAATGCCCTTCCGAATCTCTTCCTTAATGCCCTATTGAATATCTTCCTGAATGCCCTTCCGAATCTCTTCCTTAATGCCCCATTGAATCTCTTCCTGAATGCCCTTCCGAATCTCTTCCTTAATGCCCTATTGAATCTCTTCCTGAATGCCCTTCCGAATCTCTTCCTGAATGTCCCATTGAATATCTTCCTGAATGCCCTTCCGAATCTCTTCCTTAATGCCCTATTGAATATCTTCCTGAATGCCCTTCCGAATCTCTTCCTTAATGCCCTATTGAATATCTTCCTGAATGCCCTTCCGAATCTCTTCCTTAATGCCCTATTGAATATCTTCCTGAATGCCCTTCCGAATCTCTTCCTTAATGCCCTATTGAATATCTTCCTGAATGCCCTTCCGAATCTCTTCCTTAATGCCCTATTGAATCTCTTCCTGAATGCCCTTCCGAATCTCTTCCTTAATGCCCTATTGAATATCTTCCTGATTGCCCTTCCGAATCTCTTCCTTAATGCCCTATTGAATATCTTCCTGAATGCCCTTCCGAATCTCTTCCTTAATGCCCTATTGAATATCTTCCTGAATGCCCTTCCGAATCTCTTCCTTAATGCCCTATTGAATATCTTCCTGAATGCCCTTCCGAATCTCTTCCTTAATGCCCTATTGAATATCTTCCTGATTGCCCTTCCGAATCTCTTCCTTAATGCCCTATTGAATATCTTCCTGAATGCCCTTCCGAATCTCTTCCTTAATGCCCTATTGAATATCTTCCTGAATGCCCTTCCGAATCTCTTCCTTAATGCCCTATTGAATATCTTCCTGAATGCCCTTCCGAATCTCTTCCTTAATGCCCTATTGAATATCTTCCTGAATGCCCTTCCGAATCTCTTCCTTAATGCCCTATTGAATATCTTCCTGAATGCCCTTCCGAATCTCTTCCTTAATGCCCTATTGAATATCTTCCTGAATGCCCTTCCGAATCTCTTCCTTAATGCCCTATTGAATATCTTCCTGAATGCCCTTCCGAATCTCTTCCTTAATGCCCTATTGAATATCTTCCTGAATGCCCTTCCGAATCTCTTCCTTAATGCCCTATTGAATATCTTCCTGAATGCCCTTCCGAATCTCTTCCTTAATGCCCTATTGAATATCTTCCTGAATGCCCTTCCGAATCTCTTCCTTAATGCCCTATTGAATATCTTCCTGAATGCCCTTCCGAATCTCTTCCTTAATGCCCTATTGAATATCTTCCTGATTGCCCTTCCGAATCTCTTCCTTAATGCCCTATTGAATATCTTCCTGAATGCCCTTCCGAATCTCTTCCTTAATGCCCTATTGAATATCTTCCTGAATGCCCTTCCGAATCTCTTCCTTAATGCCCTATTGAATATCTTCCTGAATGCCCTTCCGAATCTCTTCCTTAATGCCCTATTGAATATCTTCCTGAATGCCCTTCCGAATCTCTTCCTTAATGCCCTATTGAATATCTTCCTGAATGCCCTTCCGAATCTCTTCCTTAATGCCCTATTGAATATCTTCCTGAATGCCCTTCCGAATCTCTTCCTTAATGCCCTATTGAATATCTTCCTGAATGCCCTTCCGAATCTCTTCCTTAATGCCCTATTGAATATCTTCCTGAATGCCCTTCCGAATCTCTTCCTTAATGCCCTATTGAATATCTTCCTGAATGCCCTTCCGAATCTCTTCCTTAATGCCCTATTGAATCTCTTCCTGAATGCCCTTCCGAATCTCTTCCTTAATGCCCTATTGAATCTCTTCCTGAATGCCCTTCCGAATCTCTTCCTGAATGTCCCATTGAATCTCTTCCTGAATGTCCCATTGAATCTCTTCCTGAATGCCCTACCAGAGGCGTAGCGACCCTTCCCGGCGCCTGGGGACAAAATTTCGATTTGCACCCCCCCCCTCGAACTTTTCATTTGCACCCCCCTCAAACTTTCGATTTGCACCACCCCCCTCGAACTTTTCATTTGCACCCCCCTCAAACTTTCGATTTGCACCACTCCCCTCGAACTTTTCATTTGCACCCCTCCCATTCAAACTTTCAATTTGGCGCCCCCCCCTAAGGTCGGCGCCCGGGGACATATGTCTCCCCCCCCCCCCCCCCCCCCGCTACGCCTCTGTGCCCTACTGAATACCTTCCTGAATGTCCAACTGAATCTCTTCCTGAATATTTGTTTTTTAACTGAATATTTTTCCCAATGCCGCACTGAGTCAAACCTTAAGGATTTTTGTGTTAATAACAAACGTTGGACATCAACGTACGACTAAGAATTATACGGGATTTAAAACTAACAATCAATATTAAGCAAACTATTAGCCAATAAGTGTATTGATGATTTATTACCATTACCGCTATCATTTTTTAAATACCTAATTGTTATTTTAAACCCACAAGATGTAGTCAAACTAGCAGACTGCCTCTGAGTCTGTGTAACATTATTAAACGTAAATGTTCTCTAACTGCCTGCATATTTAAAATTAATTTGGATTTTCTTGCTTTAAAATTAAAAATGTTATTGTTTTTCCCCTCAGAACGGATCTAAGTTCAAATCGACCAGCAAGTTCTCAATATGACGAGAGCCCAGTCCACGATTACAATGGGACGCAACCGCTCCTGTTTCACCGTACCAACGAGCAATAAGTCCTAGAACTAGATCTAATTATTTTTAAATAAAAATTGTATTTTTCAGATATATTATTATTATCTCACAATTTATTATTATTTACTTTGTGCAAGAAAACTATATTTGGTTGTGTTTTACTGTATGAGTTCACCCAACAGACACGTTACTGAAATAGAATAAGGTAACAACACATAATCTATAGATTTTAGAGTAGTTACTACTGATGTGGACTGTGGAGTGGGGGAGGGTATTATTTCATGCAAACATTCTGCTCCAGAGGGAGAGGGACGTCAATGGTACATCATTTTCCATTTAAACTTTAGTATCTATTCCATGTGTAAAAGGGGGGTAGAGGGTGGAGCATGCTCCGACAATGCCCCCCCCCCCCCACCTCTGGAGAGACGACTGTATTACAGGAGGTAGGGATGCCTCCTTATTGAGCCTCACACATTAAATAATAGCTACCATATAGGCCCACTCGCAGTTTATACACACACACAAGTTTTAATATAGCCTGCAAACAAAATGTATTACTTAATATTAAAGCAACTGTGTTCATGTTTAAAATAAAAAGTTAAAAAGCTAATTAAAATTACTTGTCCTCGGCTTATGTTTAAAACATCATTTGTTTCATAATTTTAAATTTTATAAACATAGTCCTAATTATTGTTCAAAACTAATTAGAGTGTTGAGTAGGTTGCCTCTTGTGCTGACTTGATTCATTTAATTTGTGCTTTTTCTAAAACCAGCCACATTTTTAAAATGATAAACGTCTGTTATATTATAACGCAGTGTGTGACTCAACAGGACTAAATAACTGTAACACTGTCTCATCGTTTATCTATTCACCGGTACATTTTTAAAATTCATTTTCGTTTTTAATATTTTTTTAATTAAAAGATCAATAAAATTATCCTGGTGTTTGTCTTTAATAATAAGCTGACTGAGAACTATTTAGTAACAATGTGAGAATAAGACTCGTGCTTGAGTACGTAACATAAGTATTAAAACAGAAAAATGAACCAAGATGGCCGAAAAACAGGTAAGTAATGGGTAATAGACTGTCTCCACACACATAGAGAGTAAACCTAGGCGCCTCCATAAACCTACTGGTAAATGCAGACACTGAACTCCTCCCCTCCCTCCAGTGTTTCTTCCAGACTTTTTTTCTCCGGGGGGGGGGGGGGCACTTGATATTTCCGGGGGGGGGCGGACACTAGTAAAAGTATATGTATAATAGATTGACAAACACTGACGAGGAGCCACATTGGTTGTTAACAGTCTTTATTTACAGCCATGAGGAAAGAGGAAGAGGAAGTACGATGCACAAGGGACATCACTCATAATAATAACAACATTATAAATATAACTAATACAAGAAGAGTGAGTTCCCTTGACCTCACAATTATCTCAATCTATTACATCCCTTTACCCTTAGAACACAATAACACATCTCTCAATAGAACAATTGATAGTATCCTAAAATCACCAATTATATTGTAACATGAACACTATGGTAGATTACATCCTTACAAACAATGCACAATATGTTACAACACAATTAAAATACAAACAATGATGTCAAAGTCCTTTTGACCTTTAAAATCATAGGTCTAACTTATTTGGGACTTTGATTGTCCTGTTTGACCTTCTCAGTGGCCTTTGATTTGGTGACTCAATATTCTGACCATTTGGATTCTCTATCTCAGGAGGTCTAGGATTTAAATCATTAACTCCAGAATTTACATTTTCTGACTCCAGACAACTTGGTTCACTCATATCAACAGAACTTGGTTGTGGAACAAACTGAGTTGGTGTGAACTGTTCAGATTTGGTGGGATTGACAGATTCACACTTATTATCTGCACAAGTTATTTTTAACTTTATAAGACACAGGTCCTGTACATTGAACAATTTGACCTGGTATCCATTTTTCCTTTCTCCCATAATTTCTTAGATACACATTCTTATTAACACCAAATTCTCTTTCAATGCATGTGTTGTCATGATTTAATGGAACTATTTTTGAATTGGCATCTGAAAGTATTAAATGGCAAAAATCTTTTTCTTTCTTTTGATGTTACCCTTTTAGTTTCTTTAAGTGCTAATGATGTTAGCAAGGTTGTTTGATGATCACATTCCTTCTTACTAATGTATTTGAAATTGCCATATCACCATAATCATTTATTAAGTTACAAATACTTTGTTTAGGCAACTCTGACTGATAATGGACTGTATCTTCTCCATCTTTTATATTATCTTCACAAAGGTTTTATTTCTTATTTAATATGGCCTTAAGTCATCATTCACAGACTCTTCAGGCCAACCATTCTTACAGTACTCATATACTTTTATTAAGCACTCATCTTTTTGTGTTTCTCTTTTAATATCATTCACATTTATATTGGAGTTATCCATGATAGTGAAGAGAACAAATACATCTTCTGGTACATAGCTCAGGCTTTGGTTTTTTAAAGGTAATCTACTAAGACTATCTGCACTATTCTCAGATCCAGGTTTGTATTTCAATTCATAATTGTATGCAGTTAGTGTGATAGCCCATCTTTGAATTCTTGGTGAGGCATGTTCAGGTAGGGTTTTGTTTTCTCCAAATAAACCTAGCAATGGTTTATGATCTGTAAAGATGGTGAACTTCCTACCAAACAGAAACTTATGAAATTTCTTAACACCAAAAATGATGCCTAAGCCTTCCCTATCTAACTGAGAATAATTTTTCTCAGCCTGGTTCAAAGATCTACTGGCAAAAGCAATGGGTCTGTCACCCTTCTCATCCATGTGGGACAAGACTGCTCCTACACCATCTGGTGAAGCATCACATGTTAATATAAGTCTTTTCCCTGGGTCATAGTGAGTTAGTAAGGTGTCAGAAGACAAAGCCTCTTTTGCTGTATTAAAAGCAGTATCTTGTTGTTTATCCCAGTGCCAAGTTGCATTTTTCTGTAGCAGCTTGTACAGTGGTGATAGTTTATCAGACAGATTCCCTATGAACTTTGCATAGTAATTTATCAAGCCCAAAAAAGCTCTTAGTTGTTGGGTATTTTCAGGTTTGGGTGCTTCTTTAATGGCTTTTGTTTTCTCAGGTTGAGGTCTGATGCCTTGTTTGCTCAATATATAACCAAGAAAACTAATTTCTGTCAACATGAATTGACATTTATCTTTGTTTATCTTTAAACCTTTTTCACCAACAATTTTCAATACTTTATCAAGTGTTTTAAGATGTTCAGTGTCATTCTTACCAGTTATGTACACATTGTCAAAGTACACACAAACATTTGGAATGTCCTTAAAAATACTGTCCATGACAGCTTGGAAAATTCCAGGGCTGGATGATATGCCAAAACATAGTCTTTCATATTGGTAGAGTCCTTTATGTGTGTTTATTGTCGTATAGACTTTTGAATCTGGATGCAGTTCTAGTTGAGTGTAAGCATGACTAAAGTCTAATTCAGTGAATTTGTCTCCTCCTGCCAAATTCAAAGAAATTTCCTCAATGTTAGGTATAGGGTACCTATTTAGCTCTATTTGCTTATTCAGTGTAGTTTTATAATCTCCACAAATTCTTATAGAACCATCCTTCTTTAACACTGGCACAATGGGCGACGCCCAATCGGAATAGTCTACCTTCTTTATGATGCCATTAGATTCCAATCTACTTAGCTCATTTTCAATTTTATTCCTCATTGCATAAGGTGGAACTCTAGCTTTGCAGTATCTTGGATTTGTGTCTTTAATGCTTAACTTCACTGTTCTATCATTTAGTAAACCTGAATTGCCAAAAACACTTTTATTTTCAGATATAACTTTATCTAGTGAAGTAAGACTAGATTCTTTTGCATTGGTCAATAAACAAATACTCTCCCAATTTAACTTAAGATTACTTAACCAGTTCCTACCTAGTAATGGTGGTCCATTTCCTTCAACCACAAGAAGAGGAAGTTTAACACTTTGACCATTATAACTTACATGAACCATACACTCTCCTATTACCGGAACATTGTCACCAGTGTATGTTGTTAGACACTTGTGACATGGCTGTAGAGGCACTGATCCTCCTGTGACAGCGTCAAAATCTTTCTTTGTGATGACTGTTAGAGATGCTCCAGTGTCAAGTTGGAAGCTGATGCTCTTACTGTTGATATTAACTAGTACATTGATGGGAGCATGACTTATTGATTTCACAGAGAACAGGTTGAAATCCGGCTGCGAATCAGTTTGAGCATTTTCACAGGTAGAGTGGTTCATTGGTTGGGTTAGGTAGTCTTGGTGAGAGTTAACATAGTGCTGCCTTTGGTTGCGGTACTGTCTTGACTGGCTAGATTTAGCAACAGACGAAGACTTTGCAAAGCAGGCCTTGGCAATGTGACCTTGCTTACTGCACTTATAACAAGTTGCTAACTTGAACTTGCACCGATGAGATGCATGGGGACCTTTGCATCGATGACATTTTTGATAATTATTACTAGATTTAGATCTAGGATTTGAACGAGCAGGCTGTTTAGCATAAGTTGAAATGCTCTGATGGGGTTGATGTTTGTTGACTAACCTGCTGTTTACTGCATGGATCCCTGAAGGCGTTAGAGATTTCGCCGCATCTGATGACTGCTGGATTGAAGTTGCGAGTTGTATTGCTTTTTCTAATGTTAGATCTGACTCGAGCAGCAACTTTCTTTGAATATCAGGGCTGTTTACACCTGTCACAAACTTTTCACATAGTCTGTCAGACAGCGTATCGCCGAATTCACAAAATTCACTTAAATGACGTAAAGCAGCAACATATTCTGATATTGACTCGTTTGGTTGACGAGTCCTACTGTCAAATCTAGCTCGACATAGAAACTTTGATGGGGTAGGCGCATGGTGGTCTGTTAGCAATTTGCTCAGCTCGTTAAAGCTCTTGGTAGTTAGACTAGCTGGTGCGCATAAGTCTTTTAGTAGCCTAAATTGTTGAGGCCCTATGACTGTTAACAAAACAGCTCTCTTTTTGGCTTCTATCGTCACGTCGTTTGCTTCAAGGTAAAAGCTTAACCTATCTAGGTAATCTTGAATGATTTCATCATTCGAATCAAATTCTTTTATTTGGCCATACAGCGCCATTATTCTAGAAATACTTAGCTAATATGCTCTAGCAAACCTCTTTTTTGCGTAAGTAGGTGCTCTTTCTAGTGGATTATTTATCCTTCGTCGCCAATGTGATCGATTGGCAAACACTGACGAGGAGCCACATTGGTTGTTAACAGTCTTTATTTACAGCCATGAAGGGAAAAGGAAGAGGAAGTACGATATACAAGGGACATCACTCAAGATAACAATATAAATATAATACTAATACAAGAAGAGTGAGTTCCCTTGACCTCACAATTATCTCAATCTATTACAATATGTTTACTATATAAATTCCATCTTGTTATGTTAAGAGATGCCTAGAAGAAACTCTGCCTCCCACTCCCCTAAATGTGCATTATTTACACCTTGATTGTTTTAGTTACTCTTCACGGTCTGATCATGTTGTTGTTTTTCTGTTGTTTTTTTTTTAATTTTACGCCAAATGTGCCACTGTCCTAGAAATGCTTGCAGGCTGCGCCCCATTCCCTGCCCCTTGGATATGCCTCTACCTCACCTGTCCCAGTGTTTCTTCCAGACTTTTTTCTCCGGGGGGGCACTTGAAATCTTCGGGGGGGCGGTAAACTTTCTTCGGGGGGGCGGACACTGTTAAAAGTATATATTTTCTATATAAATTATATAAATTTCATTTCGTTCGGGGGGGCGGTAAAAATTTTTCGGGGGGGCTTCGCCCCCCCGAAGAGATGCCTGGAAGAAACTCTGCCTGTCCCCTTCTTTAATAAAGCCGGAACCTCCACTCTCCATAGGCCGCCACAATTGGCGTCACCTTTTTTTTCTTTGGACATGTATCCCCTCCCTTATTCACAAAAAGACTCCACCCACCTTCCCAAAAATAAAATACAAGATCATAGTTCTTAAGTCTTATAGTCCACTACCTCCACCCCTATTTTGTTTTATTTCCGCGAATTAGCAAAAAATTATTATCTTTTCCCTTTGGTTAAAAATACGTGTTTAAAATATAAAATAACTGCTTCTTATGTCCAGTTGTGGGGAAAGTTGTTTTTTTAAAAATATATTTCAAGGGATCCATCATTATAAAACAAAAATGTGGAGTAATGATTGTTTTTAAATACAGGAGTAGGCCCATCCATAACTTAACTGTACAACTCAACATAGTAACAGTCATAAAATAAATTTAATAAGGGACTGTATTTAAAAGCTTTCGTTTGGGATTTTCAATAAATTGAATTTTGATACTAGATCTAGGTTTATTGGTTTTTAACGAAATTGTGTTATCTTTATATTATAGTCTTGGACCTTAGTCACTGTTTCAGTATTACTGCCTACAATAATCGGACAGCTTTCCTTGAATTGCTCTATTTCTATTCTGGTCAAATTCAGATCTATCCACAAAAGAGTTCTGTTGATATGAAGCACTCGTTGCCTTGATTTTAGTATTTTTAAATCTAGAGTACGTTCCCTTGCGGTTTAGTCATTCAGTAAAATTACATACAGGCATTATCACAGCTGATTATCAACTGGTGATGCAATGGCTATAACATGATTTAGTATAAAAAGTATTACAGTTAGAACTTCTAGATATCAATTTTTAATCATTCGTATTAGAATTACTCAATTATATCTAGACCTAGATCTAGATTTAATTTACTGCTAAGCTTTGATTTCATTTGTAAGCCTACACACTACACAATTAATTAATAATTAGCCTAGGCCTAGAAATTATTAGTAAGATTATTTTGTAGGCCTAATTTAAATTTTTATTTAAAACTTTAAAACTGATAATTAATACAGTAGTAACTATACATTTTAAGTTTGAGGAGCCAGTTATAGCAGTATCAACATGAGAGGACCTAGGTCACCACAAAGGCAAGCTCTTGATGGCTATTCTTGTCACTTATTGTTTGATGCCGAAGGAAGCAAAAAATTGCAGGAAATTTCAATTCCCGATGGCAATCCTAGTGTCAGTTTAAATCTTGAGAGAGCAGAAAGGGAGACAAGAACTGAAGGTATTGTTCAGTTTAGTTGCTTTGTTTTATTGTTAACTAGGCCCTTATTTCAATTTTTTAAAGTTTATCTAAAAATGAATACATTTTCAGATTTTAAAAAATAATTTCATTTTATGTGTTTGTATTTAAAAAGAAAATAAATTACTGTACGCATACTCTGCCTTAAAAAGTTTGTTTTTTTTACTTTCCATTCCCTTACTAGATGTTGCAGCTGATCTTCAACTTAAACTTGTGACCTCTGACACTTTGTTTTGTAATTGTTGCCAGACAAAATTTGCTAACAGAGAAGATCAGGTAGATAAACACGGATTTACATTTTTTATTTTTTATTTCTTAAAATTAAATTTAATTAATCAGATTTTACTGTTAACTTTGATTTATTACATATTATAGAAAGAACATATTAATGGTTAACTGTACTATAAAATTGCTCTTATTTTATTTTTGATAGCTTGAACACTACAAATGTGACTGGCATAGATACAATCTTCATCTGCGATTAAGAAATATGACTTCTATTTCTGAAGAAGAATTTGAGAAAATTTCCGGTAACATTTTGTATTATTGATCAAATAAAACAGTTTATCTTTTGCTTTATAAATATAACAAAACTCAATTTTTTTGTTACTTTTATTTTCTTTACTTTGAAAAGGTGACGTTTCAAGTATATCAGGCTCTGATGAGGATGATGATGATGATGAAGACAATGAAAGGGAACAGGTTCCGGTAGCAACAAATGATTTCGAAGAAGAAACTCCCAAGGAACACAAATACCATAAAGTTTTCTTTAAAAATAAAGATGACGAGCTTTTATCAGTGTACAGATGCCTCTTGCATCACAAGAAGGTAATAAAATTGTCAATATGAGCTGACCCCCGACGTAGCATACGCCGCTATTTTATTGTTTTGTTTCCTTTTTTTATATTTTGTGAATTCTGCGACTGAAAATATTTTGCTTTAAAACATTCTCAATAGCTAGAGAAGGACGATTATCCTCACCTTCACTTTCCACTCCTCTCCCCCTCCCCAGTGAAAGCAGAAACCCGTGACGACAGTTTACAGACGACAATGAAAAGATCAAGCAGAACGTGTTATTACCTCCCCTTAGTTTCAAATCGTTTAAAAACTAAATTATCTGCCCCTAATAGCCGTCACTAATTCGACATGATAGTAAACAGCTCACCAGACTGGTGGGGGGTGGTAGCGTGGTGTCTCGCATGGTCCCCATGAAGAAAATTATATATATTGATCCTTATCAATTTAAATAATTTTTGTCATTGTCTACATATTAGCTGTTTATTGCTTTTTAATTCCTTAGAACCCTTTAGAAAACCATGAAGATCTTGTCACTGCAATTAATCAACTACCAAAAAAATTCAAATGGATTGTTTTGATGGTGTCATCTGGCCACTTTGCTGGTGCAGTGTTTTATGGGTAAGTTGCCAGTTTTAATTTTAGCCCTTTACTATTTAGGTTTCAAGACTATTCTTTTTAAACCTAATCTATTGGATTACATTGTTTTACTGTAGGAATGAAGTAATAGAGCACAAAACCTTCCATCGTTACACAATTAGAGCTAAACGAGGCACTGCCCAGTCTAGCAAGGACAGTCAAGGCAACGCACCAAAAAGTGCAGGTGCCTCATTAAGAAGATACAATGAATCAGCATTAGTTCTTGTAAGTAGTGACATATTTATTGAAAATATAAATATTGCTTTAAAGACATTGAATAATATTTAAAATTTCTACTAAATAATAATTAAGATTTTTAGGTTAAGTTTCATGAGAGATTTTATTTTGACCAATCAAAAGGAGGTACAAGAACTGATGTCCAGCTGGTCAGAGCACATTAGACAGTGCGACCTGGTGTTGATGAGGGTGCCAGTGGCCAACAGGGCCATGTTTTTTGGAGGTAAAGATCCAGGGCTCAAGAAAGATGATCACAGAATTCGGGTTATTCCAGTCACAACAAGAAGACCAACATTTAAAGAAATCAAGAGAGTTCACCAACTACTGGCTACTGTAGAATGTTATGGTTAGTTTGACATCAACAATTGAACAGATTTTCTAAACTTTTTAATTATCCTGTACTATTGGATATTTAGATATAATCAATCAAATTAAATTTACAATTTTTAATATATTATAGGCTAATTTCGATGCATTTTTACAATTTTAATGGCCGTATTTTTGTTATTTTCAAGTTAAAGATTATGTTTTGTTTACTTCATACACCAATATCTTTAAATCTTATAGGAAAGAATGCAGAAATCGCTGATTTGATCCCTAAAGCCTTCCAGACTAAAAAACATGCTGAGCAGTCACATGAAAAAGTTTCACAAGACAATAAAGAGAAACAAAAGAAAATACCACAAGGTCTATATTTTAGCCTGTATTTATGTATTTACTTCAGAAATTTTTAAGTGTATTTAAAATGTAGAAATTCTAAAAGAACGTTGACATTTCATATTTTGCAGTAGACAGCTTTGTGAATGACCATGAAAATATGTGTGATACAAAATTAGACGAGGAAACAGATCACAAACCTCGGGAGGCAGAGATTAAAAAAAAGTCAAAGAAAAAATCCAAGAATGTTTTAGTGACAACTGAAACCTCAGAAGAATCTAAAGAAACTGGTACAGAACTTTACTTCCATTTTTTAAAAGTTGCTAGTTAAGGTACATTGTAAATCATTATTAAACTTACAAGTCTGAATTACTGTTTAAGAAAATAATTTTTTAATTTCAAGATGAGGAGACAACTCGTGTGAGAAACTTGCTATTCACTGCTTGTAAAACAGGGGATTCACAACTCCTAGAAAAAACTTTAACAGAGTTTGACAATTCTACAACACAACCACCAGCAGATGTCAGTCAAACAGAGGTAAATCTTTGCCATCAAACCGAGGAAAAGCAAGTTCAGGAAACAGCAAGTAATAATTCAGTTGAAACAACAGATCAGAACAAGCCGACATTAGGAGAACCGAACTCAGTAGAGACAGACTCTTCTATGGCTACTGGTGACAGTACAAACCTCAGACAGTACTCTGCTGCTGTTGTCTCCCTTTTAAACATGCCAGTCTATGAGAGTGGGACAACATTTTTACATATTGCCTCTAAAGAAGGTCACCATGACACAGTCAGGATTTTGTTGGAAGCGGGATCAGACCCCTCTATAAAGTAAGCTACAATACCATACTATGATACAAGTAAGCTACAATACCATAATATGATAAAAGTAACCTACAATACCATAATATGATAAAAGTAAGCTACAATACCATGATTTGATTCTAAATACTTCAGCTTCTACTTGTTCAAATATTGAATACATCAAAATGTGTTACCCATTAGATTCTGACTTTCATAATTTATTGCAGAGACAAAGGTGGTAAAACACCTTATAATTTTGGAGATTCAGAAGTCAGGAATACCTACAGACGTTTCATGGCAATGTACCCTGACAGATATGACTATACCAAAGCTCAGGTATGGTGGCTACTCTAGTTATGCTGCATCTAAGTATTTGAAACTATTTATGTTTTGATAAACCAGTTACCAACCTAAAATCTGAAACTGTTACTCCAGCTCACAAATTTTATTTTTTTAAATTGCCAAAAACAAGAAAAAAAGTTCATACTTTATGTCTATCTGTGTTTTTATAAAAAAATTTTTTTTACATATCTTCACTTGCAGTTATCATTGTTTTCTGCAAGCCATTTGACAAAGAAATTATTTTTATGCCTTCTGTTGTGTAGGTTCCAAGTCCTCTCACAGCAGAAATGGAAGCTGAGAAAAAACAAAAAGCAGCAGAAAAAAGAAAAGCTAAGAAAAAAGCACTCAATGAGAAAAACAAGGTTGGGAGATTACATGACCATTATGTACATTTTTTTCTTAAACATGTATATTTTAAATTTTACCATGTGTTGTTTTTTAAATAGTTTATTTGTAAAATTTATTTATAAAATTTGTAGGAGAAAAAAGCTGCAGAGGCAGTGATGAGGCAAGAAAATCAGGAGAAGGAGAGGTTTCTGTCTTTATCAGACAGGGAGAAGGTCAGTCCTTTCTAATTCCAAGGCTTGTTTTTTTAAGCAATTAATTTTTAAAGTTTAAAATTATCTGTTAAATTCGAGTACCAAGTGGAAAACTTTTTTTCTCAGCTATTTTGTTTCATTCTTTAAGGTTTGTATAAAACATGAATCTATTTGGTGTGAGATCATCTTGCTTAAGTCTCCTTGGTTCAATACATCTGTCACCTCTGTTTCAAATGTTTATCAGAACTTTTTTTTCCACCATCAGATCTTTCAATGCATTCCCTCTTAATAATTGATTATTTCCCCTACAAGCTCCCTAAATTACCTTGTAATTAAAAAGTTATTTTGAATAATTAGCATTGAGAAATAATAAATGCAATAAGTTTAATATTAGAGTAGTTATTCAATTTTCAATTCATTTGTATATTCATAATTAAAAATTATAATTGTTTCAAACCTAACTAATTGTTTACTTTTACTTTATCAAATTGAAAACAATGTTTGAATGTAGGCCTACATTTTAATATTCTAGTTTTTTAAAGTTAGTATTTCAATTTAAAAGAAAGTAGATAGGTTATTTATATTTTATGTGTTTTTTTTTTAAAGTTTAATTTATCATCTATTTTCATTAAATTTACAGTGTTAGGTTTATATATATTTTAATTTTTAACATTTCTCAACATTGGACAAAACATGTTTTTACAGAGCTAATTAAAGTCAGATAAACAACATTCCAATGAACTTAAACATATTTTTTCAGCTACAATTGGCTTTGAATTTTACATAATTTGGCACTTTTGTATTGTGATAATAAATGTTAATCATTAGTTAGAAATTCTAAAAAATTAATTTTGAATTTTAGCGAGCATTGGCTGCTGAAAGAAGGCTTTTACAGCAAAGTATTAATCAAGGGTGTGTAAAGCCAGTTCTCAGGTGCAGTAGTTATCTAACTTTGTTTTTTTTAATCTTTTTTGTTGCCTCCTTTATTGAGCAGAAAATATTTAGAATTGCTTTTTTTTTTTTGTAAATGTTGGCATTTATTATAAATAAATTTATTATTTAAAATTACTATATAGTAATTATACCTTTAAAATTTTTAATCAACATAAAAACAAAACAAGTAGCATTACATTTTTTGACTAAGTAAAGTAGCCTACTGAAATTTTTACAATTTTTTTTTAATAAAAGTGCATTTTTTAAAAATGTTGCTTTTAAAAACTGTTCTTGTACTAATATTTAGCTTGCCTTTCAAATTATTATTTATTGAAATAGTTTAATTTATGTTTGAAATAGAATTATTAAATTTGTTTCAGTCGGTGTTGGCAATGCGGAACAGACATCACAGGAAAAGTACCCTTTGAATATTCAGACTACAAATTTTGTACAACAAAATGTTTAAGGGAACACAGATCTAAGCCATCCAGCTGATAATTTTTTTTTATTTTTTGTTCAAATGACACAGAGATTATTGGAAATAATTTACAATCAATATTTAATTAGTCATTTTAAGCAATAATATATAATTTAAAAAATATGTAAGATTTAACATATGATAATTTTGAGAACTAAATCAAATAAACACAACACTTGTAATGGTATTGGTGTGTTAAAAATCTGGTAAATGGGATGGAAAGTATAACACAGAATTTATTACAACCCTGGTGATGGAAGTATGTGATAGTTTGTTTTAAATTCTCCTAAATTGCATCTAAAAAGGAAATTTTAAAACAGGTTAATGGAAAAAGTGTGTAATAAATATTGAAAATCAAACTTACATAAGCTAATAAATAAATTATAAACTAATATACCATTTTTCTAACCAATCCATTGGTAAACAATGTTTAAAACATAATTAAATTTTCATTATTGTTGTGTATATTGTTTTAAAACAAATGCTTTCCTTGTAAACAAATTTATTTGTCTAAGCTAGAAAAATAAAAATGAACTGTGTGATGGTCTTTTTACTTTTTATCTCTCATAGTAGCTGTTCTAATTCAGACTCTTGTGTCAGAGTTTGTTTGTTGATCCAAAAGACATAAAATTTCAAACTTAATTTTGTGACATAGGTTGCTCCCCTGAATGAACTCTCCCCCCCCCCCCCTTCATCCCCACCCAATCCAAACAGGGTGTTGTGATGCACTGTGGGTAGGATGTAAAAGCCTAGTTCAAGCAGCTGGAAATGTTGGTGCCAGAAATACCCATTCTACATCCTGTAGCATTCACCCAAGGGGTCGTCCATAAATGACGTCACACTCGTAGGGGAGGGGGGTCCGTATTTTTGAGGGGGGGGGGGGCGGGGTTCAGACACACTTTTACATTATAAAGAAGCAATGTTAGAAAACGAATTTTAGACGTTATTTCGCGTTTTAGAAAACTGTTTTAATAAATTTATTAAAATAATCTATTTTGACAGAGTTCAGACAAGATTTTGGAAAAATATCGATGTTTAAAAAAAAATTCAACTGCAATTTTGAGTGGGGTTGTAGGCTGATGTGTGACGTCATTTTAGGGGGAGGGGTCTGGCTTTTAGTGACGATGTGTGGGGGAGGGGGGGGGGGGGGGTAAAAGTAAAAAAAAGCGTGACGTCATTTATGGATGATCCCCAACCGTGTGACCTATTAAAAGAAATTGTTATTTTTAACTGTTGGTGTTTTTTTTTAACCCCATAAAATCATAGTAAGAAAGATATCCCGCCTGATGTTTCAGTTAAAATAAACATTGAATCAACTTTCAACTTGAGTTTACACAAAAGTATTTAGAGGCAATACAAAATAAGTTTTGACACATTCTAAAAACACTCCAATATCATATTTATTGATCTAGTAATATGATTAACGGAATATTTCGTCATGTTATTAGCATAGTTTATGAGTATAAAGATAGAAGATTGTAATGTAAAGTAAAATACTGTATACATAGGTGTATACAAGGGTAGGGAGTAGTGAACAAGACTAACATTAATTTAAGTCCCAGATGTCACACATAGTAAAAGATGTAATGTTTTTTTTTAGATTTTTTTATTCACTTTTCTCCATTGTTGCACTAGTTGCAAAAAAACAGACTATATACCCCCCCCCCCCTAAAATACAAAACACCTTAAACCAAAAACCAGTCATCACCCCATCCCCCTATGAGCTCCAAAAAAGCACGGAGGACAGGACGACCCCTGCATGTTTATTTTCTTTACCATGTCCCTATTCATGCACACTAAATAAACAAAATCCTCTCCCTCGTTTCTATCAAAACCAACTCTTCTACTCTCACTCGCTATACTATTTAAAATCTCTGTTTCTTGCTGATCTGTCCTTTAGTGCTTTAGTCTTGCACGCAAATTGCTGACATCTTTTGGTGCAATTGTAATGTTCTGATTTTTTTTTTTAAATGACAACACGCACATCTGCGTTACTGATAGAAACAGAAGTGCACTGGAGGGGGGGGGGGTCTCGCGTAAATCACCGGGGTCATGGCAACACGCCGTCTTTCTGGTAGAGCATCTGCCATTGTAAAAGAAGTAAGAGACCTTATGAAAATTAGCAATGCGAAAGCTAAAATAGCCCTGATCGGAAAACAACCCCCCCCCCTCAAAATTGCAGTTGAATTTTTCTTAAAAAACGATATTTTTCCAAAATCTTGTCTGAACTCAGTTAACATAGAGTATTTTACAATTTATTAAACAGTTTTCTTTAAAAAAAAACGCAAAAAAAATCGTTTTCTAACATTGCTTTTTTTAAATAATGCAAAAGTGTGACGTAACGCCATCTGACCCCACCCCCCCCCCCCCATCCCCTCCCCCTCATCACACACCGTCACAAAATTACAGACCCCGACCCCGCCTCACCCCTACGAGTGTGACGTCATTTATGGACGACCCCCCTCCAGATTTTCTTCCAGGCATCTCTTCGGGGGGGGGGGGGTGTTGACCCCCCCCCCCGGAGAAAAAAAGTCTGGAAGAAACACTGCCCCCTCCCCTTAGGAACCTTTTATAAAAGGCAAAAAATAATGCTGCGGCTATTCGTACTTCACCACGAATAATTTTAAGGTGTGTCTAACTCTGAGGTCTATTTTATAATGTGACGTCCAGAGGCGTATCCAGGTTTTCGTTGTAGGGGGAGCGGAAATAGCAAAAAAAGGCGCCGAATTTGTAATATTTTACTATATAAGTATATATAAGTATATAAGTATATATATATATATATATATATATATATATATATATATATATATATATATATATATATATATATATATATATATATAAAATATATATATACATTAGCTGTATGTTATTGCTTCGATGTGATGTAAAATAAATTTAAATTAGCACTCTGAAGAAATTTAAAAAAAAAACACACAATGTAGGCCGACGAAACAAAAAAATATGGTATCACTCTAAACAATATATATATATATATATATATATATATATATATATATATATATATATATATATATATATATATATATAAACACTACAACCAAAAACAATGAACGCGGCATAATCTGTTTCGTAATTCTTGTAAAAAAAATACATAATAATTCTTGGGACATCTATTTAAGACTAGCGAAAAGGGGAAATAATCAATATCTTAGTATAAATATGAATATGTCTACACATTTTATTATAAATATCAAAGCAAATCAATAATTACTTTAGAATCTAATAAAGTAGCTTAACTCTATTCGCTTTTACAAAAATATTTTGTCTACAATCAGAATTAAATATATTGTCATTATAAATGCTAACGTGTTAAATCATAATGAAAGTTTTTTTAAAACAGAGTTGATATAAAAGCCAGCTTATCAAGATAGTAGAAAACGTTCAGAATGATATCCTATAACGAAAATATTGATCTTAAGTTACATTTCAGATTATGCATTTTTTAATTAGCTACTGACTTTTTGTGTTCTTTAAAGATACTTTTAACATAATGAGAAGGTATGGGTTAGATCACTGTATTGCTCACACACCTTTTACTGGTAATTGAAAAAACAATATTCACAGAGATTTACGTTTCAAATGTGCCGACCAAAGATAATTTTTTAACAAATATCAATGTTTAAAACTTTGAGTTTAAAAAGTTTCCAGAAAGGCGCCACTTTGCTAAAAATGGCCAGAGGGGGAGCGGCCGCTCCCCCTGCTCCCACCCTGCGTACGCTACTGGTGACGTCGTAATGTCATTTACTGCCATCCCTAAATAATGTTATGTAGTTTCCTGAGTTTTTTTTATTGGGGAGGGGGGTAGGGGGTAGAGATAGAACTTGGATAGAAAATTTAAATGTAATCAATTAAGATGGTCAAAAGTTTGTGCAAATTTAAAAACAACAGGTTCCCAAATAGAAGTGTTCAATTCAGGAATTGTATACTTTATTGATTTCAGTACTAAAGAGTGCCCTAAGACGTGTCCGTAAACATAGTATTTTGTAATTTTAGTTTGGCTTACTGTGTTTCATGGTCTCCTAATTGTTATACACAATAATGTTTCTCAGAAGTTAGCCATATTTGAGTGGGACATCAGTGTTAAAATTTAATTTATAATGTTCAAAAATTTAAAAAAGAAACTTGAGCAGGGAGTTGCTCAATCTAAAGCTGCAGTGTCCGGTTTGGCTGCAGCTGCAAAGGTAGACAGAAAATAGAAAAAATTAATATTTTAAGTAAAATAAAAGTAAAAAACAATAACAAAATAAAACAAAAATATAGGCCTAGATCTAGATCTAGGCCTAAATTACTAACTATGGCTATAGCTCAGGCCTAAATATTATTATTAAATTAGGCTAAAGTAGGGCCTAAATAATATAAATATATTATTATTAGGCATTATTAGTAATTTATTAGTTAGGGCCTAGGCCTAAAACTAAATATTAATGAATAATGATACTGATAGGCTAGGCCTCAACAGTAACACTACAATTTATTAGGCTAATTAAATTTTTAATTATTAAAGTAGTTAGGCCTAGATCTAGTACTAGTTAGTTAGTTAGTAGACCTCTAGACTCAGCCTCTAGCCTATAATAGTTAGACCAGTCTTTCTAGGATCCTAGACTAGTTACTAAAAAAAGTAGATTCTACCATCCATAACTTATAACTACTAGGATAGACTTTACGACACATTCGTCAAAAATTATCTGGGAATGTTTGTTGATGTTAGTAAACAATAGAAACTGTAGGCCTTTAACTTATGGTTTATTTGCGTGTTGAAATATAATTAAAGTTGAGTGTACTAATTAGGCCTAATTGGTAACTTTAATAAAACATTCGGCTAATGTTTTAGGTTTAAAGTTTAATTAAGGAAACATAAATAAAAACAATGTGTAGAAAAGTAGAAAATCATTAGATCTAAAAAAAATTTTAAACACAGAAATAAAGCACCACATCTGAAACAAAGGTCATAAGCACATCCAACAATTCTTCATTAACATTCTACAAAGTGCTTCCACAAAACAAACCCAGAAGTTAAATACATAATAGCCTTTAACTTTAGTGTGATCCTTCATAAGAGCAGCTTATTATCATTATGACATTGAATTAGCAATATGATTCCACGTGGTACTTAATAATAATTATTTCAATAAGTATTGTTCAATCTCTTTATTTTATTAAAAGCCTTCTGAAAGTGTATGAATTAAATCTAGTGTAAAATTTCAGAAACACTATTGGAGCTGTTAAGTTAGATAATAATCTATCTAATTGCTAGATACACAATGGCTGATAAATCATTATAAAACAGGCTTGTAATGTGACAATAGTGACTGTTAATTCTTACATTATTGCTTGAAATCTGCCATCTTCTAATTTATTCTGTAAGTGGTGATCTATGCCTTTGGTTTAGTGGACTGTGACTTTGAGCAGAAAATAAACACAATCCAAAACAACATGTGCTTTAAAAAGCTTATTTAAAAATAAATGCTTGATACATTCATTTATTACAATATTTAAAAGCGATTGGTATTTAGCTTTTTTATTTTTAATTGATATGATTTATATATAAAACATTCATTATATTCTCCAGGGGGATGAGAAAAACACATCAACTGAGTCTTTAGGCAGACCTCTGGCTGAAAGCACACCGAATAAAGATGGGGGCCAAGCTAGAAGCAATGAGCATACAAATGGTTCCAGTACCTCCAATGTTCCAACTGGTCAGCTGGTTGACATCCCATTGTTTGAGGGCTCTGACTCTACTTATTATGAGGTACAGATGTCAAGTAGATGTCAATCTCTGATGTCATTTTTGTAATGTAGTGGGTCAGATGTTGAACTGTTTTGCATTTGGTTAATTAAATATTGGGTTGAGAGTAATCTTTACAAGAACTATGTGTATAGATTTGCAATCAATGCTATAACAACAATAAAAACAAATTATACTACTTATCCAACTTTTTAAAAAACAAAACATTATTTCTGTCACCAAGTTTATTAAAATATTCAACACTCTATTAATGAAGAAAATACTTAAACTCATTGCATTAATTTTTGGGTTGCAGTTCTTGTTAAACTTGTACTCTTTTTTTCATTAGCTTCCATCGTCAGAATGCCTTACATGTAGGAGTTTCATTCTCTTTATTTAACTTTTAAGTTGCCTTAGCCTTTAGCATCATATTCTCTAACTTTCAGACTGCCTCAGATATCAGCTCTGTCCAAGGAGACAGGACCCCAACTAGATCTAGAACTTCCTCTATCAGTTCTATGACCAGTGAAAATTCCTTCTTCCCAAATGTCAGCTTCTCCCACAGCTACTACATGCCATCAGACGCAGAAAGTGAAGTGGAGGAAACATCTGTGAACCTTTCTTCTATCTCTAAAGAAGATCTTTATGCTTGTGTTAAAAGAGTTGAAAGAAGAGCTTTTAAATACAAATCCAAATTCATGGAAGTTAGTGATAGTATATTTTACATTTAATTTGGTAACAAATTTTACTGTACATTTAACAAAGCCTAACAGTTATTTTTATATATAAATTTGAATTAGACATTTTGAAACTGTGTAGTTAACACTATTAATATTTATGTGCAATTATATTTTTTTTAAGCTTGCATCTGCTTACAAAGATATGTTACAAGAAAGAGAGAAGTTGAAGGTATAGCTTGTTTAAATATAGTTAAATAAACTATTATTGAGCACTGTAAAATGAAAATGATTTAAACATAATATCACTTTATCATTAGTTTCAGCTAAATGTGTTGTAATTTTTTTTTTACTGCTGTTCTAGACCACCATGGCTCAGTGTCAGGACAGGGCCTTCCGTAGAATGTCTGAACTCAGGGAACAGATTCAGCTTGACCAGCTAGCCAAGAGGGACCTGGAGGTGAATTACAAGCTGTTGCTGGACGAGAAGGATGAATACGTTAAAGTTCTCAACACTCAGGTTTGTCTCACTACAATAGTTTTTATAAACTCTTGTTTGACATTATCTTTGCGTTTATGCTAGTATGTAATTAAAAATGTAAACATTAAGTTACATAGTATTAGTTTAACTCTTTCTATGACCTCACTATAAGAAGGGATATATTGTGGTAAGCACTATGGCCAGCCACTACAATCCCTCCCCCTGACTATAGTAGCCCCATCAGAACTGTGTGGACTTAATGATGTCTAATGAAATTAACTTGCATGAACCTAACTAATCTAAATAAAACTAATTTGGCTGTTTGTTTTGGTTAGATTAAGCTGCTAAAGGAAGGGAAAGACATTCCAGAAGAACTTTTAACCAAGCTGTCAGTCACACAAGCCAAAGCTGAAGCTCCTCCCCCATCAGCTGGAGGGGACAACAAAGGAAAGATAACTCAAAATGAAGAAATTGAATTGTTAAAATCCAAGGTAAAACTGGCTAAGATAAGTTTACTATTTTGATGTCATTTTAAAAATATTATAATGTCCAAGGTTTATTGAAAAAATGTTTTGGCTACTTTGTAAACAAAGTGGTAAATTACTACATAAATTTTGTTTTAGATAAAAAGACAAGATGGACTTTTACAGAAGTGTAAAGAAACAATAACAAGTTACAAAGAGAAAGTAACTCAGTTGTCACATGATAAACAAGAACTATTAGGGAAATTAGAGTTGTCTTCCAAGGTTTGTTTAAAATAAATTTTTAATCTGTTTTGACAAAATTTAATTTAATCTCCTTTTAAGAGTGAAGTTTAAAAGTTGGACATCTTGAAGTTTAGTTAATTGCTTTAATCTTTATCTTTTAATATTTAAATAATTTGAGAAATTTTGACCATCCAGGGTAGCATTCCAACCAATTCACAAGAAGCCACTGAGCAAGTGACCAAGTTACAAAATCAAATAAAAGAAGCAAAGAAAGTGATTGAACAGCTTGAGACTGACAGAGAAGTGGCTATAGCAGGGGTCAAACAGCAGGTAAACAATGGTTTTCATAGTTCATAATATTCATACAATTTTAAAAAAATTACCAAATTGTTTTTTATCGTTATATTCATTTACTAAATCCTAAGTATTTATTTTGATAAATACTTACAGTATTAAGTCTTACAGTATTAAGTTTTTTAACTGTTTTGTCTCTTCTTTCTCTCCCCACCTCACACACTCCCATTGTATTTTAACTTTTCTCTTAGATGCACGAGGAGATGGAGAAGAGAGATGCTGAGGTTGAGAATGTCAAAATACAAAATCAAAATCTCTTGTCAGAAAACAACTCACTCAAGCTGGAAGCTGAGAAAAACTTGAATCAAATTGAAGACTTGACAAAAACTAGTATGTCTTGCTTTGTTTATCACTAGCTGTGTGATTCACACCTTCAACATATATACTTTTTGTTTTGTGCATCACTAGCTCTGTGGCTCACACCTTCAACATACATACGTCTTGCTTTGTGTATCACTAGCTCTGTGGCTCACACCTTTAACATACATACATCTTGCTTTGTGCATCACTAGCTCTGTGGCTCACACCTTCAACATACATACATCTTGCTTTGTGTATCTGTGCTTTGTGGCTCACACCTTCAATATACATACGTCTTGCTTTGTGTATCACTAGCTCTGTGGCTCACACCTTTAACATACATACATCTTGCTTTGTGCATCACTAGCTCTGTGGCTCACACCTTCAACATACATACATCTTGCTTTGTGTATCTGTGCTTTGTGGCTCACACCTTCAATATACATACGTCTTGCTTAGTGTATCACTAGCTCTGTGGCTCACACCTTTAACATACATACGTCTTGCTTTGTGTATCACTAGCTCTGTGGCTCACACCTTTAACATACATACATCTTGCTTTGTTTATCACTAGCTCTGTGATGCACTAATTTAAAATCAACACTTATTTTTACAATTAAAGTTAAATTTTCAGCAGTTTCTAAAATTATAATTAATGTATGATTGTAATGATGAGCTAGTAATTAACCAAATTGATTTGAGTGCATGATGTCCATCCCCAGACAAAGAGCAGCTGGAGAAGGCCAGGGAAATCATGAAGAGACTGAAAGAAGAAAAACAACAGGTGATGGAGCAGGCAGAGGCCAAGATCAAACAGGCTGAGCTCAGCATGGAGGAGGAGAAGGAAAAGATGCTCAAGGATTTAAAGAGAGGAAAGTCTGAAGCCTTTTCTGTCATGCAAGTAAGTTGCAAGTAGCTAATGCCTAAGTAATAAGTTACCTCAGAAATAAGTTGCAAGTAGCTAATGCCTAAGTAATAAGTTACCTCAGAAATAAGTTGCAAGTAGCTAATGCCTAAGTAATTAGTCACCTTAGAAATAAGTTGCTAGTAGTTAATGCCAAAGTAGTTAATCACCTCTGAAGTAAGTTTCAAGTAACTAATGCAAAAAGTAGTTAGTTACCCTGGAAGTAAGCTTCAAGTGTAGTTATTGTCAAAAGTAATTAGTCACCTCAAGTCAGTTACAAGAGGTTAATACCAAAAGTAATCCATCTGCTAAATTTATGACACTTACTATTTCCACTGATAACTTAACATAAACATCTGCTTCAGTACCTAGAAGAACAGTTATATAAAGTAGAAATTAAACAGAAATAAAAAGACAAAGTTTTGACTCAGCACTTGTGAAAACACTGACATTTAACTCCACTGCTAATTTAATCAAATGTTAAAGTTGTAGACTTAGTTAATAAAGAATTTTGCATAGCTTTATTGTTACTTCTTGTGCCATTGCAGCAAGAATCAGAAAAAGCTTTTTCCGAAAAGTTGGCTCTTGCGCTAGAGGAATGTGATATCAAATGGAATGAAAAGATGGCTACCCAACAACAAGCTCACAATGAAGAGGTGGCACTAAAAGTAAGCAGGATATTGAGGCTCAAACATTAAAGTTTTGTTGAAATACTTAAGTAAAACTATTTTCTTTTAACACTTAACATCAAGTAATTGATATTCTTTAAGCTGTAATCTTTTGACTGGATCATAGCAAAATATGAAAATCATGTTATGTTTTTGAGTTTGACTAAAATAAATGTATTGTTTTTGTGTTTGGTGGAATTGAATGTAATTTTTTCTAACCAGGAAAAAGAAAAAGAGCTGGCTCTGAATACCATGCAGATGGAGGTGCGTCAAAAACTGCAGGAGAAAGAAGAGGAAGTCAGGCTGGCACTGGAGGAGAGAGAGCTCCAGAAAATGGCTGCCGTGTCAGGGCTGGATGAACAGAAGGATGAACTGCTGAGACGAATTGAAGATTTGAACTCGGTATGTTGCAAGCTTTGTTTTAGTTATTTGGTAGATAATATCTGTATTGTGTTTGATCATTGAACATGGGGTGGCATGGTCAGATTGTAGAGTGTTCAACTGCTAACCTGAAAGTTTTGTAGGATGTCCATTAATCTACCCAGCTCTGACAGATACCTGACTAACATTAAGGAAAGTAAAGAGGGCTAAGCATAGGGCTGACCACCCTACATATGTTGAGGTCACACAAATGGATGAACTCTACTTTATTTACCCCATGGACTGTCAGGTTTGAAATGGTAACTTAAGTGGGGATTTTTTCTACTATTAGACCATTGAAAAGTTCATCCTTTGATGGTTCTACAAGAAGATTTACCAGAACATTTATGTCAAGTTAAAATAAAACGTTTTATTTAACCATCCCTAATTTCATCAAAGCATAAAACGTTTTATTTAACCATCCCTAATTTCTCATCAAAGCATAATTTTAATTTTCAAACTGCTAATTATCTTTAAATCAATATATGGGTTTATAATTACAATAAAAGAAACATGTCCAAATTATGCCAGGAAAAAGTGGAGCTGAGTAACAGGATAGCCAAGCTCCAGGAAGACATGAAGCAGGAGTTGTCTGAGCTGGCTGACAAGCTGAGCAGGGCAGAGCAGGAGCACCAGCAGCTGGTAGACAACCTGACAGCCAGTCACCAGGTGGCGCTAGAGGATGTCAGGACACAGCTGACACAGAGACACACGGAGGAGATGGAGATGTTGAAGCAGAGACACACGGAGGAGATGCAGTCATTGAGTGACAGACTGGACAAAAGCATACAGGTCAGTGGCTGACATTTTCTTGCTGTTATCTGTGCTGAATTATATACACATATTTATAGTGAGAAGAATGTAAGAATATTTTGTAATATTTACCATCATATGGGATGGTGTGGCCTAACAGTAAGGAGCTAGACTGCTAACCCGAAATCTCAAGTTTGAATCTGGGTTTAATTCAGTAGAATGACTCTGAATACACCCAGCTCTGATCAGTATCTAACTCATGTTAGGGAAAACAAAGGCAGCTAGGCATAGTGCTGACCACACCATCCCTTCATATACCAAATTCTCTGAAGCAGACAAACTCTACTTCATCTGCCCCATGTGTCTTGTGGATGAACGGGAAAAGATGATGATTTACCATCATGAACCTCCAAATATCCATATAAATTATGTTATTCTGATTTAGATCTAATCCTTTTTTCTTAATTTACTTCTTGAAGTTTTTAATATTCCTTGTTTAGAGTATGTTTTTGGTTTGAATCTAGGACAGTACCAAAGACAATGAAGCGTATTACAGCTCTCAGCTAGACGCTGTCAAATCTGAGATGGACAAAGCTTTGAGTGAGGCAACTGGTCAGCTGGAACTGACCAGGAACTCTCTAACTGAAGCCTTGACCAAGTTGTCTGAAACAGAGAGCAGCCTGTTGACAACCAGGGATGAGCTGGCTACCAAAGTTAGAGAACACGAGGCTCAAGTGGAGGTATTTGTACATTTGGTTCAACTTGACTGGACTAGACACATTTCTTGAAATTACTTTAGTCTTTTTTTTAAAAGTTTTTGTGAGCTCATTTTTTGCCATATAGTTAGTTGATCCTTGGCTCATTCATAAAAACCAAGAACTAAATGAAATAAAACATTCTTGGGTATTTTCGATGTTGGTTTACATTTTTGCCAGTTGAAGCCTCTTACACAAAACTTCATTGTATCCCACAGGAACTTTACGCAGCCATCAATGGTAAAGGAGAACAAAATGATGAACTAGTTAAAAATTTAGCAACCCTGAAATCACTCTTGCAAGAAAAGGAGCAGGAAAAAAGTGAATTAATTCAGAGACTTGATACACTGCAGGAAGAATGTTCTAGATTAAAACAACAGGTAAAATGTCTACCACACAGCAGGCATAGCATGATGTAATAATTTTTTAGTTGATGTAATATCTTCTTGAAAATGTGCTCATCATTATTGATCATTAAATATTTTAATCTAATTCATAATTTCAATGTATCTATTTAGTTTCTGTCTACCTTAAAACTTACCAATCAGAGCATTCTTTATCATACATCTTTAGAATATTCAGTTTGATTTACTGAGTTTTTCTATGGCAGGGGGAGACTACAGAAGGTGAAGCTAAAAATAGACTGGAAGATTTGTATAAGGAAAAGGAAAAATTACAAGATCAGGTAGAAATGTTGACGACGCAGCAATCAGAGCATGAGGCAAAACAACAATCACTAGAACAGGCAAATAGTGAGTTGACCAATCAAAACACAGAACTGGTCAGTCAGGGCCAGATTTTATCAGATGAGTTGAGTTCAGTGCGAGATGAGCTGACCACTACACTCAACCAGGTGCGGACATTAGCCGCAGAGAAGAGCAGACTTGAAGTGGAGTTCCAGCAGAAGTTAACACAAGCTGAGCAAGATAAGGATGCCGTCGACTCCAGTCTTGTGATGGTGAAAGAGGAGAGGATTAAACAGTTAGAAACTGAACAAGAAAGTCAGATTAAAACTTTAGAAACCAACCAGATGAAATTAGAAGAATTAGAAAAATATTTCAATTCTTACAAGGAAGAAACAAGTAATGAGAAAAGGGAGTTAACTTCCAAATTAGAACAGGCAGAGTTGGAGTTGACGCAGTTTAAAGAGGTTATTAGAAGTTTGGAGACGTGTCAGGGAGTGGTGGAGAGAGAGAAGGCCCATCTGGAGGAGAAGCTGACCAACCTGGAGGACATTGTGGAGGATTTGAAACACTCCAAGGAGGAGCTGAGCCAAGGACAAGCAGCATTCATGGAGAAGACAACAGCAGAAAAACAGAGCCTGGAAACTATGGCTGACGAACTGGCGACTCAGCTTAATATTTGTAAGGAAGAAATTCAAGAGCTAAACAAGACAATCATCTCCAAGAATGATGAGATTCTGGCTCTTCGGTCCGTGTTAGATGACAATTCAGAGTTCATCAAAAGTTTAGAAAGCAAAAATGAGACATTGTCAGCTGAGTTGCAGGCCAAGGTTGTCACACTGGGGGATGCTGAGGAAAAACTCTCAAGCAGTATGGCCAAGTTTGAGAAACTAAAAACAGAGGCCAATGTCAAGGTTAAAAGTTTAAAAGAAATGAAAGATTCCTTGATGGCACAGTTGGAGTTGCAACAAAAGGAGTTTGAAGAACTGTCAGCTGCTAATGCTGCTGAGAAAAAACTGCTGGAGACAAACTGTGAGGAAAAGGTGAAAAACTTGCAGGAAGAAATGAAAGCTCTGGAACTTTCTTTCAAGGAACAGTTTGAACAGAAGCAGGTCAAGTTTAAAGAGATGATGACCAAGATTAAAGAGCATTATGAAGAGAAGCTCAAAGAAAAAGATTCCCAGTTTGAGGATCGCCTCAAGGAGTTGACCTCCCAGAAGGACCTTGGCCTTGAGGACATGACCAAGCAGTTTGAGGCTGTGAGAGAGGAACAGCTGAGGAACACAGAACAAAAGTACCAAACAACCATCACAGAACTGACTGCAGAGTGGGAGGCTCGGTGCAAGAATCTCTCTGATGATCACAGTGACAAGCTCAACTCCTTGGCTGCTGACCATCAGAAGACAGTCAGTGAGTTGCAGCAGAGACAAGCAGACGCAGAGAGCCAGGTGGTTCAGCTACAAGAGCAGCTCAAGTCTGCTGAGGCTGAGCTGGACATGTTGAAGTCTCAGATCAAAGAACTCTGTGAGAAACACGCCCAGGAAATAGAAAATGCCATTAAGTTCAAGAAGGATGTGGAAAATCTGAATTCACAACTGGCCGACCAGGAGAATGTATTACAAGAAGTGAGAACCAGTTTTGAGAGTGTGACCAAAGAGAAATCAGAGCTTGGTGTGGAGGCAGAGTCCCTGAGACAGCAGCTGAAGAGCTGTGAGAACAGGCTGGAGACCATGGCTGGAACCATCTCAGCTGAGCAGGAGCACCTACAGAAACAGTTGAACCTGGAGGTGGAGCAGAACCAGGACCTGACCAGACAGAACGCCTCCCTCCTGCAGCAGCTGAGCCAGGTGGAGGAGAAGTTCCAGACAGAGCTGCAGGAAAAAGATGTGTTGCTGCTGGATGCCAACCAGAAGCTCTCCCAGCTGCAGGTGGAGCACACGTCCATGGAGGAGATGCTCAGGGCCATCAATGATGCAGCTCAGCAGAAAGACTCAGCTTTAAATAACTTACAAGAAAGTTTACAGTCTGTTACTGGAGAAAAAGAATCTGTCATTAAAAAACTGGAAGAAGAACTTCAAGTTAAATCTGATAAAATTTTAAAGCTACAGGAAGAAATAACTGTCAAATGTAATGAGATTTCCAAGTTGCAGGAAGAATTATCAGTTAAAGAGCAAGCAGTAAATGAAGTGAAACTAAGTCACGCAAACGAGATGGACGAACTTAAACAAAGGTTTGAGTCCCAGATAGCTCAGCTGACATCAGAGACCCAGGCCTTAGAGAAACAGGTTCAAGAGGTCACAGAGAGAGAGCAGGAGGCTGCCAGCAGACTGGAGGAACAAAGGCTGGCATCAGAGCGCCAGGAATCTTCTTTAGCAGAGCAGGTCAACGTCCTGAAGCAGCAGCTCCATGAGAGCCAGAGACAGGCTGAGCTGTCCTCCACTGAGCTGCAGGCTAGTCTGCAGCAGAGGGTGTCAGAAGGCGAGGAGAAGCTGTTCTCCCAGCTCAAGCTTCACCAGGAGGAGCTGGAGAGTGCCAGACTAGCAGCAGAGCAGAAGTTGAAGGACCTCAAGCAGAAGTATGTCATCAAGCTAAAGGAGATCCAGGGCCAGGCCAAGTCAACCATTGAAGATTTAGAAAGTACGTTGAGGGCAGAGAAAACTGCCAAGGATGAGATCCACTCTGAGCTGACCAGAGCCAACACACGACTCCTACAGCTGGAGGAGAACTCTGGACTCTCACATGACACCATTGTTGATCTGGAGCGAAAGGTGGAGGAAATGAAAAGAGATATTTCTGACAAGGATAGAGAGTTAGCCAAATTGAATACAGATATAAAAGAAAATGAAAAAAATATGCAGGAAATTTTAGATGAAACACAGACAAGTTATCAGCAGTTGAATGAAAAGTTGATGCACACTGAAGCCAAACTAAATGAACGTGAGTCACAGTTGGAGAAAGTTGAAACAGAGTTGAAAGAAAAATCTAATTCACTTGTAGAGAGTAGTTTAAGTGTGGAAAATTTAGAGAAGAAAATTAGTGAGTTGACAACAGAACATTTGCTAGAAAAAGAGAAACTAGAACTAAATCTACAAGAGACCAACAAAAAACTGTCAGAATTGGAACAAGAACTAAAGGACAGAGATGGCAGAATTGTAGAACTCGAGACATCAATCCAAGTACACAGTAACAGATGTGCTGAGATAGAAGCACTGCTAGACAAGACACAGAGACTGCTGGAAGAGTCTGAGAACAGACACGTCGAACTGGAGACCAAAGTCCAGTCTGCTGACACAGCTTACTCACAAGTACAAGAAAATATCAAGCAGGAATACGAATCCCAGTTGCAGAAATTAAAAGAATCCCACGAGGCTGAGGTGTCAGAGCTGACGTCTAAGATGGAGGCCCAGAGTAGTGCTAAAGTAGCAGAATATAAAAAGAAAGCAGAGGCTTACATTTCTCAGGTAAAAAAACAACTTCAGGATGAGAAGAGTTCCACTACTGGACAACAGCAAGAAATCATTAACAACTTGGAGAGTACAGTGTCCACTTTAAACTCCGAGATTGAAAATTTGAAGCTGTTAAAAGACAAGCTTATAGTTGATCATGAGAGCGAAATTAAAAATTTGAAGACTTTACACAATGAAGAGCTCCAGTCTAAAGAAGCAGTGATTAGTAAATATGTTGATAATGAAAACAACTCTCATCAATCAGAATCAAATCTTAAAGAAGAAATTGATAAGTTGCTGTCTGAAAAATCCTCTCTTTTAGAAAAACTCAGTGATAATGAACGTGATAAAGACAATGCTAATAAACAACACCTAATAGACTTGAAGAACTGGGAGGATAAATATTCTCTACTTGAGAAAGAGTTAGAGTCCCTTAAAATAGAAAAAGACGAGGAGTTGTCAGCCCTTGAAAAATCAGTGTCAGAAAAGATGGAGCAGCTTGAAAAGAAACATGAAGCTGCTCTTGAAGAGCAGGCGAGTGACCATTCCTCTAAGTTGAAGCAACTGGTCAAGGACCTTAATCAACAGCTGAGTGAAAAGGAAAGGGAGTTTGAAGCCACACTAAGGGAGGCGATAGGTGAGCTGAACTTTAAAATTAGTTAATTAACAGATGAGAATTTTCTTTTCACTATTGTTTATTGTATTACACCATCTGAAAATTGTTTCTTTAAATGGGACTGTTGTATTCCTACATTTTATTTTAGAAAAGAGTGAAAGGGGAGAGCAGGGCTTGATGAAGGAGCACCAGGATGACCTGACTGAGTTGAGGAAAGAAATTTTAGAGAGAGATGAGCGTATTCAGGATCTTCATGTGGAATATAAGGCTAAACTTGAGGCAAGTTTATTGATGATTCTAATTTAATAAATCCTTTTTTTTTGGGCTTTTTAAAATTTATTTTCCTTTTACTTAGAATAGAGGTCAGCAACTGTAAAGAGACATTATTTTGATTATATATGCAATAAATAGATTTAGGTAAACACACAGGAAATAATATTCATTTTTGTGACTTAAAATTGCCCAAACTGGTTGTATTTAAAAGCTTTGTTTAATGACACATTTTTCACCATTTGAAAAAAGCTGTTTTTAGTCATGCAAAGGTTAGTGACCCTGACCTAGAAAAAGAGGTCAAATTATTTTTAAACTTATTAGTACTGCTTTGTTCTCTCCTTAACTTTTCGTGCTTTCCCCTTTATTTAAAATGTGTTGACTTAACTTCACAGGCCCTTGAGGAATCTCTTACACGCAAAATAAAAGAACTTCAGGCAGAATTAGTTTCTGCTAGGCAAGAACATCAACAGGTAATTGTTGCTTTAGAACAGAAATTGAAATCAGAGCACCAAAAGTTACTTCAAGCTAAAGAGAGCTCCCATCAGGAGGAAGTAACTGCTCTGACTAAAGAGTGGAATAATGAAAGGAAGGTTGGTTAAAACCTGCATGCTGACACACTGTCACTGCTAATTGGTTGTGTCCCAATTTTTCCTTTTAACTCAATGAAAAAGTTAATTGGAAAAAAAATTATCCATTGTGTCTGCACTGTTGTTGAACCAAAAGTATTAAAATCACCAGAAAAAATTAGATGAGAGGTGATAAGTTTGGTGTACATGTTCTGCATGATTTAGTGCTGGCCATATATTGATTTAAAATAGCATTGATAAAGCCAATAAATACCTGGCCACATTTCACTGTTCATGCAATTTTTAAATTTATTATTAGATGTGTATGTTAAATTATTTTTCATAACATTCTTCTTTCACCATTAATAATTATTTCAAAATGATTATAATTTAATTTGTTTCTTTGATAAAGTACACATATACCAATTTTAAGAATATTTTAACTTCTCATATATTTAAAGTAAACTTGAATTCATTCATTTAATACAAAATTCCTCTCCTTACATGAGATTTATTGTTGTACACTGCTGCTTATGTTCCAGTGGTGTCAATATTTTCCTGTATCTACCTATGGTGACATGTAAATTATAATTTGATTACCAGCTAATGTTTTAAATTTTTAATATAATAGCATATTTTGTAGCACTTGTCATCCATCTTTCTATTGTTAAACCATGTCTTGCTTCTGGTAAAATGTCTGCCTCTGTGAACCACTTTGTCTGCCTCTGTGAACCACTATCTGCTAAATGTTCACTGCACTGTTGATTGTATTCTCTCCCATGTCTTATGTTAGATGGGCATGCAGCACCGGCTAATTGATGAGCAAAGACATGATAAATTAGAGGTATTGTTTCTCTGTCACGTCTCACATGCTATGCTATACTTAAACATAAAATAGCACTCAAATTAGTTTGGCATGGATGTTAATTATTTTCTTAACTTCACTAATTGTTTAAAAAAAAATAAAGCCATTGAATTAAATCTAGTTAATTAAATATAATAAATTTTAAACATTAACCAAAATAATTAATGGATAAAGCTACAGTCCAATCTATTTTTATGTAGATCAACCATTACATAGATAAATCATTAATAATAGATAGTTTTGTAATGTACAAACAGTAGCGGAGTGTACTCACTGTGTTGATTAAGTTTGGTAATGAACAGATCTTAGGCCAGCTAAAAATGTTGATTGTAATTTTTTTGTAGGAGATGGTTCAGCAGAATCAGGTTGCTCTGATGGCATTTCAGAAAAATGACCAAACATCTCTGCAGAAGCAGGTCATCCATCTGACTCAGCAGCTGGAGCAGTTGAAGCAGAAGCATAAGTATGTATGTGTAGTATATACACACAGCATATGCATGCACAGCACATATACATACACTGCAATATACACACAGCAATATACATCAACTGCACATACACATAATTTTCCATTTTTATAATAAAAAAAATAAGTTTTAACATTAGAATGTAATTAGTTTCATAGTTTTCACCAGCTAATGTGGCCCTTATATTCCCATTGTGTTAACTTAGACTGGAACTTGCTGAAGCTTTCAGCAGAGCTGAGATGGTGCAAGGCTCTTTAGTGCAGCCCCTGGTGGCAGCCCCTGTGTCACTGTCTATGGAGGCATCCAACACAGACTTCTCTGTGGAGCTGCAAGACCTAGAGCTCCACAACATTGACTTGCAGGTACTGGCCAGATTTTTTAAACACTAGTTGGACATTTTGGTCCTGCCAGAAAAAAATTGTTAATGGTCAGAATAAAATAATTTTACAGCCAGTTATTGCTAGATGAAAAATTGATGTTTACTTGAATGTAAAAAATGAAGCATGATAAATGCATCTTAAAATATTTATAATACAATGTACATATTGTAGTGGATATTTTGTTAAATCATACAATTTTAAATTTTTATGGTTTCTAAAAACAAAGTTACAAAGAAAACTTCAATTGACATCTGAGTTGAAAATGCTGAAAGAAAATAGATTGTATTTAAGAGAAAAAAAACTTGTGTATGATTTAATTGCAGGCACAAGTGTCACACTTAAATGGGGAATTAAGTCAATATAAAATTAAGGAGAGGGACTTGTTAAGAAAGGTGATACAAATTGTTGTGCTTTACAAATTTAATAGGCCTATATTTATCTTTTAAATAAATCTTAAATTACTCTACTGGTGATAAATAATCAGCTATGGGAGTAAGTTTATCTATTTTTAAGACGAAAATATTTTATTTTTGCTACTTCAGTTGGAAAAGATGGAAAGATCAAACAAAGGTATACCAGATGATGATGATCCCCCATTAAATCTTGATGGCTCCTATCTAAACCATGATGACTCGGCTGTGTTTAGAGAACCTACAGAGTTTGAGGTAAATGGCTTTAGGTGGTCTACAGTGCATCTGGTTTGACACCTTTCTTTACATGACTAGCGAACAAAATATTATTCTAGCTGGGATTTTGCTGAGCTATAAAAGTAATAAGTTATTTAAAGAATGTTACTAATTCTTTTTTCTTCCAGTTTTTTAGTTTACTTTATTTATTGGTTTCAGTATCTGAAGAATATATTATACGAGTACATGATGGGTAGAGAAACAAAGGTTCGTATAGTTTTCTCATAAGGTTTTTTTATTGTAGTGTTTATATTTTTATTTAGTTCATGTATTTGGAACTGCATGAAAAACTGTTCCCATTTATTATTCCAGACCCTGGCTAAAGTCATAGCCACAGTTGTAAGATTTTCTGATGAGCAAACAAAGAACGTCATAACTAAAGCTGAATCAAGATTGGTAATACAACTTTAACACTTGTTTTCTTCAAAGATTAGAACGGATATCTCAGATATCTTTTGAATGCATCAGCTGTCTTTTATTTATTTTTTTCATATGATGGCTAGTCAGGAGAGTCTCTGAAATAAGCCTTCCCTTGGTGTGAAAACTTTACTTATTTCCTTTGATGTATTCATCTATTTTACTGTGGTGGAAGTTTTCCCCTCTCTTTGAGTTTACTCCCATTTTATTTTGGTGAATGGGAAATTGTTATAATTGTCCATCATTTGTTACAGATATGATGTGCATCTCACAACAAATTGGGTATTTTAGTTTTCACACACAAATTCTGAATATTGTCCCTTTTAATAACCAATCCTAGTTTTGCACGCTGTCATGAAAAAAAACATAACTCATATGTCTTATTGCAAATATTTTTTTTTCTTGTTGCTTGGGTATTTTCAATTCTCTTTTGGTTATTACTTATCATTGAATGGCTTTTTAAAAAATAAGTACTTGCACAAATCTTTATTACAAATAAAAGCATGGATATTTTCAAATACAAACTAACATATAAATATGGTAGTGAATGTTGTGGTTTGACTTCAGTTACTGGAGGGTTAAATCATTGTATCTTTTGGCATTCTGTTTGGAAATTACATTATATACATTAAACCTAAACATAATCAGCCTTTAAGGGTTACTGCATCATGTTTGGTTCTTTGAATAACTACATATGACTACATGTTGTTGTCTCTAAAATATGGTTGATTAGATTGGATTAAAATTTCAACGTCATGGGGAAATTTTAATTTTCTATTCAGCCTTCTTTCTTTTTTCTCCTATCATTGTTTATTACTATACCCACCTACCTTAAATGTAAAAAGATTTAAGTATTTATAAACTATATCAGCACATTGATTCCTGATTGTTAAAATTAATATATGCTTACAGCAAAACAAATCATTTATAGAAAGTTTCTCAACTGTAAATATATTATAATACTTGTTAAAGAGTTGATTGGTAATTCTTTTTTATCTATTAAATTCTTTACTGATAATAAACATAATCATAAACACCTAAACATTTGTTAGAACAACTGTTTCAACTTTGCAAACAGCTTTATTTATCAACTGAGCAAAATGTTTATTAAACCCATGAAAAAAAATCATTTTATATTTCAGTACATTTGTGTATTCTAGTGCTTGTATTTTATAAGTGTTATTAACATTTTACACTTTTAGGCTGTTCTACAAAAGTGTGATGTTTATCTTTTTCACCTAATGCTAGTCTAGTTTTAGATTGATTGTTAGCTTTTAATATGCGTTCAATTGATTTTATTAAATTTAAGAAAATAAATGAATGTGAATTAACATTTTTTTTAAGAATCTTAAAAAAAATGTAATATTTATTTTTTGCTTTGCTCCGTCTTTGAATCTTCACAGACTTTAAGTTAAGGCCTGCATATTTTATTACAAGAAAATATTATATTATTGTTAAAAAATGTTTTTAACCATTTTAATTTAATAGAGCACTAAAAACTATTTTAGTCTGTGTAATAGTTACAACTTTGTTGTTAAGTGTATTGTTTTCCTTACCTGCTTGACATAATAACATGACATCAAACCTTATTTGATAATTTTCTAATAGCATTTATCCCAGTTTAACCATACTTTATCTCAATATATTTCTAACATTTTTTATTCGACATTTACTCTTAATTCCTAAGAATGAAGACGTTTTAAAGAACAAAGAAGCATTTCTACTACTAGAGTCTTTCTTAACAATTGTTGACCTACCATCTATTTCAGAAGTGGCTACATTCATCATGATTGATGGGGAAATTCAACTTAATTATAACATTCCATTCCATGAAGACATCACCAATCCCTGAACTGTGAAACGTGTAACAGCCTTGAAAAGAAATGTTTGAAACACATGCATGACACAGCAGAATGTTCCTGCTCTTGTGACGTTGTCTCCCTTATTTATGCATTGTATAGAGTTTCTATAAAAAGTGTTTGGGTACTTGTACATGACAATACTTGGGATCTGCTTACTATATTTAATAATATAAAGTAGGAGCACTTTATTTCTAGAAAATACAGTTTATGTGATTATCAATACCATATTTCATATGTACAATTGTATCTAAGCATAGTTTGTAATCTTTTTTTTTTATCTATTTAAAATTGTGATATTATGTCTATATTTTCTTATCTGCTCAGTATATTTGGAATTTTAATCTTTATTCAAAGTTTCAATGGAATTTGAACATATACAGCAAACATTCATCATGTAAATATTATATTCTTTGAGAAAAGTTGTCATTTTACAGAAGGTAAAAAGATCTTGACATAATTTTTTAAAAGCGATAGAAAAGATAAAAGTTCTTTTCAAACTAGTTAACAGGGTTTTTATTTCATAAATATTTGTTTTATATTTAAAAATTTCTTTAACAAATTCATACATGACACAATTCAAAAAATCATAAGCATAATAAATTACTGAATTTATGATTAATAAATTTGTGATGTACATTTTGGGGACTATATAAAAGAGTAGATAAGCTCTTATTAGTTTCTGACAAGTTGTCTACACTCAACATAGAGTGGCATTTACTCTGTTTTAAGGCACCAATTAATGCAGTTTTAAGTATCGCTAAAACAAAGCATGTTAACTTTATACTGCAGTCTTAAGACTCCCTAATTCAGTATGTGAACCCCACACAGCAGTCTAAAATCTCCCTAATTCAGTATGTGAACCCCACACAGCAGTCTAAAATCTCCCTAACTCAGTATGTGAACCCCACACAGCAGTCTAAAATCTCCCTAATTCAGTATGTGAACCCCACACAGCAGTCTAAAATCTCCCTAATTCAGTATGTGAACCCCACACAGCAGTCTAAAATCTCCCTAATTCAGTATGTGAACCCAACACAGCAGTTTAAAATCTCCCTAACTTATATCATGCAAACTTGACTCTTGTTGTGTGTTTGTTGCAATCCTGGTGTTGTTGTTTCTTTTGTGTGCCTATTATATTGTTACTAACCCAAACTGTGTTTTGCTTGAACCAGTCACATAGCTATTAAACTGTGGTATTTGGTGTGTATCAGTCACATTGCTATTAAACTGACATATTTCTATTAAACTGATATATTTGGTTTGTATCAGTCACATTAGTATCTTTATGTTTGTTTTAATGTTGACATATTATATGTGTGACTGTGAAAGCTGAATGTAACTGTATATCAAGGGAAAGCTTCATCTCTTAAGTGTTGTCTGGTGATTCCTTTGTTTGGTGCTGTTTCATGTTCCTAGGTCATGATAACCTGGGCCCCTCCCTGACCACTGCTTAAAACCAAATGTGCAATTTTGTTGGAATCGTATGTACCAGTTTGTAATTATCTTTTTCCTTGAAATTTCTTACTTTTTTAATTAAGTTGTTTTAAGTTTTTTTTAAACAAATTGTCCTTATAGTAACCTCAGATGAATGTTTTTTAAAAAGTTTAATCATGTTTTTTATAGTTATGGAAACACTACCTAATTCTTATGCAAAATGTCTGATCCATTATTGTTCCAAGCAAATATTCAAGTCTGTAGATTTTCTTTTTTCAATTTATTTTATGCCAGATTGTACAAACTATAATTTGATTGATTTTGTTAATTAAGTAATTGTTTCAGCCAATTTTTTGCTTGGGTATTTATAATTACCATTAGCAATTGTTTGTTTTAAAAACCATCAGTCTGGTTAAACATTGTGTTCAATTATCAACACAATGCCTTTTACTTGACTCTAAATAGGTTTATAACATTTATTTATTATAAAGATATAAATTGATTTTCAATTATAACATGAAGCTACAGCTTAGACTGTGTAAACTTGCCAATTTTGGGGATTAACTTGACAGTATACTTGGTTTGTAAATTCTAGTATGTCTGTTGTAAACTTGCCAGCATGTGTTTGGTAAACTTGCCAGATTGTTTGGTGTAAACTTGCCAGTGTGTTTGGTGTTCACATGCCAGTGTGTTTGGTGTAAACTTGCCAGTGTGTTTGGTGTGTTTGCCAGTTTGGTGTAAACTTGCCAGTGTATTTGGTGTTAACTTGCCAGTTTGGTGTAAACTTGAGGTTGTGTAAATATTGTGATGTCTGCTAGCAGCCTGTGATTAATGTACTTGTGAATATAATTAAAAAATATAGCATTATTTTATATTGATTTTGTTTTTATAGTATTCACCTTTGACCATTTCTGCTTAATTAAGTTGTGCTAAATATAGAAATCCTGTCTTTCTATTGAAAGTAAAGTGGGAGGGGGGGGGGAGAATTTAGGGTGCTGTGGTCTTGCATATACCATATAGTCTATGTACTTAGTTGATCTACTGTCCATCTATATCTATCTATATATATAATTCTCCTCTGGGAGACGCTAGAAAACAAGCTGTAAGCGCGCTCCCTACCACCCCACCCCTACATGGTCTGGTGAGCTGTGGTTCACGCTAAATGTTTACATTCGTAGAGTCGGGATTAGTGACGGCTATTAGGGGCAGATAGTTTAGTTTGAAACGATTTTAAACTTAGGGGAGGTAACTAAGAGGAGGCTGCTTTCGCGGGGGGGGGGGGGTGTAGGGTAGGGGTTGGGGAAAAGGAGGGTGGGGGTAGTATCGTTCTTAACGACCTACTGATAGTGTTTTAAAGCAAATATTTTCAGTGGCAGCATTGGTACTGTCGAATTCACAAATTATGAATTACTGAAAAGTAGAAAATAAAACAACTAAATAGCGGCGTATGATATGCCGCGGGTCGGCTCGTATATATATAATTCTCTTCTGGGAGACGCTAGAAAACAAGCTGTAAACGCGCTCCCTACCACCCCCACCCCTACATGGTCTTAGTGAGCTGTGTTCACTCTAAATGTTTACAAGCAGAGCCGGGTTTAGTGACGACTATTAGGGGCAGATTATTTAGTTTGAAACGATTTTAAACGGGGGGGGGGGGGGGGGGGGGTTATGGTCCTTAACGAGCTACTTATAGTGATTTAAAGAAATATTTTCAGTGGCAGCGTTGGTATTGTCGAATTCACAAATTATGAATTACTGAAAAGTAGAAAAAAACAACTAAATAGCGGCGTATGTTATGCCGCGGGCCGGCTCGTAGTCTATAATTTACTAAGAATAGTATTTTACAGAGCCGGCGTTTGGGGGGGGGGGGGCGGACGCCCCAGGCCCCGCGCCTGAAGGGACCCCGCGCTTCAGCACTGTTATTGTTATCTGAATTAGTTTGTAAACTGATATAATTTTTGCTGAATTCGCTTGGGAAAATCGAAATGGTTGAATGCCGACGTTGTTGATTGTTATAACTGAGGCCCTGGTTGATGCTAGTGAGTTATCACCCACCTAAACTGGGACAGGCCGTAAATTATAGTGTCACACACCTCCATGTGTGAAGGGTACGGTCGCCTCGCATTTGACCTGAGGTGACTGGGGATGGGTGGACTCGAATTAGCGCCCGACCAGAGCAGGGAGGAACATTTGGAAAACACGTAATCAGATACCCTATTGTATGCGGCCCGATGAATACGTTTTGTAGTGAACAGACGGGATGCTTGTAGTAGACAGTTAGTCAACGCTAGTCCTGACTTTCTTGTTGTAGTTGCCATATATGTAGGCCTACTTGTCTTGGTATAACAAAATTAACATTCATTGGCTGGCATAGGGGGTGGGAGGAGGGCATAGGGGCGGGGTGGGCGATCCACATCAGGGGAGGGGGACATCCAACAGAGTGATTTTTTTTTTTTGGAAGAAAGTAAAAATGTTGTGTTGTGTCATCTTAAACATTCATCCGTTCCCAAACAGAATTATTAATTTACCGAATTCATTCAAATTGTTATATACAATCGTTTCCAATGGTGCTGACATATTATAGTCATCGAATTGTCCGCGTCGCACAACGTTTTTGGAGGAATGGGCATCGTTGAGGGGCTGTGATATAGTCATTAATAAACGTACATTTTTTTAACTGCAGGATATCCTAGTATTTTACTATGGACATTGGATCAGCCTCCAACTATTTTAGCGTGAATCGTGTATGAAGCTAACTTGTGAATTTAAGAGTTTGACTCAAAGCTTTCTCGTTTAAAATATACAAATCAAACAAGGAAACAAATACTTTTGAATATGAATCTTCCTGAATCTCCACACATTGAAAACATTTGTTTAAAAAATCAGACAGGAAGCACGTGTGTTCCCATTAACAGAAGGAAATGTATCTGTAGTGATAATGGATTTCATACACCGGTTTACTAAAACTTAATTACTATACTAGAGTTAGGCCTAGATCTACGTTGATCTTTTTATTTTAGTATTGGATGTTAAACGAAGATCCACGTTGTTTTTAAAATGTCAACATTAGTTTATAATTAGGTTATATTAACTTGTGAAAATCTCAGGATCTTGTCTACATCCTTCTGGTGAAATCTAATCTAGAAGATCTATAGGCGACTGCATGGTGAAAAATTCCTGCTAGGATATTTATAACTAGATCTATAACCGACCTTGATTCACTATAATCAGAGTTTATTCCAGGCCTCTGCCCCCCCCCCCCCCGAACAAAGTCTACCGCCCCCCCGAACGAAATTATACTTTTAACAGTTTTCCGCCCCCCCCCCCCCCGGGGGGAAAAAAGTCTGGAACAAACACTGACCGTAATTAACCAAGTTAATGTGGGTCATTCGTGGTCGTCTAGGACTCAGCCACATTTTATTTTCCCCGGTGTATACAATAACAGATATAGCCTCTAACCTAGATCTAAATAATGTCAAGGACACTTGTAAAGGACATCGACATAATGAAGATGTTTAAATCAGTATTTTCCAGCTTGCGAAATTGGACAGTTATTTCATAATGACAGGGCCTATGTATTACTGCCTGTAGGAAAGTCCTTCAGGGTTTGAAGCAAACATAGCACGGCCTAACGGCTAACAGACTGACTCCACCTGTCACGGCGTGTGAAAGTTCCTGGTCGTCTGCATACCGTGCGTGCACGCACTAGCTCGCGTCGTGTTTATAGGGCATAAATACGACACCGTCGTCCTTTGTTTGTTGTTTTTGTACAGGTAATTTATCACGAGGGGCTTCGGATTTAGAATAGGCTAACAAAAACCTAGCATTAGAACTAGTGAGGTTTAACGCAGAAGTGGGCGCGTCTGTATGCTATTTTGCCATAATATTGCAATGGCTGAGTGACTTTGCCTGTTTCATAAGGAACGATAACTCGAATAGGGGTTTCTCCGGTTCCATTTATAGTTGTAGGGTAGGTTAAACAAAAAAAAAAGAATGGTGGATTGGGGGGGGGGGGTCTAAATATATACGTTTATTGCTTAAGATATCTTTTTCTGTGTTTGCAATCAGTTGCGCAAACAGAAAGGGGACGCTTGAAGTATCAAAGTTGAATTTATTACCTGCAGTTTAAAGATAGGGTGGCGTACCTTTGATTTCTGTTTTTGATCTTTTCTAGATAAGCTTGACAGTTAACCCCCGCCACCAAAATAAATCTTCAAAAAAAGAGGATATTAAACTTTAATTTAGTTTTTAATGAAGAGGGTGAAATTATGACATGTGAATAATAGTTTGCATTTCAGTACCCTTGTCTCCAAACGAACTCACATAAGTAGCTGTACACTAAAGATTTATGAAGCTTATACTTATAGTTTTTATTGAAGATGGTGAAATAGGGAATATCTTAAATAATTTGCATGAAAAAGTCTGTATTTTGGTAACTTTGCCTCCAAACGAACTCACATAAGTAGTGTCAACTATCGGTGTGTGATGTATTGAGCTTATTCTGCATCTTGTAGACGTGCCAGAAAGATTCGATAGTATCCATGAGAGCTCCGGCCGTTGGATCCAGTGTTTTTTCCAGACTTTTTTCTCCGGGGGGGGGGGGGGGCGGACAATCGTAAAAGTATATGTTTACTATTATAAATTCCATCTCGTTGGGGGGGGGGGGGGGGCGGTAGACTTTCTTCGGCTCTCCCCCCCCCCCCTCCCGAAGAGACGTCTGGAAGAAAGTCTGGTTGGATCCACAGCTTTCGGTACGATGAGCTGTTTGATAAGTAAAATACGTGCTCAGCATCGTCTCATTTCCTTGGTACGATGCCCACATATCTGAAATAATGATAGAACCGGGAGCGATGCAGACCCGGATTGTGTCCAGCAGAGGCCGCAGTTCGATCTGGCACTGCACACGTTAACACTTCTTTAGTCTCCCCGTAAATCCCTCAGAAAATCCACTGCTTGGGAGGAACTCGCCCTGTGTGTTTTTTACGGCGAGATATTAGCGTTTCATCGATCTCGATGTAGAACTGGACCGCCGACAATTGTTGGAATCTGCAAAATCCACCAGACGTTTGTTTGGGGAGGTGGGGGTGGGGGCTCTAGCTCTAGCCCCCCCCCCCCCCCCCCCCCCCCCGAAGAGATGCCTGGAAGAAACGCTGGTTAATTGTAGCCTATGTGGTCGCCCAAAAAAAAAACGTAACACGCTTAGGTGTTATGTTAGTAAGATGTATACTGTGTAATTTTAAAATGCAGAAAAAATGAAAACCAAGTTAGTTTCCAACAGCCTAATGATATAACTAAATAGATTTAGATCTATATGGCATTGGAAAGCTACTATTGTGCGACGTGAGTCTGACTCACTTTTTTTTTACAGTTTACAAACATAGCCTTAAAAAATTTCACAAAATCCCCCCCACCCCCATTTTTTTCTCCAAGAGTGTGAGGTCAATTTATAATATATTAATTCTTATGCAGGATCTTTTAGGCCTTATGCCTTATACTAAATGACTTTTAAGCGCAAAACCGAGAGTTCTTCCTAGGCGCTCGACGCAACAGTTTTTAACTGTCCGACAGTTGTTTTTTTTCCGAATAACACAGCGTAAATGACGATACTAAACGTTCTGTTGTTTTCTTTGAGCAGGTGAATATTTTTCACTACAGTAGTCTACTGAGTAGGCCTATCGTGACACTGGGTCAAGGTTCAAAGGCTATGAATACACAAATTTCGCCTCTCAACTCCCTTCTCCCTTCATCTACTCCCAGCCTAACTAGATTAGCGAGCTGGCGTACCAACAACCAGGAACTTTAAAAAAATAGGATATTATTTATTTTAGTCGGATGTTTACCAAACGTATTTACTATTTTGCAACAATTGTGTGTAGCCTTTATTGTCGTTAACTCGTGTTTTCAAGATCTCAATTTTCAGGTAAAACAAGTCTTGATAAATTGATATTTGATATGTGATAAGTTTGTAGAATTATTTATAAAATATAGATCTAGGAAATCTATATATTAATTATTGTATAAATAATTACGACCACATTCATTAGGGCCTATTTTTTTTAATTAGTTATTAGTTATTTATTAGGGTAATCTATCGTTTTGGGTACGTAAAATCGCCCGCGGCTATTTATGTACGAAAACGTTACCTCATTGTCAAGGCTTTAATAGACGTATATTGTCATACTTTTGTGTCAAATATTATAGATAAATGAATAATAAACCTAAATCAATGGCTAAATATATCGATATAGGCCAGAAATTAACTTTAAACAGCAGTGTCTGAGAGCAAGATTTGCTATATAAACAGCAGCCATTTGTAAAATAGAGTGGCTTCCCCCTGAATCTGGCGCTAAAAGCTTATAAAAATAAAACTTAGACAAGATGGCTGCTATAGTAGATGAGCATGGTTGCATCTGTTGGAAACATCGCTAGTCTTCATTTATTACGGAATAGTTTTAATTCAATTGTTTAAAAACAGGTACATAAATGAATCAAGGAAACATTTTTGAATTTTTTAAAACATAAATCCTCCTCAAAATGTGAAATAATTATTAAAACTTAAGGAGTCACCTGTTTTTCACATTACAAATCGCGGGCGATTTTACGTACCCAAAACGATAGATTACCTTTATTAGTAATATTAGACTATACTGTCACTATATACTATATACTATAGTGTCACTATAGGCCTAGATCTATATTTTAATATTATAATAATTATATATAGCCTAATAATTAGTAATTAGTAATAATTAATAATTATTATTATAATATATAATTTAATAGGCCCATATATATATAGATCTAGTATTAGTCCTTAGGGGCCTATAGGCCTACTTTTTTCTTTATAGGAATATAATATACTGTAGTAAAGGCATATGTAATATGTAATGTAGATCTATAGAATACTATAGATATTCTATATATAAAAATTATATATCATATAATATTATAGACTACTTATTATGTCTATGACTCTATAATTAGTATAGAGTCTATACTAGTCTATACTATATTACTATACACATAATGATGTCTACTTCACTTGTTTTAGTAATTGTTTAAAAATCAAACTTGACTTCATACTTTATATACATCTAGGCTACTTTTTATTTATATCTTAGAGTTGGGTGATACAGAAGTCAGTGTTGCATGCTAGTGATAGTGCAAAGCTACTATCATCACTATGCCCTCTGACAATCCTGAAGATGTTGAGTGCTGGCAAAAGAAATGTGCTGAGCTTGAGAATATTATTAAAACTTTGTCTACGCACTGCATAAAAGGTATTGTTTTAGAATAGGCCTAATTTATTTTTAAAAAAAATAATGACTTAATAAATAAACTGGGAGTGATCTCCCCTAAACTCTCTCGAATATTCTTATATGAAACAACAGGGGATGTGAACTCGGGATATAGTTATGATTTTTAATCCATTTTAAATACTTAAATTAAACTTTTTAAAATAGAATAGAATCTCATAGAAAAAAGAATTGCGCACAAAGCGAACGCCGAATAAAGATGTGTATAATAGTGCGGGATATTATTAGTACTTTATAAATTCACATTTTACTTACATGTGAAATTTTATTTATTTATCTGAAATAGTACTCAAGTTATAGGCTTTTGAAAAATTCAAAGTAGAAAAAGTTCCACTTCTGGATATCAGAAATCGCTCAAAAGTTGATTCGGATCTACGATTTTGATACAATACTTATATATGAAATTTCAACAACCTAGCTGTAACGGTACTCAAGTTATCGTGTTTACACACACACACATACACACACACACAGAGACATACGGACAAGATTGCAAAACTATGTTTTTCCAACTCAGGGAGGTGTAAAAAGTCCCGATTTTTTTTTTTTGCACGATTACAATATTTTCTCTATACTTGGTATATAAGAGAAAGTAAAAATGATAAAGAATAAGTAATTCATACTAATATTATTTGGGAAGGTTTTTTGTGGTTTTGGTTCATGCCCTAATAAACAATATGGCTATTGACAGTTATATATTTACTTCAGATATGGGGGCTTAAGCCCATAAGTTATAGCATATTGGCTCCCATTAAAATGAACCCTGATGATTCAGCTCTGGACAAATGTGCAGTTTCTTACAGGTATCTCTTCACCGCCTCTGTGGTGGGAGAGGTGAGCACATAGGCCTACACTCCTCCTCCCCCCCCCCCCCCAACAAAAGAGAAAAAAAATTTTTTTTAGAAAATATTTTTAACCAGTGTCCATCCCCCTGAAATCTAAGTGTGCTCCTCACCCCCTGAGAGTTGCCCCCCCCCCTCCCACACACACCTTGGAGAGGGAGCAGTATAGACTGGAGCCTTTATGTTGGGTACATTATTGTCAGTAGCCATATTGACACAATGGCAAGGTTCTTTGGGTTAAGGTTAATATACCAGCTAGTAGAATAATAAAATTACATTATTTGGAAAAAATGTTAGTTTTTAATTAGACTGCATTAAGTTTTATTGTTAAGAATCCATTGTTGTATATACCAAGAGCTCTATAGACTGGTTCCAAAAACTAAAAGTAGGCTACCAAAGGTTCAAATAAGTAACTCTGCTTATCATTTTGTGAGATTCTCCCCCCTGAATAAAAAACATTGAGCCATCACATTACTCACTATACAATAGTAGTGCTGCTTTTGTTATCATTAAACCACTTAAATCGTAAAATTAAAAATACATCTCCCATTTGCTTAGGAATTAAAAAAAACAAATGATAATATGCGATTCGATTTATCATTTAAGTTTTATAATGCTTTATCTTAATAATATTTTTAAAAATGTTACAGTTGTAGAAAAACACGAAGAGCTGTTAGTAAATTACAAGAAAAACCAAGATCAGGTATTAGTGCTGCTTACTTTGTTAATTCATATTGTTTATTTTATTTTGTTATTTGGTGTTATATATTCTGGAAAATTTTAAAAAAAGAAGATAAGAACAGAATTTAGAAAGTTTGAGTTGCTTTTATTATTTATAGATGGCAGAAATTTAGGCTATGCATCTAGCTAACACTGGTACATTGAAACAAGTTGTGTTTACTATGTACTCACTTAATTTCTTTTTTCAGTATAACATCATAGTTCAAAAACTGAAAGAAAAGGGAGATCAAATTAAAAAAGCTAAAGATGGTAATTACTATGAATATACTTAGTTGTTATATTTTTTGGTTGTTTTTTTCCTGACCCCTCCCTCTTTCATCTTCATAAAGTGACGTCAGTACTCTCTGGGGAATATTGTTATGATTTTGTCATCGAATGCTAAAATTAATATTTTTAACAGTTCTGGGCCCAGTAACTCAAGAATATGAGGCTCTTAGAGAAAAATATGAGATTGCTGTTCGCTGCCAGTATGAAGCAGAAAATTTTGCATCAAAGGTAGTTGTTTAAATAATCTTTTATAAAATAATCTTTTATGATTATATTACTCTTGTTTAAATTGTGCTGTTGTCTCATTTCTGTATTTCTTCACAGTTAAGTTTTATATTTTTGAAGTCGTAACAGTTGAATTTTATAGGATGATTCATATTTGCAAGATACATATGTTGTATGAATTCTATTTATAATCATGTATGTTTTTTAGAAATATTTGATCATACTATTTATTTTGATCATACTAAGTAGCATTATAAAATGATTATCTTGGAATCTTAAAAATTATTTATTTATATTGACTAAAAGATAGTCTAAAGTAACATTATTTTTGTCAGGTGAATAACAAAAACAAAGTCTTGAAACGCCAGAGCCAAATGCTGCTGGATAAAGTCAGTGGTTTAAACGTTGTAGAGATGAACTTTGAAGATGAAACTGATAACGTTGAAGAAAATGAGTATATCAAAAAGCTAGATCAGCAAATTGAAGGTAATTTCATCAAGAGTTAATGAACCTTAATTTTTAAATTTTTTTTTTTTCTGAAAAAAAATTTCAGGTTTAAATTTTAAATATTTTTATGTTTGTTTGATGCCCATCCTTAGATCTTGAGGATCAGAAAAGTTCCTTGAGTGTAGAGCTGAAAGTTCTGAAGGAAGATTATGAAATAGAACGAAGTGCTAATGAAAAGCTTAGAGAGCAAGTAGAGTCTTTAAGAGGAGAATTGAGCCATGCCAAGAAAAACCTTGTCATGCAAGAGAAGACACTGCAGCAACTGGCTAAAACTTCTGAAGCTGCTTACAGTGAATACCAAAGTCTGCAGGATCAGTTTGAAAAAGAGATAACAAGCCGCACAACAGTTGAAAAATTGGCTCATAGTGTATGTGATTCACAATTTTTATCATGTTTTCTGTCATTTTCATTACTTTTTTCCATGTGTTGATAGTACGGTATGCAGAACTTCTATGGCTACATGCTTACCTAATTTGACAATATCTAACGCAATAAAAGAAAATTATTAAATTTTATCACAGGGAACCCTAATACTGTTAATAAAAAAGTCATCAAGTTGTGAGCAGCAGAAATAATCCAACAAAAAAACCCTTTTTTTAAGCTTGTGTAGTATAAAACAACTGTATATCTTAAAACCAAAAGAGTGTGAAATTGCAAATACATTGCACAAAAAGCTAAAATGTGATTTAAAAACTTGTAGTTGTATGCAGAAAGAGAGGCTGCTAGACGCCAAAGTGCCATGCTGATGAAGGACATTGGCAACCAACACAAGCTGATGGAAGCTTTGATCCAGGTGGAAGAGCTGACAACAACAATGGAAACTATAAAAGCTGATTTAAATTACAAAGTATGTTTTATGTTTGGTTGATTTTTTTATAAGTTAGTTTTAGAAATCATTTTTAAAAGAGTTGATTAGGTTTGATTCAAATGATGGTTGCATACATTGAACTAATATTTTAAAATGGTACAGATTCAACTTTTGGAATCAGAGCTCCAGTCTCAAAAAGAAAGTTCAGGACAAACCAGTTTAGAAGAAGAAAACAATAACCTAATACAGGAGAGAGATTTACTTCAACAGAGACTAGAGGAAACAGAGAAGTTATGTGAACAGCAAAGGTCACAATATGACATGATGATGAAGAAATGTAAATTACTTCTTTTATTATGGAGTTTAAAATATTAAAATTCTTTTAAGTGGCACTAATGTATTTGTAATAAGATTAGCAAATCATTTTTTTTGGTCCTTGTATACTTCCATCTTTATAGTTTTAAAAAAAGTTATTGTTCACCCTGAAGCCACACGGCTCTGATAGGTACCTGACTCACATTAGAGAAAGTAAAGTAAATAGACCATAAGGTTTGATAGTGCATTTAAAAAAGAAACTGCATTGTTCACTCAAATTTAATTTCAGATGCGGAACTTGAAAATAAATACAACTATGCAGTGGCTCCTCCCCCACCTCCTCCTCCTCCACCTCCACCAATGAGCAAGGCTGGCGGGTAACCAACTTTATATATTATACAGTTTGGTATAGTTAATGGAAAATATTTACATTTACTGACACCTAGTTCACACCTAGTCTTTACTTAGTATTTAAGCTTTATCCAACATTTTTGTATGTTTGACTTTGTATTTTCAGTTTCCTTTCCAAAATTACTGGTGGTGGAAGGAAAAAGCAAAGGGAATTAGCCCAAAAAAGACGTGAGCAAAATCTCTTTAATTCCTTTATTTGCTATATTACAGGTTGAATTAAGTGTAAGTTTGTCTTAGACTGCTCCTCATAATATTGATATAAATGTTAGTTTAATTATTGAATGTTGTTAAATAGAATATTTTAACTCATTTTAGTACAATTAGGAGGTGCACCTGTCAATGCTGACTATAATAAAGCAGTTGAGGAAATGATGAAACGTATTCAGCAAGGAAATATTGGATTAAGGCCTGTTTTGAAAAAAAGAACGGTAATTTAAATATTCCAAAATTTATAGATACAATTATAGTAAAATAACATTTCTTTTATATATTTATAAATTGTTTTCTATGATGTTGAAATTGTTGTTTTAAGAATTGCAGTACATTTAACCTCAACTTTTCCTTAAGCATCTCAACTTATATAGTTGAATAAAAAACAAAATTTATCTTTTGAAATTTATAATTGTAATAAGAATACCATAGCTTTTTTTTTGGGCAATGTTTTACCAAAAACAAAACTATTTAAAAACATTACATAACTTTACTATTAAAAATTTTGATTTTACAAAGGCTTTTGCTTGAGGTAAGTAATTTTTCAGTGTAACCAGCATCAAAGATTGTGTCATTAGTTTTTTATAATTTTTAATTTAATAACACTTTTGAAATAAGAAACTATTGTCAATGTTGTGATATTGTTTTCATTTTAAGGCACAAGAAACTACTTCTTTGGTATATCATGAGTTTATTTGGCATGAACTTTTACAATTATTTTTTAGATTTGCTTTTCTCAGCTTTAAGTTCGTGCATGTAATCACAATGTTAAAAATATATGTTGCAGCCTTTTTGAAAAAAATTTTTTATTTAAATTATTATTCTAAAGTTGTGGTAAAATTTTGACTGAGATAGTGAAGCATGTTTAAAAAGAGCAACTTTTTTCTTTAAAACTTTAATTAACTCATCAAAATGATGCATCCAGTGATAGTTTTCTGCAATGGCGTTTCAGTAAAAGAGAACTAAAGAGCTAAACTTAATTTATAAGTAGGGGCATAGGTGCACTTGACAGAATAGGCTTTTTAATCATTGTAAATTTCTTTTATAACTACATAAGAGTGGTTTATGTTCATTGATTATTTACGTTAATTAGCTTACTTGTGTTTTTTTTTTATGCACGCAGAGACATTTTATTTTAAGCATTTTAAAATTGATTGAATTTCTAATACAAAATACTTTCTTAAAAATATACTATTTGCTTGGATAAGTCACTATTTGCTGCACAATTTTGCTGTAAGATCAAACATGTTTTTAGATTGTTAAAGCAGAAACAGTTATAAAATTCATATTTTATATTCCATATTAGTTTATTCAGTGATGGTTATCCTACTCTAAAATATAGTTACAAGAATTATATTTAAATCACTATTGGTAATAATGCATTTTTAATAAAATAGTCTATATCTTTAGCATATGCAGCATTGTATCTTAATTGAATATTATTAATATTGATTGTATTATTTTTACAACACAGCAATCCTGTCCTGAAGAGGATGAAGGAAGTGCTATGAAAGAGCTCCAAGGCATACTTGTAAGTTTGGTTTGATTTGTTTTGAACTTTTTTTAAAATGATCTGACAGAGTTTTCTAAGTACCTTTTTAATACTCCTTTTAATTACTTCTTCAAAGTTCCAATAACTTTCATTTTGCTAACATTTAACAGACTAAAATGAAGAAATCAAGAAGTGAAGAAGACCTTTTGGTTTTTGATACACCAACAGTTGATGAAAAATCAGAATTGGGACAGGCTTTCCTAAAGATACAAGCAAAACAAAGTAATTGATCATTTTTATTTCAATAAAACTGCCCTTATAATTATTTAAGCTTTAACTAAATATAATGTAAACTCTTTCTGGCAAACATTTATTTTCAGTGTGAACAGCTTTATTTTATTTGTGCAAAGTAAACTTTTTTTTTCCATTTGTTAAAATTTCATATTTTGATTGTTACTTAATTTATGCAGACAGTTTTTTTCACATCTATAAATATCTTCAGGTGCTCCAGGAAGTGATAAACCGAGACCAGCTCCTCGTAAGCTATCTGTAATAAAAGATGAAGAAGAACAGTAAATTATTTGTTAGTAAGTTAGCTGCTACGTAATATTTTTAGGTGTAGAATATTTAAATCTTCTTGTTTTCATAGTTAATAAATCAGTGCACTCTGTGGAAATACTCAATTACTAACTCTGAAGTCCTTGAGTTTGGTTCATGTACTGGTCCAAAAGGGTTCCTGACTGTAGTAAACACTGAAAAGCATAGTGCTGACCAAATAGTCCATTATATACCTAGGTCTAAGAAACAAACTATACATCATCTGCCATATGGACCATCAGGTCTGAGGAAATTTGAGTTATCATTTACGTCTCATTTAGGTTTTATACATATTTTTAGTACGTTACATTTTGGTTTGTTTTTGCTGGCCACACAAATATTTAAAACTCCTTTCTATGCTATTATTAGTTTAATTAATAATTTGTTTTTTTTCCCCCAGAAAGCATTTCTTTTTCATGAGTTGTGTTGTGATGAGAGAAAACTACAACTTCGATTCTAAACATTTTTCATTACTTTTCACTGAAATTAAATAAATATTTTTCTAAACCACTGGCTGTTGTCTTTTTTTATAAGCTAATTTTGTACAAAATTTTACAAAACCACATTGCTATAAGTGTTGTTTTTAATAATGTACTTGATGTAAGGATTTCAGAAAAACAAAACAAATACTAATATAATATTTCAGAAAACAAAATTGTCACCAGTTTTTAAAAGCTAACAAGATATCTATTAAAATTTCTTAATAAAATTATCTTTTCCAATTTTTAAGCTATAAATTGTGTTACAACAAGTAGCCTGTAAGTCTTTTTTTTTAAAAAATAAAGTATGCTTATCAGTACAGTATGAAATAAAATCATAAGCCAAATTTTTTTTACTTTGAGTTCTTGTAGCATAAAAAATGGTTTAAGAACTTGGTCATAGAGCTATCACCTCTTAATGTATTTCTCAATAATATAGAGAAATTTTTAACAGAAATAATAGGACTACTTTTTAAAAAATGCTAAGAACTGTCAGAATCCAACTTTAAAACAGTTAAAATCATATATCCTTAAATCAGTTATAAAATCTTGATCTCAAATGATTTACAGCATCTGACTCTACTGTTGTTGAAAACTTGTTAAACCATTTGCTATAGTCCATAGTAGCTTTATAATTTCTATAAATGTTCTTTTAACAAACGTTTCCCAATTGTTTGCTAACAATTAAAAACAAAAAAGCATCTGAAAGACCTTAAAGAGATTTAGTGGAATCACTCAATCCCTTCAAAAGCAAAGGTCAAGAAACAACTCTCATTTCATCTACCCTATGGATTGCTGTATTTTTTAAATCTAATATGGATCCAGGCCATGGAACTGAGGTCATTACGCAACACCTTGGGATCTCATACATACAAAACAAAAAATGAATAAATCAGTGAATGGGTTATTAATGTGATTGATCCCTTTGAGAACTTCTTGAGATTGTAAAGGCATGTCACATGAGCCAACTATCAAAAACAATGCAGGGAGAGAACTGGGAAGACAAAGACTACATTGGTTGGAGGACAACCAGAGTTTCTCCCAGGCCCCCCCCCCCCCCCCCCCGAACGAAATGGAATTTTTATAGAAAATATATACTTTTAACATTGTTGTCCGTTCCCCGGAAATTTTACACCCTTCGGCGACCGCACAAGTGTCAGGGGCGCTCTGGGGAGCCTTGGTTACACCGTAACACTACAGCACGGGCGCCAGGTACGGCCCTGATTTGGCTTATCGTATTGTTCCTATCGTATTGTGCTGTTTAAAAAAAATGTAGGCGCCATAGTGCTCGCGGGGGACCCTGGGGCGTCTAATTGCCGACCCTTCGAAATTTACTTTTTTCCGCAGAAACCTCCCAAGGAGTATTCTCATCATCATCCCAAAGGCTGTAATGCATAAAAGTCAAACACGTAGACAGACTTTCATTTTTATAAGCACAGATAGATTACCAATAGCTATTTTTAGAAATGTAACTTTCTGACGAAACTCAAGATTTGTGCTAAAAGGTATTACGAATCACTTTTTTTTTAGAACGGTAAACCCATCTCACGCAATGTTTGTTATAGAACTTTTATCGTCAAAGGGAAACAACAAAGTTAATATTCTATGCAGAATAATCTGAGCCTGATTACTTCCTTTTAATTTTCAAAATTCAATGATATCTATTATTTTTATTCAGGGGATGTCGGGGGCGTTTTTGAGCCTTCTGTCTGGGGGTCGTGATTTTGTTTTTCTCCCCGCAAAAACCTTTTCAAAGTTTAACGGTGAAGTGATGAAAGGCACATATCAATACATCTAAGGTCTTTTAATTTTTTTAAAACAGTAGAGCCTAACGAAATTTTTTATTTATTTTGCTTTTTATGTTTAATTTAAATTCGGGTCGATTAACTTTTTGAAACATTTAAATAGTACTTTAACAACAATGACAACAAATTTATGGGATAAATAATTTAAAATGAAAATTAGGGCCTAGATCTAGATTCTATATTGTTGTAATAATTTTTGTTTCGTAAACGTCGCTTATTTCCGGGAACATATTTTCTATTTAGCATCAGGGGCGGTAGAAAATAAACAAGAAAATAAAAATTCGCCGGTGTAAAAATACTTAAAACTTTTAAAACTCCACAATAATCTACCTCTAGAATCTAGATTGAGCTAACGAATTGAGGTAAATTAAGATGATATTTATCTATTTCCCCCATTTAGTTCTAGATCTAGACTCTATATTAAGTAAAACTATAGTTTTTTAGACTCTAGGCCTAGTTAATTTTATTAAATATTAAACTCAGAAACTGGCCTGGTACTTTGCAGCTTTTGTGATGATTTGATGACGTTTTTATTTTTTAACGATTTTTTTTTTACTTAGGCTTCTAGAGTATTCTAGACTAGATCTAGATCAGATCTAGAGATCTAGATAGATAGAAATAGAGTCTAGATCTAGATCTACTCTAGCTAGATCTTGATTTTGTACTTAGATCTAAGTATAGTTAGTATAGTATAAGGGCTATAATACTCAGCCCACTGTGAATAGTGAATACTGAATAGCAACGGCAATTCCCACTCAGCCCACTGCTATCAGCAGCTCTGTTTATGAACTTTTGGGGAGTTTACTGAGTTTAGTAACTTAGGCCTAAATCTAGATTTCTATTTATTTAGGCCTACTATTAATATTATTTAGTAATATTTGGGCCTATCATATCAGTATTTTAGTATTTTTAATTTTTAGTATTATTATCAATCAGCAGACCTAGGCCTAAACTAAAGTCGAAATTCTTATTTAGTTTCATGCAGAGGCCTTCTAAAATAGGCTAAGTAAAAGTAAAATAGGACTGGGAATATCTTGCAATTAGAGATCTATAATAACAAAACCCCTAGGATTCCATTGAACCTAGAAATCTAGGTTAAAGATCACTGATCTAGATTTGAGTTCTATAAAATCTAGATCTCTAGGCCTCTAGTATAGACATAGTACTTGATCTAGTATAGTTTAGTTGTGTACTAGTTATAGTATCTAATCATCTAGATCTAGAATCTAAAATTTGATTCTAACTAAACTCACTAGAATCTAGTGTGTAACGTCCCCTATCTATCAGCCAGATAGAAGGTGAACGTCCCCGGATTCTTTTTTCGGGGTCATATGCAAATGCCTTACGGCCTAAATGGATGAACACTAACACAACGACACACTAGGGCTCGAATTCGATGTCTAGGGAAAACTAGTGATACTATTGTAATTAACACTCATCCAATCTACATACAACCTTTAATAAGCGAACACAGTTGTGGCAGAACACAAGGTTAAACTAGATAAAATATTTAATGTATAAAATATCAAAACCCAACTTACAGAGTGTAGGAAAAAACACTATCACAGATTTCTACACTGCCTAAAAAAATAGCCACAGGCCACACAACACTGCTATAGCTTCAAGAATTACTTGGCGACAAGTAATATTATACTAGAAGACTAAATCAACTTAAGAAAGCGTAGCACACACAGGACTCAAGTTCTCTCACGTTCAAATGGTCAGAATCTATTGCCGGACAATATGGACGGCCTGGTATAGACTGTTTGATCAAGGTAGACGGCCCGATCAAGGTAAACTGCCTGCGACAAGTCTCAAATGGAGACTCACAGATCACTCAAGGCCACTTGAGCTACTGTTCTCGTGCTGGTTGTGTTTCCTATGGTGTGACACTTTACGTGGTTCTAACCACTAGGCCACTAGTGGTGTTCCTAACCACTATGCCACATTACTCGGCAGCAAGCCGAGTTTCTAAGCCACTAGACACCATAGACTCTACTCAGTTTCTCACCGAGTATTCGACCCTCGGCCGCCGCCGTGGCGCGCCGAGATCCTAGCCATTGAGCTATGGGGTAGTCATCTGACCAGAATCATTCAATCAGATCTTAATGGAAAATTTCTATGTCTTAGACCCCTTAATAAGTCAGTGGAAAAACCCCGGTTGTTGCACAATCACTCCATATAAGGTATTATACAATGTCAAAATAAAAATAGAACCTGACTCGACCTAAGTAGGTCACATCCCCTCCCTTTTTGGAAGTGACAGATAGGTTCCACAAAAACATACATAAGGAACCAATCTGGCAATGAAATAAAAAAAAATGTTTTACAAATGTAGGCAATCAAAATCATAATTCCAGATGAAAATATCCCTGAACATAAAAGGGAAGTAACTCAAACTTTTACAATTAGTGAAAGGGAAGTAACCCTTCAAAAGGTAATTATACATCAAAATCCCTCAGAAAAGGGTATTACAAATATTTCCATGTGGATATTAAAAGTGGTAAACCCGCCAGGGTAAGACCTTTATTTCAATGACTAGCTACAATATCAATTGAGTCATCTGAGACATTTTATTATAAAAGATTACATAGAATCAAAAACCACCTTTAATTAAGGTTCACCTGAAAATAAACAAAATATTCAATAGAATTGGAATTTTGTAAAAATCAAAAATCATACCACTCATTTTCATGTGAAAACACAACACCAGTGCATGGTCCCAATGAACCACAAAACATGTCACATGATCAATGTGTGCAACAAGATTTTACATCCTTGACAAACAATCAGCCACAACATTATCACTACCCTTAATGTGTGAAATTTCCAGATTAAAATTTTGGAAATATAAACACCATCTCAATATTCTTTGATTTGTCTGTCCTAACTTAGAGGTAAATTTCAGGGGATCATGGTCAGAAAACACTCTGACTGGATTGGTTGAAGAAGAGACATAGACTTCAAAATGTTGTAATGACAAAACCAAAGCTAAAGCTTCTTTTTCAATAGTAGAGTAATTCTTTTGGTTCTCATTTAACTTCCTGGAAAAAAAGGCAATGGGATGGTCAATTCCCATGTTGTCTTCTTGAAATAGGACTGAGCCAATGGCTAAGTTGCTAGCATCAATGGCAAGTTTAAAGGGCTTGCTGAAATTTGGTGCAGCCATAACAGGAGCATTAGATAAAAATGACTTAATGGTTAAAAAAGCTTCTTGACATTTATTTGACCATTCAAACTCAACACCCTTTTTCAATAATGCAGTAAGAGGTTCAGCAATAGCTGAAAAGTTTTGACAGAACCGCCTATAGTAACCAGCCATCCCAAGGAACTTCTTGATCTCTTTACAATTTTTGGGAGGTGGTAACCTTACAATAGCCTCTACTTTAGCTTCAATGGGCCGAACTTGGTTTGTTCCCACTTGGTAACCCAAATAGGTAATTGAAGCTTTACAGAAATCACTTTTATGTAAGTTTACAGTAAAATTCACTTCAGACAATTTTCTAAAAAGGTTAGTCAACTGAACAATATGTTCTTCAAAAGTATTAGAAAATACAACTATATCATCTATGTAGGCCTCACATTGGTCTATGTCAGCAATGACAGAGTTAATGACCCTCTGGAAAGTTTGACCAGCATTTCGCATACCAAAGGGCATACGTTTGTATCTATAAAAACCATTAGGGGTTACAAAAGCAGATATTTCTTTTGCACGGTCAGATAAGGGGATTTGCCAGTATCCTGAAAGTAAATCAATTTTGGAAATTATCTTAGCCTGACCAACTTTATCAATAACGTCTTCTATCCGAGGTAATGGATAGGAATCAGCTTTGGTGAGCGCATTTACCTTCCTAAAGTCGGTCACAAACCTGAAAGATCCACCGTCTTTCGGTACTAGGAGACATGGGGAACTCCAGTTGCTGAAACTGGGCTCAATGATATCATTCTTGAGCATATAATCAATTTCATCTTTTATCAAAGCAGCTTTTTCCGGGTTAACTCTATAGGGGTGTTGTTTGATGGGTTTTGCGTCACCTACGTCTACATCATGAGGTGGAACCTTCGCTTCTTTGGGGACATCCCCAAAAATAGAGGGAAATGTCTCAAATAACTGAGACAATCTATGGCTTTCCTCTGTGGACAAATGCATAAGGTGGACATTCAAATTATCTAAAAAGGAAGAATTTACCAATTTTGGGGGTTTCAATTTATCATGTATCACATCATCAGAAACATTTGAACATACAGGTAAAGTAATTTTAGCTGTGGAATGAAAATTGTTACAATTATCATAATACTTTTTCAGTGAATTAACATGATACACTGTCTGTTTCTTTCTTCTGTCGGGCGTATTGACAACATAGTTCAAATCACTTAATTTTGAATGCACAGTAAAGGGTCCACAATATCTCAAGGATAACGCATTGTTCAGATTAGGCACTAGCACAAGAACTTTGTCGCCTGGATTGAATGTTCGTTTACAAGAACTCTTATCATACAGTCCTTTCATTCTCACTTGGGCCCTTCTTAAGTTCTTGTGAGCCATTTCGCACACGGCTTTCAGTCGAACGTGAAAATCATCAAAGTTTTCCACAGGATGAACGCTGGTACCTGTCCACTGTTCGTGGATCAGCTTCAGGGGACCTCGGACAGAATGTCCAAACACAAGTTGAAAAGGAGAGTAGCCTAAAGAGTCCTGGACACAGTCCCTCGCAGCGAAAATAATCCAAGGAACAGTCTCATCCCATTGGGTGTTACTGTTAGCGAACGTTCTTAGCATGGTTTTGAGGGTTTGGTGGAACCTCTCAAGTACGCCTTGAGACTGAGGGTGGTAGGCTGAGCTGGTGATGTGGGTAACGCCTAGCTTGGCTAGTGCTTCCTGAAAATGGTGACTGGTGAAGTTGCTGCCTTGATCTGTTTGCACGATTCTAGGTAATCCAAAGGTAGTGAAGAACCGGGTCATGGCTCTGACTACAGTCTTTGCCTTAATGTTCCGTATGGGAATCGCCTCGGGAAAACGGGTACTTGAACACATAAAGGTAAGTAGGTACTCGTTGCCCGCCTTGGTTTTAGGCAAGGGACCTACACAGTCCATGACGATTTTAGAAAAAGGTTCTTCTAATACAGGAATCGGACTCAAAGGGGCCTTAGGAATTGTCTGGTTTGGCTTTCCGGCCAACTGACAGTTTGTGCAACTTTTACAGTAACGCGACACATCATTTCTCATTTTGGGCCAAAAGAACAGTTCTTTGATCTTCGCCGTCGTTTTAGAGACTCCTGGGTGCGCTGACATTGGATGGTCATGTGCCAGCTTAAGTATTTCATGCCGATAAGGTGGAGGGACCCACAGCTGGTTTTTACC